CTTATAAAGTATTTAATTCTATTTCTTTAAAATCTTCTTTACTATATTTATCGAATTCTAAGATTTTATTATCTCTTATATTTTATATAAATAATTTCTTTAATAACTTTTATAACTTTAAGAATTTATTTTCTTTTCTATAATATTACTTCTTTTCTAAAGTTAAATAAATTAAGTTACTCTTATTCTTTAAGAAATTATAATTATTTATATTATTAATTAAGGCCTTTAGCGTAACTTATATTATTAAAAAATATATCTATATTTTTAAAGAATAAGTTATTAAGATAGTTAAGTAATCTATTTCTTTAAATTAATCAAAAATTCGAGATTTCTTAGAAACTATCGATATTATACATCGATAAATAAAGAACTTCGCGAAAATCGCGAGATCTCTTTTTAGATTTATAGAAAAGATAAAATAGCGATAAACTTAAATAGAATAGCTATTCTTCGAGATTCTATATATTAAATATACTATAAAAATAAATATATATAATATTAATTTAAGTTAAATCGTTTATATATATATTAATACTTTCGATTTTATAGCTAAATATACTATTATATAATATTATATTCTTATATTATAAGAAGCTACTCTATTAAAAGCTTTATAATCTTAAAAGCTCTATTATAATAGAAAAGAATAAAAAAGTATTTATCTTATATAATTTATTTATCTTTAATTCTACTTAAAAGAAATACTCTACTTATAAGCGAGAACTCTATACTATTATTATATTCTATAAAAAATATAACTACTTATATAAGTACTTATATTAATCTACTATAATATATACTAATTATAAATCTCTTATATACTTTCTTAATTTAGATCTTTATAAGAAAATCTATAGATATTAGACTAATAGACTTTATCGCTTAAATCTTATTATTTAATATATATCTAGATCTCGAAATAAAGCTATCGACGACTTATCGAGAATCTTATTTGATATTAAATATTTAGAGAATATTATAATTATATAAGTATAATAGAAACTAGAAAATTATAATTTAAAATAGATTTAAAAGAATAATAAGAATAAGATTTAATTTATTTTTAATAATATTTACTAAATTAAAGTAACTTAAAATCGTTAATAGAAATACGCTATATAATATTTCTTCTTTCTCGCTAAAAGCTATTTCTACTATAAAAGCTATAGAATTATTTATAAAAGTCTTTAATAAGATTAATAAGAATATTAAGATTTAGATTAAAGTCTATTATAGTAATATCTAATTTAATAAAATCTATAAATTTCTTATTATAGAATCTTCGACTTCTTACTATTACGCTACTTCGAAAAGCTTTTAAATATTAAATAATATAATATATTCTATAAATCTTTTAAGAAGATATATATTTATCTTATATATCGAAAGAAAAGATATTTATTATACTTTTAAGAAGTTTATAATAAAAGCGAATATTAGATTAAGATTAATACTCTAATAAGACTACGTAGTTACTACTAATCTAGAAAAATATAAGATATTAAGAAGTATATTATTAAATATCTTAAGTATACTAAATATAGACCTACTATTAGATCTTAATCTTTATATTCTATTAAAGTTATATATTCTTTTTAACTTATAAAAATAAATTTTATAAACTTACTTAAAACTATTAAAGTAGAATCTACTTTTATATTTATAAAAGTCTACTATATAAATAAATTTACGATTTTCTTTATTACTATCTCTATTAATATAAAGAATATTATCTAATATCTTAAGTTATTCTTTACTATATATAGAAAGTCTTATATCTACTATCTTAATTATAATTAATATTTCTTTAATAATAAATTAAAAGAATTCTTAAGATTTAAAGATATTATTATTATATATAGTTCTTTTAATACTTTTAAAAGTATAAGAATAATTAAGATCTATAATAAACTTCTAGAAGCGATACTTTATAAGAATTCTCTTTATATCAAATTAAAATAAAATTAGCGTTTATTAAAGATTAAAGATTTAATTAATATATAAATTATTAAATATCTAGAAATCTCTTCTATTAGTATTCTTTTTAAATTACTATTAAAAGCTTCTATTAGTATATCTATCTTATATATACTTTTTAAATATAATATTTCTACTTAAATAGCTAAGTTAAAGAATTTTATTAGCTATACTTAAATTATATAATAATATCTTATTTATTAAATAAATCTTTATAATATAATTAAATAACGTTTAGATTAATAGAAAAAGAATATAACTTTTTAATATAATAAGAAAATTAAGTAAATTATATATTATATTAACGATCTAATTATATTATATTAGAAGAATATAGAAAAACTAAAAGCTCGCTAAAGAGATTTGTTTCGAATAAGTAAATATAATAAATCTTATAAAAGATTCTTTATACTTATATAACTTAATAGTCGAAAAATTAGATATATATTTTACGAAGATTATTTTAAGAAATTTATTACTCATATAGGCTATCTTCTAGATCTTATTATCTCTCTTATTATTATAATAGTAAACTACTTAATATCGCCGCTAGAAGCTTTTCTAAAGATTTATACTTCTTATAGAAGACTTTAAATACGAAGAAGTTTATACTTTCTCGGGAGTTTATATTTTCTTAGAAGTATATGCACTTGCGGAAGGCTTTAGGAATAATGGTTTTTTTTTTTTTTTTTTTTTTTAGGTGCTATACTATACTATAGCTTTATTTACTATAGAAGTAGCTTTTATCTATATTTATATATAGCTTTATAGTCGCTAAGGCTCTATCTTATTTATTCTAGATATACGGGCCATGTGTAGTATATAGAGCACCTTCGCACCCTTTCGACGGTGCAACCCAGTCTGCTCCATTATTTGTGCAGGTTGGCTTGGAGTATGGGTATACAGGCCCCTTTTGACGATTGCGGAAAGGAGTGTTTGTTGAGCTGCACGCTATGAGGCATCTCTGGTGTAGAAGAGCAGTGTCACCAGCGGAGCGCGAGAGCAGCCCGACATCGTCCCGGAACTGGTGCCGGTGGCAGTTTTGCCATCTCCAGGACAAGGCGGGTCCTCTTATGCTGGAGCATCGGATCCCGTTGGGCACAAGCCTGATCTTCAGACCCAACGTTTCGGGCATGGGAGTCCGGAAACGCACGTGCGGGTGTCCGTAGACTTGTGGCTTCCACGAATGATTATAAGGTCTGCAAAAGGTAGCTTTCAAGGTATCCTGAAAGGGTTGCGAGAGATGGCTAATCATGGGTCATACAGCTCACAACGACTGCTTTCTGTCCTTGGTACCTTAATGAAGTCAAAAACATGAGGTTTTACTTCCGCGCAGTGGGATTATCGCTGGCAGAGGGACTATTAGCAAGGATTTAGGAGGCCTAGTGGCGAAAGAGCTGCTGTCGAAAAGATGGATACTTCTTTTGGATAGGTTTTAACTTTAGAAGACACCGAATTACAAAACATGCAACACTAATTTAGTCAAAGATTTGGGGACTCCAAAGTAGAGGTTAAAAAACATCGTCAAGGGAAAATACCTATGTATCAGACAGATTTCTCATGCAGTCATTTCAGATAAAGCAGGCGCACGAAAGTGCAATAAGCAGAGGGGACTCCGAGGGCAGGCATCGGGAATCAAGGCTTCAAGAACTTAGAACATAGAGCTGAGCGAGCTTGCTACTTATGCTGCTCATTCCATGCAATTCTCTTTGGCAGTACTTCCGATACTCAGCTCCATCGAACCCGCAATTGGGCTGCAGCAGAATCTGCTAATTACGAGGTGAGAGCCTCCGCTAGTCATTCACATACAGAAGTCCTCCGTGCTCACGACTGCACGAGTGTTCAGCCAACATCCCATTCCATCCAAAAACCCCCCCCCCCCCTCTTATTTTTTGGGCCCTCTTTTCTCCCCCCCCCCCCAACACACCCCCCCCCGCGGGGAAGAAAGAAAGGAAGGGAAAAAAAAAAAAAGGGACCCTCTCCCCCCCCCCCCGTCGACGAATCTGTCTGACTCAAGGTCGAGTAGTTCAGTTCCCCTCTCAAATCCTTCGCATCACCAGCACTGAGTATCGTCTCTTGAAAGTTCGAAAGCGTTGTGCGCTATTGAGCATGCGATGAGCTGCGAGAACGGTGGAGGACAAGTCGTCCGAGCCCACGCTCGTTGAATATTGGGACATGTTATGCAAGAATTATGCAACTTTATGTAGATTATGCGCAAGTACTCTGATGGTGGATGCTTGGCGTGGGCGGTCCAAGCGGGCTCGGCGGGGTTTCATTTATGTTTCTTTCCTGGCACCTGCGCTACGAATCCAGGTTTCTACCTACAGGTACACAGGCTTAAGATCGCTTTGAGCAGAACATGTGTCTGGCGATCTGCCAGCATTTGTGTAAGTTGACTCAAAGCTGGGGTAAACTCCGAGCTAGAGTGACTAATCTTGGACGAAGTCAAGGCCATCGTATGATAGCTTGTCCGGCTTGCCTTTTAAGGATCGGTGTCACGCATACCAATCTTGGGAAGCAAGCCGCGTTCGGACATTTTCTTAGCATGAGATCCAGCCACCATAGATCATCGTCGCGGCAAATGGATACCAACTACAACGTACGAGACAGAGTCGGAGGGTCTTTGGCAATGAGAGACAGCCAGCGAAAAGACTTGAAAGGTAAGGATCATGTAGTGTCCGGTAAGAGTTGTGAAGGATGCTGCTTTCTCTCATCATCTTCTTCCGGAGTATTTTCCATTCCTCTGACAGCTCCCAGAAATATACTTTTCTGTCCGTGCGAGCGCATGTCTCTTAGACGTAGAGTAGTTGAAACTCTCGTCTCCGCGATGTATTAGGCCTCTCCATCCCCTTCAGAACCTTCTTAAAGCATTTGCTCGGTACCTTCTATACCTTTTCGCAAGTGACATAGGATGCGATAATTTTCCCCAACATGGCACCCCAAACAAGCATTCCCGTTGCCGCTAACATCCTCGGTACAATTGGCACCGTCTTCTGGTGCATACAATTGGTGCCGCAAATATGGTACAACTGGAAGCAGAAGACAACGGATGGCCTGCCTGGACTGATGATGTTCCTGTGGGCTATTTGTACATCTCCGAACCCCTCTTTGGTCCAACGGTTCTGATACAGAGAATAGCGGCCGTGCCCTTTGGTGTATATGCAATTGTTCAGGTAACCTTCCCAGCAAGGGTGCGAAATCGAGTAAAGAATTGACATCTCAGAACTTCAACATGCCAATCCAGATCCAGCCACAGGTCTTCTGTGCGCTTGCACTGGTTAGCTGGGGCCAGGTCTTGATATACAATAAGTAAGCACCTTTGCCAGATTGCTCGTGCAGCATCCTTCGTTGACCAAAGCCGTTTCTAGCAAATGGACGACACGGAAAGCCTCTGTCGTAGGAACAGTAGTGGGAGTAGCATTCGGAGGGATCGAAGCCCTTCTGATCCTCACGCTCAGACCGCTTTATGACCGTCAAGTTGCATGGCCCATCATGTTCGTGGGCATTGTCGCTGCGATCTTACTCGCAGCAGGTCTTTTGCCCCCTTACTTTGAGCTCTGGAAACGATCGGGGAGGGTGGTCGGCATCAATTTCATTTTCCTCACCATCGACTGGCTGGGAGCGTTCTTCTCCCTCATGGGCGTTGTGGCACAAAATACTTTCGACCCTCTCGGTGGATGTCTTTTCATGGTCTGTATTGTTATCGAAGGCGGTATCTTCGTCTCCCAAGGTATCTGGCTTTTCCGCACCCGCAAACTCCGCGCCGCAGCGAAGGGCGCTGGCCGAGACTTGGACGAGCTTCCACAGTCGGACGTTTACCATGTTGAAGTGCCGAGAAAGGGCAGTATAGCAGCGTCCAGAGACGTGGAACGTGACGAAATTGCCAGGAGGGGCAGTCTGGCTGTAGCGAGAGATTTGGAGCATGGGGAAGGGAGCATGTTGTCTGTACTGCAACATTTGGAAGACGGTATTAGTAAAGAGTCGAGGTCCAAGACCGATGTCGAGGTAAGGTGCGAGGAGGTACGGGCTGGAAGTAGTGAAGGAGTGCAGGAGATCGACTATGGGACTATGGAGAGGAGTTCAGCTGCATCGAGGACGAGGCCGGTTTTCAAGAGACAGGATACCAACACAACTTGCTTCAAGGAACCACAGTGGTAGCAGGAAGCAGGAGCGGAGTAGGATGTTGAGACTGCCTCAAATGTGAGTATGAAATACGTCGCTGGGGTCGACTTGGACAAAACGACTTCTGAGTTTTAGCAGACCACCATTTCACTATGCCGCATCAGGGACAGCTAATATTCACCGCTGGTTGTTGTGCACTCCCTTCGCAGTCTGGATGAGTTAGGTCCGACAGACGACCACCACGCGAGAAGGATCTTAACGGCAGCAGAACGCCAAGATTGGCGCACGAAGGGTACAGTGGAATGATAGGGGCCAATGGGAGCATCACTATGTTTCTTGAAATCTAACATTCAGCTTATGGTCGCCCGCTCCACAGTGAGTAAAAAGCTTGGAGCCTCAAACGATAACAAGGGCGCTGCTCCCACTGTATGAGACAGAGTACAAAGAAATTCCGTACTGTAATGCGGGAATTCCGTAACAGAAGCCAGTACATAACGACAAGGCAGACGAGGCTGGCAGATGGAGAAAAAGGAACAGAAGAGGTGTCCATGGAATTGACTGGTCGACTGACTGCCTAAGGTAACATCTTCTTCCCACAGCTTGCTAGAAAGTTATAGGCACCGAGCACAAAGGATCAATCCTCCTCTTTAACCCAAGGCAGCCGGGCTTTGATTGAATGAATAACGCTCCTGTAAGATGACAAAGCTTCTTCATTTCGAGCCGCTTCATTTTAGCAATTGTGTTGAGACTTGAAGCTATCCCAAAATTTCCGCTCCCGAAAATTACCAACCCCCTCTGGTCTGTCAACACCACCACAACCCCGCGTAATATGCACCGGAAATTACCTGCACGACTTATCGTCCTTGACACACTGACCCTCATCACACCAACCTCGTTAGTTTTCACAGAAATTATTACTTAAGATTCCATCCTCATCATCATCCTCATCATCATCATCATCATCATCACCATCAGCACCAGACACAGACTGGTAACTTGACCATCTTACATAAATACACATATAGCCACCTTCCCTTCCATCTTCTTCCATACCTACCTTGATCACCAGCTTGCAAGCCACTGCTATCGGCTCTGATCGTCGAAAGGGTCATCATCGTGATTCTCGCTTGAAGCATACGCACGCACAACGTTGCAAACACACATTGTCTTCTTCATATCTTCGTCCTTCCACATCTTGACACCTCATACTCATACCTGGCACTGCTGTCAGTATCACCACCCAGCAGCAACTTGCAGCAAGATCACAGATTCTTATCACTTTTGCCGAAGCAAGTTTGTGTACTCAACACACATTCTGCAACCTTTCTTCACCAATCCCACCAACACTCACCGAAAACCCCTCCATCATCAATATCCTTGTACCATGTCTTCCCAAATCAAGAACACGGCCCAGAAGATCTTGACAGAGATATTCAAATACCACACCGTCATCCCACCTGCGACCAATCCTCCCCCTCCCGCAAGAGTCTGGGCTCAACATTCCGCAGGGCATCCCTGCCCTATTCGCATACTCTCAGCTTCATGGCAATGACCATAGTCCAGACAAGACCGTGGTGAAGGCATTCCTTCTGCACCAAGCTGGAAACCTACTCAGCCTCCGTCTGGTGGTTATGGCCTGCGGCCTCATCTACCTTTCGCGTCCAATCATCGGTCCCGTGTTGTCGTCTGTATGGGATGAGTTAGGTCACGATAGGCATGAGTTGCTCAACGGAGACCCGTTACCCAACAACGAAACCATGACCAAGGCTAAGCTCGAGCTCGAGCCTAAGTCCGCAACCAAGGACGAGCCGAAACCCAACCCCGATCTCAACACCTATCCTGAGCCAGAGTCAAGGACGGTCTCTATAACGATCGCAGAACTGAAGGAGCTGAACGATCTCGCAGATGCAACTCAAGCTCGCCTCGATGCGGCCCAGAGGCTGCAAGAGGACATGTTGACAGCAAACTGCGACTTGAATGATGACGTTGAGAGGTTGGAGGACGAAGTCGAGAGGGTGAAGAAGCAGGCACAGGACGACGCCGCCCATTCCGATGCTCGCATCCGAGCATTGAGTGATCAAATCGACATCGAGAAAGACGCTAGAGACACTGTCTGGAAGGAGAGGGAGAATTTCCGTTTGGGCGGAAAGGAACTCAAGAAGCGGTTGGAAGACCTCCAGGCGGAATTCAACATACTGGAAGATGACCGCGACGAGTGCCAAGACGAACGAGAGAAGTTGGCGGCTGAAATCGCAAAGGCCCTGTCAGATGCTGCCGCTACTGGGCAAGCACAAGACAAGCGCATCGAGGACCTGGAGTCTCAAAAGGACAAAGAGGTCGCCGATGCAACAACTGCTCTCACTGCGCTCAAGACGCAGATGGAGGATCTCAAAAAGGCCTACGAAATCCTCAGCATCGACTCCCAAGCTCAGAAGTCTGCAGCGGTAGACGATGAAGAAGCCATGAAGGATTACCAGGATATTTGTGAGGATCTTGAACAAGAGGTCACCCAACAAAAGAAGGATCTTCAAGTAGCCGAAGACGAAAAGGCTAGCCTTCGAGCAGAGATTGCTGCTCTCAAGGAGCGACTGGAGGCCCAGGACAAGGAGAAGTCTGGTGCTAAGGACGGCGGTCGTCAAGATGAGGACGAAGACGACGCCTCCAACGACGATGGAGGGAAGGATCAAGGCAGAGATGACGACGACGATGCTGCAGATGATGATGCAGATGACGGTCGCAATGGCGGCGGGGAGAAAGTGGCTGACGGTGTAGATGGCAACGGCGCCCAAGGAAATGATGGGGCGACAGACACACCACCCTCGTCTGAGGGCCCATCGACAGCTCAAAGCCTTGGAAGCCAGTCTGGGCCACCGAAACCACACACAGCACGGTCATTAACATCTTCCTGTGCACCACCAGCTATGGAGCCTTCACCATCTACAGCTTCTTCGCCACCTGCAGAGTCAACCCCGCTTGCAAAGTCATCATCACCACCGAAAGACTCGTCGACTCGTACAATCACTACCGTCTTGAATGCGGTGGCTCCTGAGTTCAAGCCTTCGACAGGTCCGAAGTCGGCTGTACCTCGTATGCTCCCTACGCATCAAGCGTACTTCGCGTCTTTGGTGGGAATAGTGCCTCCAACCCCTGGATCATCTGCTGCCGTTCTAGCGGATTCACCGATTGAATCGGCTCAGGAGCCAGGCGAACCAGGTCCCACCTACTCGCCCGCTCCCAAGGCAGCGGGGCCAGGCGAAGCGAAAAACGCCCACATACGGAAGTTGAACGAAGACGTAATGAAGAAGGCATGGAGAAGACAGAGCGGGATGCCGGATACAGACGAAGAGATTATCCTGGCTCCCGAGGACGAACGTGAAATCGGTATGTAGCCTTGTTCCGTGAACACATACCTGAGCTAATCAGTCTGCAGAGGGTATGTTTCAACGCCAAATTATCCAAGCTTACACTCAGATCGTCGCCCTCCCTGCGTTCCCTCCTTCCTACAGTGACATTGTTAATGCGCCGGAAATGACTTCAGTGCATCGAACCACATCGGCTCCCGCAGCTAGAATTCTTGCCCAAGAGAGAGATCAGAAGGAAGACGAGGAGGCTCATGCTTCTGGAGAAGAGCAGCGTGAGGAACACTTACGAAATTCAGACATGAGGAGACAGCTAATGGCGCTTGTAGTAGCAGATACCTACCCTGAGAACTGCCCCGACAACGCAAACGCGGATTCGGAGCACGAAGAAACCCATTCTTCTAGCTCGGGATCTGCTTCAGAGCTGCATCGTCGACGAGCAACGACCTCTCGGTATCCAGCAGAGGAGAAGCCCACGGGCACTAGATCGGGCTCGGCCCCAGCATCGAGATTCTCCGGTCAAAACACAGCGAGTTCAGAAGTCGCTGACGAGAAGGATGCGGAGCCCTCACGTTCCATAGGAGAGCAACAAGCGAACTCGGCCGGTGGATCAGCAACGGCTCCCGATGTTGCGTCGGAAGAGGATGTACCACAGTCAGAGACTCCTCGCGGACGAGCGGCAGCTCGTGAGCCTTCGGGCCCTGGCAGCTCCAAAGAGTCAGAAGCTGAGGAAGACGACGAAAACGATGGAGACTGGTCTGATGTAGAGGACGATGACCATAGAGAAGAAGAAGAAAAAGATGACGGTGCGCCCATGCTTGGCAACTACAAAGTGACTCGCGGTCACACGAATGAGCAAGAAGATGACGGTATGCCGATGCTCGGCCGTTACAAGGTCACTCGCGGTCCTAAGCCAACCGAAGATAACTCGAAGAAGCCTATGCTAGGTAGCTACAATGGTACCCGCGGTGAGGGGCCAACCAGCAGTGAATCTGGGATGCCAAAAGCCGTGGAAGAGTCTGTAGCCAACGGAGGCTGGACTGATGTTGAAGAAGAAGAAGAGAGTGAAGAAGATGAGGAGGACGGAGAGGGTCAAAAGGAGGACCAGAATGAGGGGGAAGAAAATGAGAAGGATGGAAAAGAGGAAGAAGACGAAAAAGACGACCAAGAGGGTGTCAACGCTCCCCTGCCAGTACCGCAATCTCAGCCTCCCACCCGAGAACTACCTCTATCGGCGGCAGGTGCCATCGATGCATCATCGCCAGCCGCGCGGGGACATAGGAGTGACAGACCAAATCCTGAAGCTACACGTGATGAACAGCCCGCAAACCGACCTCCATCGAGCATTTTCCCGGGCATTGAAAACGCAACGAAGACGCACGATGAAGCCGTCGGCGATGCGTTCGCAGACTATTTCCGCGAGCACGGCACTAAGAAATTGGAGGACTCTATGTGGGCGGATAAGAAGCCTGACGCAAAAGCAAAGGCCATTCCTCAACGAGCGTCATTAACGCCTGCTGAGGGTGTAGCATCGCCACGGACACCAATTGGGTTGGGTAATGGGGGAATGACTCGAGCTCCACCGCGTGGTCCGCCAAACTTCAGCCATCTGCCAAAGCCTCAGCCTCCGCCCGGTGCTCCTACTGGGCCACGAGGCCACGCATCCCGGCATCACGGCCCTGAGCGGTCGGACAGCGGAATCCAGACTTCGGTCGGATTGGATGATCCGGACACCACGCCGAGGGTGCGATTGCCCGTTTCACCGTCGTGTGGATCCGACAACCTGCCTCCTCGGCCAATGGCGAGTCAGGCACAGTCTTCACCGGTGAACGCTGCAACACGCACATGTACCCAGGGAGAGCTAGACGATGGAACTCAAGATGCACGAGCTTTCTCGCCGCCGTCGAAGCCAATATACCGAGGGTCCCCACTACGAAACGTGATAGGGGCAGCGCCGTCAGAGAAGAACAATGGCGGCATGCAGCCTGCGACTGTAGCGTCGCCAGCAGGAACACCGGCTAGAAGTGACAGCTGGTCTCCTCGTGGTCATGGAAGAGGCGGTCGTGGTGGACTTGGCGCGCGAGGAGCCCACACTCCACAGAAGCGAAACCCAACACACGGCCCAACTGCAGATACGTCAAAAGCAACGCCCACAGATCCAGACGCTCAGGATGACTTCAAGATTCTTGCCGCTAGCAGGAGAGGCGGGCAAGATGGACGAGGAGCAGCTGGGAACGGGAACCGGAGCAGCTCTGGCTTCGGTGTGAGAGGTCGCGGTGCTGGTCAAGCAACACCCACGCCACAGCCAGGGCCGGCACGTGGCTCGAGATCTGCGTACACTGCGAGCAGCTCATTCCAGCGATGGCAGGATCGTATGGCGGAGGCCGCGGGGGCAGAGGCGGAGACGAAGCAGAGATGAGGGAGTGGGTGAGCGGCGGGGATCACGGAGAGATGGATGGAGAATGTCATGAACGAGACAATGGTGACACTGGCAAGAGGAATTTGGTATCAGCGCTGGTGATACATATGCTGGAAGAGCATGGAATGGTTAGGATATGGAAGGGAAGGTTACTCCAGTAAACCTGGATGTGGCGGGAGGGGATATGGCAGGGTAGTTCAGTGAGCTGAACGGGGCGGTGAGAGAGAGTGTGTGTCAGTGGTGGCGGGAGGGGATATGGCAGGGTAGTTCAGTGAGCTGAACGGGGTGGCGAGAGTGTGTGTGAATTACTGGTGTGCATTAGTCGTGCCGTTGCTGCTGTGGAAATGTGATATTCAGGGAATTTGGCGTTTGTCCGGAAAAGGATCGTGTGGACTAAAAGTCTTTGTTGCATAGATAGGGGTCATCAGGGCATTTCACAGTCATCATTTCGACAATGCTTTTATCATCAGCTCACGTTCCAACTTGTAGTGGTACGCTGTGCTCTTCCAGCAGAGTCACGGTCTAGACCCCTTTCACCATTTTCCTCAGACCATCAGATCCAGATCGCAAGATCTTATTATTTCAAACTTAAAAACAAGTGTGCAGGTTACTTTCACGACCTACCTACGCAGACATCACGCTTTCCGGGGCTCTCTGACCATAGCAACCCACCCCTGCACACCCAGACCTTCCCCCCCCCTCATACTCATCCAAGTCCAACGTCATCTCTCCCACATCCTCGAACCCACACTTCCGATACAGCGGGTGTCCCAGCTTGCTAGCATCGACATAGCATCTCAGCCCCGCGGCGTCCGCCTGGGGAAAAGCCCATCGTATGAGTTGGGCCCCGGCCCCTTTCCGTTCGTGCTTCGGGTGCGTGCCGAGGCGCCAGAGCACTTGGAAACGTTAGAGACTCGCTCACTCTCTCACATATCACACAATGATAGCGATCGATCCGCAAACGTAAACCTCGCGTGGCATTCGAAAGATACTCACACCAACGCGTCTCATGCCTCCCCGCATGCGCCCCCCTCATCTCCCCCTAATCCTGCAAAACTCCCTCGTCAACTCCTCATTAGCGCCCTCGGGCAGCGGCCCCGTCGCAACCTCCTCGTCGTCCTCGGTGCAGTATCCCTCGGGTAGATGGACCCATACGCCGCAGGCTGCTATCTCACCGGTCGCGTCATCGGTCACTTTTCGATAATGGTTCCGCTGAGGGAGTTTGTGCTCCTTTCGGAGCGCCATGCCGTCGTGGAAGAATCCTTCGTACATCTTGAGGAGGTCTGCTTCGGGGACTTTGCCGAAGGTGACGCTGTTGCGCGGCATGGGGGACCGGATTGCTTGGGAGGCTCGGGCGAGCTCGGGGGCGTTGGGGGGGAGGCGGTGGGATGGGGTGAGGGATATTTTCTGGGTATATGGATTGTAGGGAGAAGATGCGAGGTGTGGTGTTTTTGTCAAGGAGATGAGATGATGTATGCGGTAGAGTCAAGGACGGCAACTTCAAATCGACAAAATCATCAAGCAAACACAGCGATGGAGAATGGAAATGAAAGCGCGTTGAACGAAAGTGAATGCAAAACATCTTAGGTCTTATAATATTATACATGTCAGACGGCCAACAGCCCACGAGTCACGAAAACATGGATTGGCTTTCCGTTGGTGGTAAGAGGCCTACTCTGCTGCTGTCAGTACTTGACTGTTTCTGTCCCGATACATGCCAATCTGTATGCCTCAAGTCTTTACGTGCATGCCAAAATGCCTCAAAGTCTCCAGATGGGAAGAAGGATGTTGACGAGCGCATCGGAGGGAAGAAGGCGAAAAGCCGCCGCCCTGCACAAACCCCTTCCGCTTGTTTACTTCACCACGATGTTATCCACATCTCAACCTCCGACATCCATAATTCCCACGCTTTCATCCTCCACGGCCCCGTCCCCTCATCCTTTACCGCTCAGCAACCCCCCCGCCTCGACCCCGCCCCCCTCCCCATACCCACCCTCTTCAACGCCCGAAATCCCAACCCCAACCCCCGCCCGCGCCCGCGCCCGCGCCGTGCACTCGCAAATAGACGGCTCCCACCCCGTGTCCGAAGACCGAGACTCCCGAGGCGCTGGCCTCGCGGTATAAAGAGTACGCTGAGTGCAGACGGCACGGCAGGGTTCGCGCGGGCGTGTGGGGAGGTATTGGGCGTGCCGGGCTGGGGGGTAAATTACAAATTCATACCCCAAAACCTTGGATCCTTACAAATTCATACCCCTAATTACATTTTCATACCCCAATGGGGTATGAATCGGTAATTTGCCATTTCATGGGGTATGAAAATGTAATTTGCCATAGTTTTCGAAAATAAGGCGCCCAGTGTAGTACTCGTACCTAAGGGTATCAAGCTTGCACCCGAATAGCACCCGGTATTCGAAGTTGCGGAATTCGCTTGAGGGGTTACGAAATCAGCTCGGCGGTTGCGAATCAGCTCGGGGGTTGCGAATTAACTTGGGGGTTGCGGAATCAGCCCGGACCGGCCTCGGGAGCCCCGAACGGAAGATCTCTAGGGTTCGCTATCTCGTCGAACTCTTCCCTCACTCCGGGGCTAAGACGTCCCCAGCTCACCCCAATCCGCGATGAATTTAGGCTTCAATTTTTAGGGGCTTTTAAGGCTCTCGGGGCTTCTTTAGGGCGCTACTTAAAGACGTAGTTTAGTAAATTACATATTCATACCCCAAGGAATGGTAATTACATTTTCATACCCCAAAATTTGGTGGAGGGGTATGAAAATGTAATTAGGGGTATGAATTTGTAAGGATTCAAGGTTTTGGGGTATGAATTTGTAATTTACCCCGGGCTGGGATTCCGGTGGAGTTTGGTGTTTGTGAGGGATATGGGGGGGGGAAGGTCTTGTGAGTTTGAATTGGACGGTGGGGCAAGGGTTGGAGGGATATGTTGGTGGGGCGGGGGAGGAGTATGCGCTTACGGGGAGGGGGTTGAGGGAGTGGAGGGAGGGGTTGGGGGAGGTGAGTAGGGTTTGATACTGCGGTGGGGATTCTGGAATGGGTTGGGGGAGCGCTGACGGGGATTTAGGGAGAAAAGAGTATGCTTGCTACGATTGAGATGGTTAGGGAGAAGTATGGAGGGGTTGAAGCGTATTTGAATGGCCAAGTGTGGATTGGGGGATGAGGATTTCGAAAAGGTACGAGCATATTTCGTAGATGGGGCACTGGTCAGAATCCATGGTTGATGGAAACATACGATCAGAAGTGGTTAAGTCTAACAACTCAGCTAATTTGACAGAATTTCAAGGAGCTGTCCTGATATGATGATCCTACATAGACACCATTGGAAGAGGAACGATGGTGAAATGCTTCGGTAGGTTCATCTTTGGGTGCTGGTGAACATTTGCGCTGCTCTTCCAACCACTGATTGCCTCCTGGCCTTATTATGACCCACACGATCGTCCCAATATCTGCTTTTCAAGAAGCACAGACTGGGGTAATGGGAAAGGGAACTTCCTGGATGATGTGGTCGCAAATGACGTAGTTCATGATCTGCTACTTTCATTTTGTTTACTTGCCGCGTTGCGGGTATGGTGCAGCAGAGTAGACTGAGCTATCCTGCGACCAATGCAGCAGGCTGCTGTTGTCGTTTCAGGTCCTCTTGTTCGTTATCCCTACAACCATGATTGTCTCTCCTCCACTATGGGATCTTTTTGGCCTTCTTCAAAATATAATTCTGGACTTGGAGATCGGCCTTGTCGCCATTGCAGTAGCTGAGGGTGAAGAGCTTTAACCGAGGGAAATGGAGGGTTCTCAATTGGACCAAAGCTGGAGACTCGCTCCCAGTGATAGCAACGAAGTTAAAAACCACCTCGACGATAATGCCTCCGTGCAGGCGGAAGAAGTCACTCAAAGACTCAATACTTGTCTGATACTGGTTAACGCTTAGCTCCTTGCGGTTATTTAACCCATCAGGAGGCATGACACTGTCTATGGTGGGTCTCGGTAGACCTGCAATGAAATCTGAACATATTTCGCACCGGGTGACAGTCTCGAGGCACCCTGAAGATTGCATCAAACTGCGCAGTGCGGCAACTATTTTTGACAGATTTGCAGGATCATCTCGATCGATCTTGATCTCATCAACATGGAGCTCTCGCACACCACAGTGAGCATTCTTGCAGATCTCTACATTCTCGGCGGAAAATGTTTTCAATGCTGGTTATCCCAGCAGGACAGCTAGTATCAGCCACGGAGGTTAAAACAGGCGGATTTTCAAGAGATGCAATTGTTGAAAAATCCCCAACGCTGCCTGAGAGGCTGCTGTATGAGGAATCTTCCTCGCCATCTAGCCTAAAGACCTTGATCTTGCTAGAGTGACGCTGCTAGCCCCTCAATAAGGGCCGGCAAAGTGTATTGACAGTCGCTAGTTAAAAAGTTTCGGCCTTGATGCGCGGAAAGCGTATATCAATTCGCAGACCCAATGGTGTCAAAGACATTAAGGAGGATTTCGAGGTGAGGGAGGTGCGAGAATGCCCTGGAAAGGATCTTGACGTCCAAAGACTTCGAGGAAAGAAGGCACTGTGCTTCGATATAGCCACGGTATGCTCACATATGTTTGGCCATGGTAAGGGCGTGAGAACTGAAAGAATGTGGCTGGTGCTCTATCCAATCCTTGACTTGGTCTTCGTCGAGGCTTCTCTTAGTCGATAAATCTCATCGGCGACAAGATGATTTGTTTCGGGTATTGAGAGAGCTGAGGGTGCTCTGAGGTGGCCGTGAGTCGTTCTAAACTTCGGACACCGATCCATAGTGGAATGACCTCGAACAGGAAGGGAGCAGCGGCGGCAGCCAAGGCTTTGTTCACAAGGCGTAAGGGTTCAAGACTCTCGTAGGCGACGTCTTCGACGATGAAGCGTAGCAGTTCTTGCGGGAGTCGATCCATTACTGAGTCCTGAAGGATGATGTTGACAACTGGAGAAGATTTGAGCGGAGCCAAACGCAGTCTAGCTTGTTCATTCACGTGATAAACCCGCCAACCCATAAGGATTCCATCTTACCTTGCACCACCCATTTATTTGTTCACGATATTCAAGCCAGACCCATACCCAGTCCACAGCGTTCTTGAATATAAAATATAAGTGCAAGTTTCATCAGCTATGGCTACTTCTCCTACTCTTCTGAGTCTTTGCTACAGAGACCCGCTTTCTGATCTATTCCTACATGCTTCCCAAGGTAGTCAACATGGACATTGTTAGGGATGATATGGATGGACCTCTACGCAATAGCTTGTTTCTCGTCTGCCGATTGATCCACCGCGAAGCGTTGGATACTTACTCCACGAATACCTTCCTTCTGGATTTGTCCGAGCCTGCGTACGCCCCGAATAGATTTGTCAATGGCACGAAAAGCTTACTGAAGTATATCCGCCGTGTCCAAAACCTGCAGCTGGTCGTTGGGGATTCTTTCCCCGTGGATGAGGATCCTTACGCTCTTTCGGAGTACGCACGAGAGCAAGTCGACTGGTTCTTGACAACCTTGCGCGAGGCCAATGAGAACCACCAAGGACCGTGGTTGAAGAACTTGGTCGTCCAGGACAATTGCGAGCCATCGATTCTAACGGAATTCACCAGAGAGGTGCTCGAAAAGGGAAAGAAGAGGAGAGAGCTTCTGATCCTCGTTGCTTGTGCCTTTTAGGAGTAGGATTCGGGCCAACCTTAGTATCGAAAGTCGCGCTCTATCGCAGATCCGTATATACGATGGGTCGCGTGACGCAAATATAGGTATCACGGCCCCAGATACCCATACGTTTGATGGAATTACTAATCGTGTGACAGCGCCGGCTTGGAACACCGTTGTTGGTGTCTCCCAGATGCATTCTGGCATCCCCCCCTGCAGCGAGTGGGCCAGAGTCATCCCGCATTCCTAGGGGCCTTACAAAGTTGCCTCTACCAAGTTCGCAGCGGGTACGCGACTTCGCAAAGGATGTTCCTGGGCGACATCGGACTCTAGCCGTCAGCATCGATGCGCTTCACTTCACTTCACAGGTCGATGTATACTTCGAACGGGATGGCGATGCGTATGTCCCATTTGAGAGGTGAGGACAGCCAATTTGTCTTCTGTTATGGACTCTGCGGGACCTCAGGTCTTTGAAGCGAGGTTAGGCTTAGGCATGGGATGGGGTTTCAAGCGGGTTAAGCATAGGCATGGGATCGGATTTGACGCGGGTTAGTTTTATACGTGGGTTCGGATTTCAAGCGAGGTTAGTTCTATGCACGGGATCTGATTTGTTGAGCTGGTATACAGCTCAACGAAGGATGAGAGTATTGACAGCTTTTCGGGCGCACCCGATTTCTTCAATTGTGGATGATTATGACTGGAAATTGAATGCGATGAGCTTACTATGCTCCCCTTATGCGCCTTTGTTCTTGTCAGCCGTTTCATGATCAATGAATGGAACTGATTGATGGCCAGCTAGCACAGAAGATTCACGTGCTAGAGACATTACCCAAAGTATAGTAACAACAACACACTGTTAGATCATACTCAAGGTTTTCGAAGCTTCAGTATATATTGAATTAAGGCTCCTGCGCTAGGGCTGTACAAAGCTCTGCTGCAATTGCTATAAACCTTCAAGCGTCTTGCGTGGTGTGTGTTGGCGGTATAGAAGAAGCGAATCCTTGCATAAGTCGTCTATTTCGCGGCTGTCAAAACGCTTGCCAGCTATAAAGCCAACCTTGCAAGCTTGCTTCCAAGATGCTTCCCAATCCGACATCTCAATCCAAACGCCTTTAAGCCCATGTCTTCCCTGCTTTTCGTTCAGAATTTCGACAACCTGTTCTCCTTCATGCGCGCAGGCGGCGGCTGGTTCACTCCCCTCAATTGCTCCCTAGCCTTTCCTTTGTCTGCTGGAGCCCCTGCCCCTGCGGCTGTCCCCGATCCATAGTAGCCGAGGTCGTGCACGCTCTGGCCCGGTCCCCACGTCGTCATGTCCACCCTCGATCCAAGGGCCCATTGGGCTTCACGCTTGCGGTGGTATTGGCGGTGGAAGAACCAGCCTCCAACGGCGGCAGCCGTGAGGCCAATGATGATCACGATGAGCATGACAATCCAGCGCCAGTGAGTAGACATCCTAGACGGGCATCAAAGTCAGCATGTGAGTGGGCGGACTACGCAGGATATGTCTCACCAAGGCCCCGGTGTGGGATTCGTAGAGCTATTCGAATCCTGCTGACTCGTACTGGTTGCGCTTGCACTTGGTGCAATCGTCGCAGTTGATGTTGTTGGGCCTGGCGTCGCAGCGGTCGACGACGTTGTAGTACCTCCCGCCAAAGCTCCGAAATTGGGCGCGCCTTTCCCGGCGTTAGGACAAACGCCTTGGTACCACTTCTGAATGGTCATCATGTCTGCTGCTGAACATGAAGGGCAGACTCCCTGAACAGCGGCGCTTGAGTATAATGAGGTAAGGAGGGCCGATTGGCAGAAGCATGACTCGTAGATTTGGTCACTGGTGACTGGTGCTAGTGGTGGTGTACAAGATCCTTCGGCATTGGTGAGAACGGTACACTGTGTCGCGCAGGCTGGAAGACTTGACGCGAGTAAGGTGACTGCTTGAGCGGAGATGATGGGGGTGAGGAGAGATACGATGGAGGCGATTAGGAAAGACCTCATCATGAGCGAATGGATTGTACAGAATGCAATTGATGGTGACGACCAGGTCAGAACGTTGTCGATGAAATGCGCATCAAGAAAAGGATTGATGGATTGATGAATGAGCAGAATTGGTCGTGTTGGAATTGGATGGTGTTGGTTGGGACGGCTCAGAAGAGAAGGAGCAATGTGTGTGGAATGAGACCCTCGATAGCTGAAGTGGAGTCGGGCCGTCCATTATTATTTGAGCTGGTTTCAGCTAGCCTCCTAGCATAAAGTAGCCTTGGCGATCTTCATCCGGGGGCTCGCCGACAGCCCTAACGCTAAGCTTTATTCGGTGTGAGAATCAGTATGAGGGGAAGTTCATGACCGCATTGTTGGTCGTACTCTAATAACATTGTCGTTGTTGCTATATTTACTGTTTGAAAGAGAAGAGTGTTGTGCAAAGAACAGCAGATTGGCTTCTCGACTCGAAACTTCTGATAGATATCACGCCCGTACTACCTTCTTTTTTTCGATCCAGATGCAAGAACCATGCAGTCCAGGCTGTCCACCTTCTGTTGCAGCTACAATGGTATGGTCAGGAGCACGAAAGGGAAGCACTGCGGAACTAGATGCAATACCTGAGTAGTGACACGGCTGTGTAACGACCGTCTGTTTGATAGAATAACATGTGTACGTCATTGCAAAGGGGTGAGAACGCTCCCTGAAGGAAGGCTATGCTGTGACTAGAGCTAGAACGACTGCTATGATTGGGTCGGTCAGAAATCTCCCATAACTGTGTGGTCCTTTTCACTTCCATGGTCTTTTGCGCGGTAAGTGTAAGAGACGGCTGCGTTCTGTTTGGCAGCAATTTGCGGCTAGCTCCTGTGTCAGCACAGGATATTATCATCGTTGAGTAGTTACATCTCGGCCATTTCATTGTTGAGAACAGCGCGTACACAACGAATCCAGAGCAGCTTCCTAAATGGTTCCTGGAACCTTCGTCCCTCGTCGCGGGCGTTCATATCGCGCTCTGTGTGCGGTCGTTGGGCAGCTAGACCACGTCATCGTTCACAGCCTTGTCAGGTACGACCACAGAGATGCCTCACCGTGAAGACTGATGTATTAGCCAGCCTCCCTATCAGATCTGCAAGATCCGTCTCGTCATCGTTGTAATCCAACAGACATTCAGATCCTCGTAGTATCCACGGTGATCACCTTGAAAACCGGAAGAGTGCATTACACAAGACTTAGAAACATTTTGTATATCCTGATGTCTCCCGGGGAAAGAACTCATGGCATCTCTCCCAAGAAGTTCCACGTGAGAGATCTTGAGACATATGGGCAAACCCTCACGTGCGCTACAAAGCTGCTGCATTTACAAACAAGAACCCTGGAGGAGGATCTAGGTATGACAAGGTTCATGTGCTGTTTTTCTTTGCTGGGACGACGATTTGCTCGGAGTCTCTAGAGAGATTGCCGAAGCCGTATTTAGCGATTGCAAATATGATTACAGAATCCACATTAATCATCGCTGCTTTTGGGCCTTCTTTTACAGTTACAGCATGTCGTCGATTCCGATCCTTGTCCTACACCAGTGTGTATGGCGCTTTAGCCTAGTCGGTACGCACCTGATGGATTACAAGAGACCGCCTTCGCCCATCATGAATGAGACGATCATTCATCGGTACGCCTTGTCCTTAGTCGACCAGATTTTAAGTCCTTTGATGCTTTTGGCCCTCCTTTTCTTTATCATAATTGAATGGGCCTTACGATAACTACGAGAGCCCTTCAGGCGCTCCTTGATCAATCAGAAGATGAAATTATCAAGTCGAAACGTATAGCTGCTGTCCAAATTCAAGTTTAACATATACGAAGGTCTTAGGAACGGTGCGTACACTTATCGACGATAACGATTTTCAGCTAATCTATCATGTGTAGTTTTGATCGAGAGATCTTAACGGCCGCTAGCACGAAACGTAGTTGCGATCTATACTTACCACAAGAAGATAGAGAAAGAGAAGGAAATCAAGAAGAAGGAGCACTAGCAGAAGATAGGTCCCAAGAGCTCTATTGGGCGAGATCCTCCCCTTCAGTACTGAACCAATGAACGAAGCAGCTTCCATCTCTACAATCATCTGCCATCCTAGAGAAATTGGGGCATGACGAGCGAGAGAGACTGCGTTACAAATCAGAGCCTCTAGATCACGGTAAGCCAGCCGATCTGTGCCAGGATTGGTGCTATCTAAGACAGCGTGGTCGTCCTCATACCGAAGCATCCTGAAAGTTTACGGATACCTAGACTTACTCTAATAAGCAGTCTCCTTTTGGATCTGCCACAACGAAACGGGATGAACGACTGTATTCAGAAGCCTCAGGTAACGGATAGCATCGCCATGAGATGTGATAACGACATTGGCGTCCAATATCTCTGTAACGACCTGAAGCTTGCAGTCCACCCGCTCGGATGCCACAGCTTGCCATGCTTGCAGAACACGAGGCTCTAGTGGTAGATCCCAAGTACCTCGCCAAGTAATCTTAGCAGTCCGGTCACTTTCAAATATTTGGTATTGGAAAACACCCGCAAACCCAGCCCTGCCATTCCAGAGCTCCATCGATTTTAGCCGTGGCATCTTCATGGCTACTAGCGCAACCGTTTCAAGAAGATCGTTGATATAGACAGACTGCTGTTGAGATTTTAGAACGTTCGAGGTCAGAGCGAGCGATTCCAGCCTGGGCCAAATGTTCCATTTCTGACATGCATCAAAGAAATGTGAAGCATCTGAAACGAACGATGCTGCGAGATGCTCAAGCCCGAGACTGGCTTCGACAAGGGCGTAACCGGTGTCAATCTCTGCGGCTTGTACTGCTAAGGACATGGCTGGGTTATTGCCATGAAAGTTCTCGAATATCACCATTCGCCTCAATTGATCAGATCTAAGTGACTCGCATAGCCGCATTGTAGCTACAAAGCTTTAGCAGAAATTTATGTCCACAGTAACGTGTCTGGAGCCTTACCTGTATTGGTGGGTCGTTCCTCCATTCGACGCCAGTCTCTCCAAGGTTCGTAATGGATTTCGTGGACCTCAGGAAGAAGGTCTAGAAGCTCTTCGAGTACTTCTGACTTCCAAGGACGGCGATTTTGTCGGCGCAGGAGGAGGCTTGTGACAGCTCTAGCCTTTGGCATTTCTTGGCTGGGTTTGGGCTCGGGCTTGCTAACGTCGGTGGTTTTATTGAATAAATACGCAGCCGCACCCTGGTTACTTGTATCGTGGAGCCAATGTGAGCATTGAATGATTTTGGCCTTTTTCGGCTCTGAAATAACACCAGGTCCATATTGGATGGTACTGGAAGAATGCATCAAGGCGCTTGGAGCCTTGACGCTGATATCAAGTAACAAGCTGCCGCTTGGTTCCCATGTACTCAACTGGATAACAAGATCCTGGATCGCCTTCCTGATAGTTTTGGAAGGAACTTGATGCCAATTATAAATCCCCACGCCTCCGCAACGCGGGCAATGGTACTCAGAGGGCTCTATGGAAAACCATATAGACTTCACCAAATGCCGATGGCGGTAGCCAATGTCGCTGAAGCCAGCAAGACGTGATCGCGTGACTTTAAGGCAAGCGAAAATCCTTGGCTCGATGATTGTTTGCCATGCTCGACAGATTGAAGCGTAACGAGCGGAATCTTCATGAAGAACAAGGGCTTCTAGGATATGAGTTTGAATCTCTACGGGTAGAGAATCCCAAAACATTTTGTAGTCTGCTGCCCGAGCGGCGGCCCTAATATCTCTAGATTATGTTGAGATTTGTTGAATATCTACCTGTATTGAGGTAAAATCTAGTGCTAGAAAGTAGAGTACAGATATGTGTGTGCTTGCCAAGCCGCTAGTAAAGTCACGTGATGTAGAGCTGTTTGCCACATTTTCTAACAGATAATAAGAATTTAATCTTCACCCTACCGGACTCGCTTAGACCCTGAATTTAGCGTCGAAATTTTTCATCCAGTGGGCCCGCACTGCCAATTCGAGTTTAGAGTGTATCCACACCTTGGTTAAGGTACGTACTTGACCGTGGCAAGAATTGTCAGAGGCGCTGGGGGAGGGTGGAAACGAAAAGGTCATGATACTTTATGTCCTTTGGCGCCAGGAGATTGAGTCGCACTACACAATTGTACTTCATTGAAGTAAGTCATTTTGGTTTGCTGTCTCTTGACGCCCTGGATGCATAGCCTTGTACGAGTTAAATATAATACTCTAGGGTTGTCTTAGGTCGAGCGTTAAATGCGGACACGGAAGATGCCTTGGCATCATTCACGGTGAGGTGGTTGCGCTAGAGTAATGCTTAACTGAGTAAAGCGTCACTTGACGGAATAACCATTTTTTTTTAAAACCCCCTCATGTTCTAGTCGGAAGGTGCGTTCTGGCTGGATCCTTAATAAGATCCTTCGGATCCTTCCTCCATAGAATCTACATCCTCTTCTACCCACACGATCCTTGCTACCTTGTTCTTTGTTCTGTCATCAGTAGTACCCTCACCTCAATTCCATTTGTATTTGTCTTCGACGACATCCAGCACCAGCCATGGATCCCTATATTGATACCATACCGGACGACCACGGCGAAGAAATTAAGAAACGCGTGAGAGAACGAGATGATCCCGATAACGAAGGACGTCCAACAAAGCGTGCGAGAGCAAGTACGAGTGCCCTCTTACCACCAGAAGGCGATCGACAGGATATCGAAGAGCCTCTCAAGCCCGAAGACGACCTGGACAAGTACGATCATGAACGCCTTCAGCAGGGGCTGAGGTATATTGACGGGGCGGCAAAACGGAAAATCACTCCTCGCACTCAGGAGTTCCTCAAACTTCATAAAGACGCCTATAAGGTTGCTTTAGACGGTGAGGTCCCAGACAAAGCTTCTCGTGCAGTTGTGCAAGCTATGGACAAGGTGTATTTTTCTGCTGCGTTTTATCTCAAGCCACGCTCATCAGAGGAGCATGAACATCTTATGTACTACGTGAAGCTACGACGACTAGAGTTCCTGGCCAACTACGGCGACTATCTCGGACAAGAACTGCAGATTATTCGGGCAGATCTCAATGCAGCAGCCATCGGCGTTGACTCTGAGATACAAAAGGCAGCGCTAGAACTCGGACCATCAAAGACATGGATTACCATCGCAAACGAGCTGGCTGGCGCCGACGTTGCTGACCTTCGCAAACATGTGACTATCGCTTGCGCTGTTCTCGGCATCGACTCGGAACACATGTTATGGCTTATCAAAGAATGGGCGGAGAGAAATCGCGTCTTCCGCAGTCAAATCCGTCAATACATTTCAGATTGTCATTGGAACCGCCTCGCCGAGCAAATCTGCCGCGATCTCACGGAATTGCTCAATGTGGCGCCTGATAAAGATACGGCGGCAAAGTACGAGAAGGTCTTACTCAGCATCCAGAATGAATACTTCGATGCCATAAGTCGTGATGACCCTCAGCTTTGGCTATTGAATGAGAAATCCGAGAAGCTAACTCAGGAGAAACTGGGGAGGGAGAAGAAGCGGGCTCAGAAATAAAGAATCCACGTCACAAACAAGAGGATCCGTGCGCCGCGAGTTATGGTGGAGATTGGCCCTGTCTTCTTCATCTGATGACAGCAACAACAGCCCCATACGTCGCCGTGACTCCGGTCTCCCAGTGTTGGCATTGCCGAAACTGGAGGAGGTTAGGCTGAACATCTCCTCTCAATGGTGGAATAGACATATAGGTCTTGATAGAAAAACATGTTTCTTACCCGATCCAACAGGTACCATAAAGATGCAGTATCACCCTCCTTTGTACTACTAGCTCAAAATCCTACCATGTTAAGCCTGAGGGGCCATGTAATTCTAGCATTCTATACATACAAGATGATGTACATATAATTACGTAATTGGAATATATCTGTCTAAAGCTCTAATCAGGAGGTATAACCTTGAGAGTACTCTATATATCGATTGTACTTGGAGAGAATGAAATTCGACTTCAATTGACGTCTAAATTGTTTATTAATTAAGGCGGCCAAGTAGGAAAAGATGCAACAAGCAAATGGAGTTTGGGAAGACAGATGGGTCAAAATGAGACTGCAATTCAGCTATATCTCAGACGAGCGAGTACGATGTAAGTATACAATGGAAATAAGCTGTGTGCAGGCGAGCAGTAAAGTAAGTAGAGATCGGGTTGCTGCCAAGACTCTAAGATTAGATAAGATCCGGGGCACTAGAAGCACTAGTACCAGCCATCCGAAAGTAAGCCCGAGATTGGCTAGAGTATTCGAGATCAGCCTACAGAGGTCTGCACCAAAAGTCCTCCACCCCCAAAAAATTTTCCCCTTAAAATTTGAAAAAACCCCCACAAAAAGGGTTACTATGTGTTCTCATCCTACCCTGGTATGTGTTCAGTCGTAGACCACATCAGCATCATCACGAATATACACGTCCATACCCATATGAAGGCCATCCGGTGACGTGCCATTCAGAAGAGGCAGCCCTGAGCATGCCGGCCTACCTGGCCAATGATGGCGACGCAGAGCGTAGCGATGGCCGCTCAACCAGCCCTAATTCATACCATGGGTCACGGTATGCTCTCACTGACCTGTCGCGCTCTACAATGTGAAGATGGACAAGCTGACAGGTCATAGTCCACGCTCCGCTCGAGGAAGAAAAGAGGTGGGTATGATCGGTCAAGCCAGCTGGATCAGCAGCGTCATCAATCTGGTCAATACAAGTATGCGCAGACAAGAGATGTACGGTGTAAAGGGGCTCACATTGGCGCAGTCGTCGGTGCCGGTATCCTCGCCATGCCCCTGGCCCTCTCACGTATGGGAATACTACTCGGCACCATCATCATCCTATGGGCAGGCCTGACCGCAGGCTTTGGTCTCTACCTTCAAACGAAATGCGCCAGATACCTAGACCGCGGCGCTGCTTCCTTCTTCGCTCTCTCGCAAATCACATATCCAAATGCAGCCGTTATATTCGACGCGGCCATTGCGATCAAATGTTTTGGTGTCGGGGTTAGCTATCTTATAATCATTGGGGATTTGATGCCAGGTGTGGTCCGAGGTTTCAATGAAGACGCTGGGGGCGTTGGGTTCCTGGTCGATAGACATTTTTGGGTTACTGCGTTTATGTGAGCACTGCGATGATCCTTGCTTGCGGCATTAAGCCATGGCTAACCGATTCGGAACCAGGCTTATCGTTATACCCCTATCATTCTTGCGGCGTTTGGACTCTCTTAAATATACGAGTGTGGTGGCTTTGATATCGATTGGGTATCTGGTCATACTGGTTGTCGCCCATTTCATCAAAGGGGATACCAAGCAGGATAGAGGCGATATCAGAGTGGTCCAACCGCCGAGCGCAGTCGCGGTCTTCAGCAGCTTTCCTGTTATTGTCTTCGCATATACATGTCATCAAAATGTGCGTCCATCGGCCTTTCGCCTCGGCTCCATGTACTGACAGGTCCCTCAGATGTTCTCAATACTGAACGAGATTGGCAATAATTCGCATTTCAGGACCACCGCCGTGGTCTTTGCCAGCATAGGTGCTGCAGGGTTCCTGTATGTACTTGTAGCTATTACTGGGTATCTCTCCTTCGGTAATGCAGTGGGAGGCAATGTTGTTGCAATGTGTAAGCTCCTATTCCCTTTTCTTTTTTAACACTTGGGTATCTGACAACTTAACAGACCCGCCATCGATATCCTCAACCATCGGCAAAGCCGCCATCGTCATTCTCGTCATGTTCTCCTACCCTCTCCAGGTCCACCCATGCAGGGCCTCCGTCGACGCAGTACTCAAATGGCGGCCGAGGCGGAGTGCCGACTCCGCAAATAGTTCTCCATCCAGATCTGGTCTCTTGCAGCCACCTGCTAAACCGTCCACTAAGCCCAAAGGCGATGGCATGGGCGAAACACGTTTCGCAGCCATCACTACAGCCATCATCGTTCTCAGCTACATAGTGGCCATGACAGTTTCATCACTTGAAAAGGTGCTCGCGTACGTGGGAAGCACCGGAAGTACCAGTATCAGTTTCATCCTTCCTGGATTATTCTACTACAAAATATCCTCGCCTGAGTCGCCACATCACCAAAAGCTGATGAAAGAAGATGATGATGAGGACGATGGGTCTGGTAGTGAGGATGAGGGTCTCCTTGGCGGAAGTATTTTGAAGGGCGGACCATGGCGGAGAAAGTTGCTGCGGCGGCTTAGTCTTGCGCTTGCGATTTATGGGTTCATTGTCATGATCACTTGTCTAATCACGAACACGCTGTTCGTGGTTGCGCCTCATTGATAGCGAAGAGTCATAGATCTATAGCCATATAATTTCGCGAATAGACTTCTCATACCCCTAGCTCCTGCGTGCTCTTGAGCTATGTCGTCTGTAATCCAAAGCTATATTTGTACAGTATCATAGTACCCTCTTCGCTGCCGAGGGGAATCTGTGCCCCGATGGTGTAAGCAGCCGACTACCAGTCGCCAAAGTCATCAAATGCCCGCAAAACACCATTTCATGCATTTCCTGTTAAACCAAATCCAGCTCGTCCTCATCAACCTCCTAATGTTATCGTCCCTCCAAGGCATCCGCAGCCTCCTCCTTCCGCGCCGCCCTCTGTTCCGCCTCCGCCTGCTGCATCTTCTGTATACTGTATTTCGGCTCCATCAAACCAATCTGCCCCTTTCATCAGCTATTTCATTCTCACTCTGCCCATCAATTCCATCGTCCCCTAATCTTCTCTTCTCCAGCGTCGGGCACCACTCCTGCAATTCGTTCACCTGCCCTTCCTTCCCTCCCTCCCACCTCTTACGTCCTCTCTCTCCATCCACCGGAAGTTTCACCCAAACGTACGTACCATACTCAACAACCTCCACATCGGCTCGCTCGGCTGCGCGCCCACTCCCAACCAGTACTTCGCCCTCGCCGTATCCATCTTTATATCTTTGAACGGTTTGCCCTCGCCCTGGGGGGCGGGTTTCGGGATCGGGTCGTAGGTGCCGAGGACTTCGAGGGGTTTGGAGTTGCGGGCGGTTCTGGGGGTCGGGGAAAGCGGGGGTCAGCGGGGTTTGCGGATGGGTGGAATCGAGGGGGAAGGAGGTTGGGGGTGAGGATGGGTTGAGGGGAGAGGGAGGAAGGAGGGTTTGGCGTACCGGGCTTGCGCGACGACGATGTTGTAGAAGGGGGCGTTGCGTTTGCCGAAGCGGGCGAGGCGGATTTTGAGGACCATTGCTGGTGGAGCGGAGATGTGGAGAGAGGGTGTTTAGAGGTTGAGCTTCGCGGAGACTTTGATTGGAAAGCTTGCTTTCTGAATGCTCAATCATCGTTGGTACCTTACCTCAAATCTAGTGCCAAGCCACTAGATTTCCAATATCAAGCGCCCTTTCTTGAGACTTTATATGTACTTTAAAGGCTTCCACTTCTACAATTATTTGCTCGCTTACACCGAACACCTTCCTGTGACACATCTTGCCTTCATTCCATTTTCGCTGCATTTGTCTGCTCACTAGCTTCAATTACACAACTTCCATAGCTCCCCTGGACGCCTGGCACCTTGTTGTAGGTCATTGCTTCTGTACCGACACTTTCCACCATGCCCGGACCAAAGCCACCGAAAGCAGTATCTCCCCGCTTGGAGCAACGGCATCCTGCTTCGACACTAGCTCTTAATATGCCAGAGCCAGAGCCAACGCTCGCGCTCGCGCCCAAGTAATCGGCACATCCTGAGCTTGTGCGATGGTACGAAGCGTCCCTTGAGCCTAGGATTGATGCGTACTTAGAGAATCATACGGATCTGACTTGGGTCACTACTACAATGCTGACAGACCGTAAGCCAAATCCACTTGTGGTCATTGGAGCGGAGGACGAGAACGAAACTGGGGTGGGTTGACTTCAGGCGACGGATCGAGCCTCTACTAGGCTCTGCACCATGTGACATCGATCTGACGATTGAAACCGAAACTCCTAAAGAGCTATCAGGAGCTGTCTATGATTCAAAGCAACCAGTCGACGAAGACGCCTCTACCGTACCGTGAGTACGTCCACGACCTGGTGCAGGGAGGCTGGGACATCTTGAAGCCTCTGGACGAATACATGAGCGTGGATATCGAGGATCAAGAGCTAGTCGTACCGATACTGGAAATCACAGACACTTCCCGCCTTGAGCGTCGGCCGGATATACACGATGGGCTTGCGCTCAAGAAATTCTGGGATGAGGGGAAGCCTGCCAACGTGAAGGTTCGAACGTATATGGCTGAGCCAGGGGGCGACTTGGCGGCAGGCGTAATGGCGGCGCTGGGGAGCTCGTTGGATCTGGATCCGAGACTCTTCCAGTCCGGCTTACGTGGGCATAAGCGTGTTCTTGCGCCGTCGGATCATCATAGGGCACCGTTCACGAGCATAAAGTTTGGAGTGCCGAAGCTCTCGACGCCTTTGATGACGGATGCTGAGAAGTTTAAGGTTACGTTTTTATGTCAAGCCTGATGATGATGTTGGGTAGGTGTCAACATTACAAGCAGTTCAAATGCACCCATCAGCTGGTGACGGATGGAATGGTTTGTCTGACTCTTCCTTGATCGTCTGTGTATAATTGGATTCATGTTTCGTAGCCTGTGACACCGACAAACTTTCCAAACATAGTTGTCACGAACCAGCATACTAAGCGATCTTTAGGATCGTCCTCTTTACCTCTCACGCCAAGATCATCTGAACCTCGTCCCATCCCACCCCCAGCTTCACGCCCCCCCCGCCCGCAGCCTACAGCCCAAACACCAGAACCTTCCGCGAGCTCTATCTGCAATCTTTTCGCACCCCGACCTCCAAATCGTAATCCCTTCCCTCTTCTTTACAATATCTCCTCTCCTCCGCCTCAACTGCTTCTGCTGGGGCCGCGTCATAACGAGCATAGGTGATAAAGATCGGCGCATCAATGGCGTATCCGACACCCACGGTCGGACATGCAGAGGGCATCAAGAAGTCGCTGTCGTTGGTGCAGAGGGGTGGGAATTTAGGGTGGAAAGGTGAAGATGTTGGACTGGTGAAGGAGACGAAGAATGCGTTGGGGAGGACTTCAAGCGTTTGGTGCGGGAGACGGAGTTATTGTGGGAGACAAGGGAGGAGATGGCGAGCAATCGTCGGCGGAAGGCGGAGAGGAGGTGGAGCGCGCTGACGAATACTTTTACTTATGTGTACGTTCCTCCACTTGATTCTGACCCCTCATCACGTGGGGGCCTTGTCGAGTAAATACTAAAGCAATCGACATACCAGGTTTGCGCCTATCACCATCATTAGTGGTATCTTTTTGCTATGAACGTCAGTGAGATTAGCACCAGCAACAGTAACCCAAACATCTGACCATTTTCCGTCGCGGTCGTGGTTTTGAACGTGGTGGTCATGCTAGCGCTGGCGATTTCGAATCGGCTGCACATCATCACCAAGCATGGCAGGACCGCGCGCGCGAAGGAAGTGCTCAAATTCGCTGCGCTGTGGGGAAGGATGGGAGGTGAATACTCTTGGAAAAGTCCTGTACGATGCATGTGTTTCACCGATATGGATTTACTACAGCATCGGATCGACCAAGTTACTGGGATCTTAATGGAATTCCTGTTCGCGGTGCGTGGTGCCCGGTGCTTGACTTGTAGGGATGGCCGTTTCCGACACTGACCCTTCAACAGCAACAATGTCACATCTGGTGATGGCATGACTTGCTCGGAACTGTCACCACGGGTTGCGGTATAGCAAGGAGTCCTCCTGATCGAGCCATCCCGCCTTTGCGCACCCGTTGCGGTTATGCTCCCTGTCCGATTGTCATCCCATCGGCACCGTGCGGTGACCGTTTGGAAATGAAAGGCGTGCTAGGTTCGTAGAAGTGACCACTGGGCTCACCTTCCCCCCCGCCTCTTCAGCGGAAATCCCGTCGATCTCGTGCGTCTGAGCGTCTTCACCGCCCGCGTGCTCCTTCCTCCGCGAACTCAATCTCGTCTTCGACGCCCAGTTCGATCCGATCCCGATAGCCACTCGCAGTGCTCATCTTCGCAGGCGGGGAGCGAGGGAGGTCGGGATCTCTGGGGATGCGATGGCGTCGGATTGTAGAGCGGTGGGGGAAATGTGCAACCTAGGGGTTTATTTCTGTCCGGGATTGCGAATTCTCCGGGGCGGGTGCTCAATCCGTAATCCACCCCCTGGAACCGCCAGATTGAACGAGCGTAGAGTACAGAGCTTTCGATGAGGATTGACCACATTCTTCTCAACAGCGACGGCCTTTCTCGTCGCAATCTGTAGGTCATGCTTTATCAGAAGCGAACAATCCAACCAGCGCATCGACATCTCCTTCTTCGATAGTCTCGACAACGTCCGAGGATCTGGGGATCATATCGTAGACTGTAAGCATTGTTTTTGACTGAGATGAAGAGCCGCGGTCGACGTTGATGCACATTTCGCGCTGGCCCGGCTCCTTCAAGATGGCGTGATTTGAAGCAGCAGATAGGACTCTCCGGATCCTTTTCGGCCCATGCCCGGCAAACTACCCGTTTGTAGCACCGTCACATAGCCCAGTCTCGTGTCCGTTACGCTTTGGAGTAAGAAGTTGATGGCGATGGATACTTCTTCTGTGTTGCGTCTCAATGGGGCGCAGGCAGGATCAGCTCCTAGTTGTCGATGATGGACTGCGCTTGTTCGGATGGGACGAAGTTTGGCTTGCTGGTCGTACGATGACATAGCCTAGCAATTTCCCTCAGTTGGGCAGAAAGACCGAGTTGCCCAGTACGCTTCTATGGACTAAGAGGCAGCTTTGTCAACTTTGCTTCGAAATCCTAGACATCATCGACACAGTCTCGTACGGCCTTCTTCAGTCGATTAAGCACAACGAGACCTGCATCAACGATGTCTAATTGATGTCTCATTAGGAACTCGGCGACCTCCTGTTTTGAAGCCTCGTGCACAGCATCAAGCTGCGCCGTGAGTCGACGCATACTGTACGGAGCATGGTCCGCTGGCACACTCTGTAGCCCCCAGGGCGACGAGACACTGGCGGTAGCGGGTAGCTCGTCCGTGATGGATGCTCAAGTGGCTTGGAGGAGAGATGTAGGTAGGGATTCCGAGGCGGTGGTGACACCACGGCAGTGAGTAGCTAGGCTCCTGTAGGTTAGCTTCGGAGCTTCGTATGCATCGTGCCTATTGCGGAGATTTTGAGGACCCTCGCACGGTTCTCGTATTTTAATGATTGAATTGAAATGCCCTGGTGCTCCATGTTCTTTTCTGCCTTTGATTCGAACGTTGAGTCCCCATACTGAGGAGGGGTTCTTCCGTTCTCAATGGTCCTTCACAATTTTCAGATCAATGCGATTGCCCGGCAAGTCATACTCGACCGCTTGGCTCTGGATGTCCCGGCCGGAAAGTTGATCGGAACGATAGATTTCGTGGGACACAGAAGTATGCTGAGACATGGGGCCCAAAATCGCTCAGACATAGCTGGGGAGGATAGAAAGGATAGATATGACAAAGTTTCCAGTTGAGAGTGCTGCAGGAAAGCCTTGTGGTCTTTGCGGCCTGATGGAACTATTCAATATGTACATCAAGTTACCATCTGAAGGCAACAGTCTTGGAAGGTACGGTACGATGCCACTGTCCGCATGAGTGCGCTCGATCTCTCATCTCAGCCGCCAGCTTCGGCTCGAGACGAGCCAAACCTGCGGGTCAGCAGCCTCAGCAGTGACAGTGCGGCGTGGCCAATGATTGAAGTTCCAGCGATGGCCAAGTTCATCGCTATGATTGGGACGGCTGACCGCTCGCGGCGGGCAGAGCGTAGCTTCGTCCTTCGCCGCTGGCTTTCAATTTCTTGAAGTCGGCGAAGGGCATTGATACGAAGAAGCATCGGTGACAGGTGACAGGTCATCAGGGCGTGTAGCCTCCCTGGCCACCATCCCTTCCGCTGCTTCAGCGCGCTCGAAAATTCAGCGACTACACACCGGGCTCAGTAAATTCCCTTTCGCTGACTCCACACTCGGCTCCACTCACGCGTCCCCTTTCAGCTTTTCCCTCGCCCCTTTCGATCCCAAGGGCATTCGCCCGTCCGATCTCTCTCCTCCCCATACAGCCTCGCGTACTCCAGCAGAATCCTGAACGTTGCGATTCTCATATCGACAACCCTCCATGCCTGGCCCACCCATTCCCTTCCGGCCTCTGCAATCTCTTTCGCGATTACCTGCCCCTCTGGCGTCTCTGCTAGAAATCTCAGTGTTTCGGGCAGCTCTTTCATACCCAAGGTGATAGGCACGTAGTGCACCCACGGTTCCAGGAAATCGTTGTGCCACTCCTAGATCATTATGTTAGCAAGACCAAGGCTAACCGCACCTGTTGAGGATGAAGAATCACCTGAAACATAGTCATCTTGAACACCAAGCTCCTCGAGCTGAGCAAGCGCCGAAAGCGTTCTGTGAATGTGTGGCCATCAACGTCCATCAGGAATCGATTAGCGTAAGGCTCCGTGGCAGGTTCCTTTCCCTTCCAGACAACACCGTTCTCTGGATCTCTCATCTCCTCGCAAGTTTTTTCAGCGCACATATCTTGCACCGTGAACTTCACGTCTGCATATTTCGACAGGCTTCCCATGGTATCATTGTGCGCTTTCCAACGACCGGATTTCTCGTCCCGACGCATGAGGGCGACGGGCAGGCTTGGATTATTCATATTTTTCACGAAGCGAACTCGCTGCATGTTTTTCCAGTTGCTATCTTGATAATAGCCATCGATGGATGTGCCGGCCCAGTAGAGATGGTTCTTTTTCTCCTCCCATGGCATGTCTTCGTCTGGATTGTAATCTTTGTAAGTGCCTTCACTGAGTCGTGAGTCGTAGTCCACGGCGGGTAGGAGCAGGTCTTGGAAGGAGGATGCTTTGGACTTTGTGAAAACAGGTACGAGGGAATTGGTCAGGACGAAACCATCAGGTGAAGTGAAAAAGCCGTGTAGCGAAGCGGCATCGGTCTCCTCGCAGATGTCTTTGGCGCGCGTAATGTTTTGAATGAACAGAGGCCCGTCGGTATAATCGGCGCTCTTATCGGGCTCTGATGATTTACGTGAACGGCTTGCAGAGTCCAGAGGGCATGATTCGATCACACGGTCCCACGTCCTGTGTCTGCGGAGAAAATCGAAATAGACGACTTCAGGGTCATGCATTTCAGCTTGCTCCTTTGGCTTGCCAATCTCGTGTTTCTGTGGGGCTGGGCATCCTTCAAGACTTCTTTCCAGCTCGTCGCGGGGAACCACTACCTCGGGCTCATCATGCGAATTGAAAGCGATCTCCATATTAGGAAGGTGGTCCATATGATGCTCGATCCAATCCTTGAGAATCAGGCCATACCATGGACGATTCATGTTACCATTGTAAGTGAGTGAGACATTCTGGTCCTTGAGGTGAACTCCGATTATAGGCGTCTTCCCTACCGGTGGAGAAATCGCTTCCTGCACTCTGGCCCGGATCTCTTTACCAGATACGCTCCAAAAGGGCTCGAAGGCTGCCATGACCGTGTCATATTCATCAACGATTGGGACGTTGGCGTCGACGGCAGCTTTGTACCAGTGGTGAAATCCTGGCGGAGGTTCTCTACTGTATCTTCTCTTGTACTCGGTAACGGCCTGGTCTAAAGTCTTGGACTGCCTGTTGACCATATTGACATGTTTCACCCTTGCATGTTCGACAAGCAGCTCGATCGGATGTTTTTTGCTGCCCGTAAGGCCGAGGAGTCCATTCTGTTTAGATGGTGCCGACCCCGCGGTTCCCAGTGGAGATAAAGCGCCAGAGTTCCGCACATGGTAGAAATATAGAATACTTATGACACCGAAGAATATGAATAGCTTCGAGCACAGAGACATGGATGCCATACCGGCATAGTGGTAGAAGCAGACAAGGAGAGGAGAAGAATGAGAAAATCGGAAGGACAGAAGTCGTTGTTGAGGCACGAGAGGGCGGGAGGATTATCGAATCATTTCATCGGCACGTCGGTCAATTGTAGGAGATGCCGCGTGTTTCCCGTGATTCCCGTAGATTAGTGGTGCTTGGCAAACGACAGTCCAATAGTACGAGACTTCCCACGTGTTTCATGTTTGCCTTCTCAACACTCAGGGGTTGAGGCTATGAGTTCTGGTAACTGTATCTACACGGTATTCGTATGCAGGACGGCTTATTAGCGGTTACTTTACTTGGTAATAGTACCACACTACTCAGAGATTCATGCTACGTCATATTTCTTACACAGTTCTATTCCATCAACGGTAGTAGAATATTTTCTAATAAATCGAGTAGATACACACATCATATAAAGTACGTTACCAAGTAAAACCCGAGATCTTAATGGGATACTGCCACACCTTAGAAATACTATCAAGTCAAATACTCGAAAGTACTATACAGAGAAGATAATCAACGCGCTTAGAAATCTGACTTCAAACATAATCGATTCAGATAATTTTCTCGCGGGGGTAACCTCTGCGATACTTAGCCTGCAGAGTGTGAAGACTAAGGGGTTAGGGGGCTGTCGTTTACTTTAATAAACCCTTATCTATCGGATCTAGGGCTTCACGCTAATCGAAAAATTACCGTTGACAAATTTTAGAAACGTTTCTAGAGATTTCATCGTAACTTCGAAAGACTATCACCGTCGACAGGCGGAGGACTTTTAGAAATACGGTACGTTTATTTTGAGGGGTATTCACCTTCACCAAAAAAGCCACCGTCACTCGCTACGGTATAAACCAGAGCATTACCTTAACACTTTATAAGTTTGAACGGGCCAAATTCTCAAGGCAATCATCAGGCGTACATGAGGCAGAAACTGTTAGGTACACGGAGGCGGCGCTGAGATTTCGGCTGAGAGTTCGAGGCCGCCGTCACGGGCCACACTGGTGCATTCGCCACTTATTAACTGATCAATGCAAATCTCCACTACGCTGGGAATTGAGGCGTAACAAAGGGGATCTTGCAGATCCAACTCTTTGCGGACGTTGATTTTTCTGGTTGGGCTTTGATGTTTCTTACTGCAAAGGGAAGGAACGATCCATGGCAATACCTATACGACGGAAGGTACGGCGACAATCGATTCGAGTAGGAAGAAAACAGTCCACAGCCCACATGGCCATTGGAGTCTGGAAAGGGAAATTGGCGCAAAATCTCCTGGTGCCTCGGTCCGGTCAAAGATGCTGCCCACTGCATCAGTGGATAGGTGTTCCATCTTTCTTCCACGATCATGTGGTCTTCCTCAAGACTGCTCTATCCACGAAAACGATTTTCATTGGAGTATGCTCTGGCGGCGGTCCGTTTGCACCGGGACAAATGATGTGGCAACCACGAATGCGCAGAGAAGCCTGTCAAACGTCATAAAGAGGGACCGCAAACGTTCTCGGAGAAGCAGATCGGGTCATACCATGCTGTGCCCCCAAAAGACCTCCACCACTCATTTTTGAGTGGAAGAGTGTGAGAGGACCCCGGGTAAACCCCGGTGTTTTTCTTGATTTTCTGCTCGGTAGCCAGTCAAAGATCAGGAACGAGCAACGGGCTAACCCACTAAACCACATGCGATGGTCCATGTCCGCTGCAGGATGCACGACACTTGCTGGGCCCCAAGCTACTCCGGAGATACACTGTCTCATTACGTGTTTTAGTCGAGAATTGGCAAGGCTGCTGACTGTATTGGGGCAGGGTTACCTTCAGCCTCCACTTTGGCCTTGATGCTTTGAAGTCTAGGCCTGGGAGATCTCCGAAATGAGCTAGCGTAGGACTCGGACTTACCCTTCACTATCCCCATCCATCTATCGTACATCGGGCGTCCGATTCCATGGGAGACAAATTAAGGCAGTCCCAGTCTCTCCAAAAGGAGTGGTAGGTCAGCGCCTTTGACCTACACTTTAATTTTAGGAATCTCATACGTGTACTAGTACACCCTTTTTCAAGATATGTACAACCCTTAGATCGGGTTAGTGTCGACGATATTGGCTCCGCAACTCTGATCTGGATCGAAGAAAATCTTTCACATCCTTGACTATTGATGCAATCGGATCCGTTCCTACAGAATTGCCTCAAACCACAGCAATGTTGACCTGCATCGAAGAAAATACCTCACACCCTGAACCATCCAAGCAGTCGAGTCCATTTGATTATCGAATTTATTCGATCCGTTTTCTGTAAGATCAATTCAAAGCACGGCAAATCTAGCACACATCAAAAAATGTGCGTCACACCTTTGCATATGTCTGGGGTCTGATGCCCCTGAGAAGTTCCTCGCCAAGCGAACAAACAAGCAAGTGTCACATTACAATCGAGGCAATGCGTAGTACTACTCTAGATAGGAATGGAGGGATCTCCATCTAATCAAGTGCATACTTGGATTATGCCCTTCCCAGTGCGCATATACTACTTGGCTGCTTGTTACTCTGATAACCGCGGACACTAACCCGACTCGAAGGAGTGTATAGGTATCAAAAAGGGATATACACGTGTGAGATCGCTGATTCTATCAGCGCCACATCGAATTACGGTCTTCATCTGCCCGGGCTCGTGGGCCGCGTGACTGCCTCAGGAGACAGTACTGAAAACCCTATGGCGGATCTCTATCATCCTGCAACAGAGTTTCTTTTTCTACCCTTCAAAAAATTATCGTGTACATGAATGAATTTACGCTATCACCACCGAAGAAAGCGAACACAGCGGGTCCGAAAGGCAGTATTGAGGCTTGATACCTTGGTCATTGGTCTCGTATAGAACGTTACATCTTACACGGGCCCGGATCCGTGCTGAGCACCAAATTTTCACTTTTTACGAGACATCTCGGGTCTTACGGCAACTCCCTGGTTGGACACGAGCGTCATCTTTGCCAGGCATCTTGCGAGCGTGCCGCAATGTTTCATGGCACGTTCGAAGGATATGCCAATTGGATTGGATGCCTAAGTCGTTGGTGGAGTTTACACGTCGCTGCTTCTCCTCTTTTTCCAATTAGACTACACGTGCAGAGAACAAGCTCTTCGGAGAGGGCCTGCAGATCGCCAATCAGAATGGCTACCATTTCATTAATGAAATTCCACGGGACCCTCCTCCACAATTACTTGACAGGGACCAGGCATAACAGAGTCGTGTTCGTTGCGCACGGTCGGCCTAACCTAAACGTTCCTGGATAGCAAGCGGCATAAAGGAATAAGCTGAGCTGTTTTGTGGAAATTGGGGCCTCAGATTTGTTATATAAAGCCTCTACAATGCCCCAATATCTTTCCTATCTCCTCCATCATCAAGACCTCCATTCGAACCTCTCTCTCATAGTTACAGCGGCTCTTAACCCCTATTTATTGCAACCTTTCCATCCCTCACTGATAGTGCATCATATTCAACCACCATGCATTTCAACCTTGAGATGGTGGGACTCGTCCTCGCCTTCACCATCCCAGCCATCGCCGAACCTGTCATCTACACTAGCGGAATCACAGGCAGTGCTCACCCCCGCATCACCCCCGCGCCCCAGGTCAACGATGCCCTCGCACCCCAAGTTGCAGGACCGTTGACCATCAGCGTCACCAATTCCTTCGGAAGGTAAGCCATAACCGCCTCTCTCAACCTGAGCGTCCTATCAGAACACACACGCTAACCAGAACCCAGCGGCCTCTACGCCTCCTTCGGCCACAACGCCGGCTCCCCAACCGCAATCAGCTACCCCGGCAACGGCGCCATTGGCGCCTCTTTCGAAGCCGTCTATCCCGCCAACTGGGCCGGTCGCATCGCCATCGGCAAAGATGATGATCCCGACTACATCAACCGTGGCAGCTTGATCGAAGCGAGCTACGACAACGGTGCGCCATTCGTCGATATCAGCTATGTCCAGGGCTTCAGTATCCCCGTAAGCTCCACCCCCTTGTCCCTCCCTCTTCCTTCGTTCTTTCTCCCCCCACCAAATCCACCTCCCCAATAACTCTCCAATCCAACGCGTCTTTATTAACCAATCATCCCAGATCGTCTGCTCCTGCGGCGATCCCGGCACGGGCGTCGTAACCGGCTGCAACATCCCCCTCTACCACGACGACGGCCCCCCCTGCCCCTCCCAGGTACGTATATTTCGGAGCCGACCCCTCTTCCCATCTGGTATTGGAAATCGACTCGCACGAAATGTCCCCGGAGCACGGAAAACCTTTCACACCCCCCAGACTTCCATTTTCCACCTCGGATGAGCAAATGCTGACCCCCGGATCCGCGTACAGGGCCCCAGCGCCATCTGCTTCAACCCCTCGAGCAACAGCCCCCAGGCCACCCCCGGACCCGCGCCGCCCTTCTTCGCCCCCTGCGCCGGCGCCGCGTTCACCTATCCCAACGACTTCGGCGCCGGCGCCGGCTGTGGGACTAATTTGATCAGTTGCTGCATCGGGAGTACGTGCCCTGCTGACCCGAAGCAGCCTTAGTTGGCGCACTGGGGATGTGGGCTCGAGGCGGATGGGGAAGGGGTGGAGGGGGTCGGTTGGACTTCGATGCGGGGGTGCTGAGGAGGAATGGGGTTCCGGCCGGGGTATTTGGTCTTTTTGGAGGCGGATGCCGGTGAGGAGGGATGTGGGGGTTTTTTTTGGGTGGTCTGTAAGATAGAAAGTCACCACGTTCGTTCCCGTCATCGCTCTTCGTGGGTCCCGCTTGTCTGCTCTGTGTTGGGTCGGAAGGCTGAGATATGACCCCCGAATGCATCTGATTTTCTACGTGCCACAAGCCCAAATCGGGTGACAAATCTCCAGAGCGACTTTTGCATTTATATCAGATCCATACCCACTTACATGAAGTTCCTTCCTTATATCCTACCTATCATATATACCCCATCTGGCCATATAGTAGTCATATATTATATCACATCCATACCCACCTACATGAATTTCCTTCCTTATATCCCACCTATCATATATACCCCATCTGACCACACAGTAGTCACACAGCCTCTAGTCCTAATCATGTCAAATATAGCCTATAACCCTTTTTGCCCTCGGTACATTTTGGCTAGAACTAGCTAAACGGGCGGATTCCATCCGTGACGAAAGTGGGAAGTTGCAACGCATCCTTACCGTCATCCGTGACCCTGCCATTCCTACCAGGCCGTCGACAACCGGCCGGGGAACTCTGTAACGGTCCGCCGGCTTTGTCAGGTGGTGACCATCGAGTGATGAGGTTGTGGCTGAGCGGATCCGGTAGGCCTCATGGAGATATTATTTGGAAGCGGCGAGCCGTCTGTATGCTCGTTCCGCAGCAGCGGGTGGCTGTTTGATCGATCCCGTCTCTTTCAGAGCTGGAACGTTCTTTGGTGCCGCCATCTCACGCCTGTGTCTAGCTATTGATGTTGGACCGATAGGTTTATGCTGGATACCTTAGGCAGGGTAATGCGTGGTGCTGGGCTGGGGTGAGAGTACCAGATGCCTGTTCAGGCCCTGCTAGCGCTGGCGTTGAGAGGGTTCGGTTATTTGGACACGTGACTAGTTTTGACCATGGTGTGTACGATTTACTAGGAGCAGATGAGGAGTGGAGATTTCGTGATTCAAGTCATAGTCATGGGTTAGGTCTGACTGGATATGGATACGGAGTGAACGGGCTTGTATTCAGGGATGTTCAATTCGCTTGATTGTATTCCTAAGGAGCGTACGTGTTTTGTCCACATCAACTCAGAACGATTACATACCCCCCACCTCAGGTTTTCTAGTCGCCGCGTGCTCGCACGTTGAAAGGTCTTGAAACATAACATTCCATGACTGCGTCATGGTAGATAAAATGTCCCTGGAGCTCAGGCAAGGATGTCATTAGATTGCCTTGTGTAGAGACATGCATGCGAAGGACTCAGTAGCTGTCGCCTGGTAGCTGAGGTCGGTGGCGACTAGTGCTGATGCGAGCAGGCCTCTTGCAGCGGCCACCGCATGTTTGTCTTTTTTCACAGAATGTCGTCCCCGAGCACTCTCACGCCTACACAGAAGATGAAGGCCGAATCGCGCGAAGGGACTGAGTCAAGAGTGTCGATAATTAATTCGAGTCCCTAGTTCAGATTAACGAATTTGCTAAAAGGTGGTTCCTGCTGTTGGAAAATAGCTTACGTTGCGGTCGATAATCGCTTTTAATCGCTTTTCGAAAGGTATCCTCTCATCGTCTGACAGCAGAAACTCTGAGATACGCTTTGTGCGCTCAGCGTGGGGCAGGCGCCCGTCTTGCTCATTTCTGTGCCGCCAGGCCCCAAGGGTCTGGAGGTTTTGCCTAACCCGCTGTGTCTCGGCATCTGGCCCTCGGAGTGCGAGTCTGACTTCCATTGCGTCAAGCTCCGCATTAGCTCCTTCGTGGGAGGGAACTACATCCAGTGCTCGGAAGAAACTGAACGCAGCAGCATTCTCGGCCCCGCCTGCGACCATCGACTGTCCATAGTAGAAGTGGGCCTCACTAACATATGGACGACTCGGCTGATAGAGCGATGTGTGAGGATCGGAACCTAGGAGAAGGTTCATGATTTCGCGGGCTGATTGAAAATCTTCGCAAGCCAAGCAGCAGCGAGCATGCTTCAAAGCAAAATTCGTGAACTTTAGAAGTGTCGGGACCAGGCTGGAGTGAGGATTCAAGTCCCCATTGCCCAAGTTGTTGTAAACAAAGTCTATGTACGCCATACCATCCTGGCAGGCCTTCATGGCTGGGATGTATCTTCCGTGAGCGATGTGTTCAGTGATACCGGCCTCGTACTTAGTGGTCCGCTCTAGCGTCTCTTTGCCGGTGGATGCCTCCGCCATCATGACCTTGTTGATTGCTTTTTGTGTAGCTTCAGCGTCCAGTCCCTTCGCAACAACGTTGCCATATCCGCAGACTTCTTCTAGGCAATCCATGATCTGATTTAGGGTATCGGCTTTCACTTCGACGAAACTCAGAATGATTTCCAGACTCGATGTGTTTTTGGCCGCAGTTAGTATTTGGCAGACCTTGGTCAAGCCATCCAGCGAGACTAGGAATCTTCTTGGGTCCCCTCCGGCCCTGCCTCGCACTTGAGCGCCCGTCTCGCAAATTTCCACTTCTAGACATGGCTTTTGGCTAAAGCTCTTTTCAGCAAGAGGTACAATAGGATAACGTTGGAAATCATTCTCTAGATGCCAGCCGTCCAGATATGTCTGAAAGGGGGCCTTAACGTGCAACAGGATCCAGTCATTCTCTCGGTAAAGCACCCACAAAGCTTCTTGGTAAAGCTTCTTGTTGACAAGTAGGATGGCGGGCTCGAGATCGTAAGCCTTCCGTTTCATTTTCACAATGGGACTCGGAATGAGCAGGTGGCGGTAGATGACATGGCGTAGTTCTGGAGGTAGGCTTAGGAAGTTGCGGGGGTTGGAACGTCGCTGGGCTTCTCCAGACATTGTACCTATGGGACGATTCATTGTTGTTATGACACCCTTTCCTATTATATTTATCATTGAATAGAGTCTACTATACCAAGGACCTTGGTCCATCCTTGTGGACGTAGAATAGTATGTTACTGTGTCCAGCTCAGCAAGTGATCATAAACCTTCTGTCGAAGACTGAAGGCTTACGATTAATCGGCAGTATTCGGAAATAAGATTGAGGGGTATGGTATCACAATGATAGTGGGCTGGCTAGAAGTGAGGTGTCAGATGAAAGACTATCTATGGTGTGAAGCCCACGGATGTAAGTAGTGCCAAGCCACGCTAGGCCTGATTGGGGCGCATGCGTGGAAGGTAGGCTGGAAGGTAGGCTGGAACCGTGACATGAGGTGATGAGGAGGGTTTTCGTAGCTGAGGGAAAAAAATCGTGGAACTAAGCATGATATTCTCATAAAATGAAGACTTCGGCCTGAGACTTGAAGTCGTTTGATTTGCGATATTCCGACCGCCGTTAGTAAATGTGCGTGCATCAAGGTGGAGCGTCACAGAAATGGCAAGGAAATCTTGATAGGGCTGGAAGTTTCACTACACCTACCCGGCGCCGAGGGTTTAGATAAGCAAGCTCCGCACAGCCACCAATAATAATAATAATAATGCAAGGCTGACTGAGATATGGAAATCTGAGGTAATCAGCGATCTAAAGAAGTCCTTTCACCTTTTCAACTGGCATGAGCAAGGAAGACTACTGGATAAATCATTTACCCTACCTCTGCCCATTGATGGGATCTAAATTCCATTAAAAGTGTCTTTGGCCTGCCTTTTCAATACTTCTAGAGCATTAACAAAGCCGACAACACTTTCCTACTACTATTACCCCGTTGCTTGATCTTCGATCACCTGAGCTTTCCTTTTTTTCGCACTGTGAGCTTAAGAATACTCTGGCCAGCTCTCGCATTACCGGTAGCAACCAGTCAGCGCCGTGCTCTCTTTATAATTATACTGAACGACGTTCACATGGCATACTCTGGCTAGCACTTGGATCTGTGGCATCCGCAAGTGGGAAAGATCTTTACTTGCAAGCATATCAACGTTTTGCCTGTTTATAAAACCCAGGCCATCCCGCGAAGTACTGCTTTGACAGGCCATCTATTCTGTGTTCCTGCAACACTCTAGGCATCGCCCCTTTTAGCTTTCGAGTCAACGCGCCATGTCTCCAACGACCATCTCCACCATCCCAGAAGAGCTCCGCCAAGAAATCATCAGCTACCTCAACTACGACGACGCCTGGTCCCTGAAAAAAACATCCACCCTCTTCTATCGCGTCGTCGAAATTCCAACCATCAAAAGTTTCCTAGCTTACCCATACGGGCCGTCGTTAGGCATGCTCGAGGAATGGCAAATCATACCGCAAGGCTATGAAACGTGCTTCTACTGCAACCGCCTCCTGCAGAAGGAACATTTCAGCCGCTTCCAGCGCCATCTAACGGCAGCCAGACACCACACGCTCTGCTTCAACTATGCCACCTGGAACCCAGCGCAACACTACTGTCTCGACTGCGGCGTCAGACATCACCACTACCCAGGCGGCAAGAGAATCTACGTCGGTTTCGGAGATCCCGGATACAAAGACGAAGCCGTCATGCCTTGCGAACATTGCGGTACCCTGGTCGACTACGAGCCATGGGATTTCAGATTCTGTCCCGAGTGCAATGGACTCCTTGGCGCCGACGAACTTAGGTCCCGATGGATTCACAACACATCCTCATCGGACTCGCATCTGGAAACGGAGGTTGCAGGTCATGAGAACCAGTCTGAAGAAGTCACGGAGCCTGAGAGCAAGGCTCATGAGGATGCTGAACCGGGGTCTTTGTTGGCTTTGATAGGCGAGCGTCTGCTCTTCTAAATTTGCCGGAAACGAGCATTGAGAGCGTCAGAGAAGAAGGGAAGGTAAGGGAAGGGGAAGGGGACACTGTGTATGACAATATCCGAAACAGGACGTTGATCAGGGATAATACGTCTCTGACGCAGAAACGGTTGACTGTACTGCAATTCGACTGAGTTCATCAAGTGAGCTACATAGCTTGTGGTGGTTTCAGCGTCGAGTTGGTGCATTGGTCTCACGTATGACGAAATTCAAGTAAATATTTTAATGTGACCAAGAGAGGCACATCCAGCGTGGGCGTACAGCACTCCTCAGTGTGTTATCTGCTCAGCAGGGTCGTCTTGTTCTCTCCCAAAAATGTCGTTATGACGTATTCAGACTCAGCCTCTGATGCCTGGCCCAAATCCATGAAGATTGTGTGTGGAAAATGGGTACTCTTGCCGAGTTCAAAGTCTCCAGAGAGATGGCATCAGGCCACTAGATATGGAATTTTATATAGACGCTGCTTCATGCAAAGATAAAGACCATGTTATCAAGTGCAATGCATGAGATTATGGAATCCACAAAAGGCGCAATATTTAAATCATGTCAATCGGGCTCGCCACCTAGCTAGCAGACAAAGAACGGAGAGAAGGCGGGGGAAAGGAAGAGAAGAATGGAGAGAAACTGATTCGATGATGTTGATGTAGGTCTGATGCAGAATTCTTGGACCTGCATGGCGTGTGGTAATGTGCGCTAGTCCCGATACAATATAGCTTTGTCAGCCCTGTAAGGCGAGAAGGGCAGTACCGTTCTCGATACTCTTCAGTAAAAGGAGTAGTCCACAAGGCGCGATGACCAGTCAGACTGTGTGCAGCATGTTACTATAGAGATTAAGCCTTACGATCTTCTGTGCGTGTGGGACAACAGCGAGAGTTGTCAGCAGCTTCGCTGACGTGCTGAAGTCTTGGGAGGGACATGTCGTCATCGTCCGTCTTTCTTTCTTTCTTTCCTTTCCCCTCCAATATCCGGCATCTGCAGAACGCGTACGGATAAGACCCATCAATCATGGCACTCAGAGTATGAATCAGTATCTACCATCTCCGCGACGAGCTAACAATGATCACCAGACTCTCAATGCCAAAAATGCCGGAGCATTGGACAAAGACCTCATGAGCATCGGAGCCTTCTCCCTTGATCAACTGATGGAATTGGCCGGCCTCTCGGTCTCTCAAGCAGGTTCGTAGACAATTTGGTCTCTGAGACTGGCGATTCTGAAAAAGTCTGCGCTTAGTCTACCGTGTTCATCCACCAAGCAAAGGAAGGAAGATCTTGGTGGCATGTGGACCCGGCAACAACGGTATAGGATATAGCTGTCAAGTCTCTTTTATCTCAGCTTATAGATACAGGTGGCGATGGCCTCGTTGCCGCTCGTCATCTTTGGCACTACGGATATCAACCGACCATCTTCTATCCCAAGCAAAGCAAGAGCGACCTCTACGAGCGTCTGGCTACTCAGCTGAAGAATCTGGACGTGCCATTTACCGAAGATTTTAATGGCTCCTTGAAGACTACAGATCATGTAGTAGACGCCATCTTCGGTATTGCCAGTAAAGCTCCAAGACCCGTCTCGAAACTCACGTTCTCCAGGATTTAGTTTCTCGGGCGAGGTGCGAGACCCTTTCAAGGATCCGATCATTGCTATGGAGACCACCAAAGTCCCTGTACTATCTGTCGACGCACCATCGTCATGGAGTATCGAAGATGGTCCGCCCGCATCAGGCCCAGGTGCCAAATTCCATCCAGCAACTTTAATCAGTCTGACTGCACCAAAGCCGCTTGTTAAGCATTTCACGGGCACGCACTTCGTTGGTGGAAGGTAATTTCCTCACTCATTATATTACCAAGGTTCTTCGTATCATAGGCTTATCGGACAGGTTCATACCGCAGTCCGTCGCAGAGAAGTATGATCTAGATATTCCAGATTACCAGGGTGTGGATCAAATCGCCGAGATTGGCGGTACCGGTACGGAGGCCAAGAAAGAAAAGGTCGTGGGGCTTGCGGAACGGCAAGGGTAGGTGATCAAAAAACAACATCAATTCGAGGAAGAATGCTCAGCTCAGTCATCACTGAATGCACTCTCACATTCTGATATGTATGTAGACACCACTTGTGAGGAGAAGAAGAGTAAAGAAAGTTCTTATAACTCCATCACTCTATTTTGTACTGTCTTTCTGAAAGCCAATTGTCGATGAGCACCTTCCTATCGCGAGCTAGCGCAAGTGTCCGATAGCGGAACCTTTGTCGTCAGACCGCGACTTCCATTCAGACATTATCTTTTTGGCCCATGGCATAGGTATCGTATATCGTATGAATACTTTATGGTGCTGTCGATTGCTACTACGCACTACAGTAACGAAAAGTACTTCAAATGCATCCTACAAATGCCGCTTTGACAGTTTTGGCATCGTTCGCTCTCGTCATCGACATCACGTTTGCTCAAATCGATAGCTACGACGTACGAGAGTCTACAATCGAAGGAGTCCACAATGCCCTCTACAGCGATCTTACGTCCTGCCGCAGCCTTGTCGAGTCGTTCATCGCCCGCATTGAAGCATACAACCCCACCATAAATGCCATCATCACACTGAACCCAAATGCATTATCAATCGCGGACCAGAAGGATTATGCTCTGGCCGCCGGAAATGCAACCGGGGCTCTGTTCTGCATCCCAGTGCTAGTGAAGGACAATTATGATACTTCGGACATGAATACAACAGGCGGATGTTTGGACCTCGCAAATTCACAACCAACAGTCGACGCAGCCGTTGTTACTGCCCTGAAAAACGCTGGCGCCATCATCCTAGGCAAAACGAACCTCCACGAACTAGCTTTGGAAGGCTTGACTGTTTCATCGCTCGGCGGTCAGACGGTCAATCCCTATGATCACACCCGGACCCCAGGTGGCAGCTCCGGAGGCACAGGCGCGGCGGTTGCAGCATCTTTTGCCGTTTTCGGCACTGGGACAGACACAGTCAATTCGCTGCGCAGTCCCGCAAGTGCAAATAGTTTGTTCAGTGTCCGACCTACTAGGGGTTTGATATCTCGCGCGGGTATCATTCCCATCTCTTTCACTCAAGATGCCATTGGACCAATTGCTCGGAACGTTGATGATCTCGCTGTTGCTCTCACGGTCATGGCAAGCGTTGGCTACGATCCTGACGACAATGCTACAGCCTTGATACCGTTCAGCTCAGTTGGTCAAGACTACTCTGCTGCGCTCTACGGCGGCTCTCTCAAAGGCATGCGTTTTGGCCTGGTCGAAGGCTTCTTCAACCGCACAGCTAGCAACGAAACAACACCGGTCAATCAAGTTTTCAATGGCGTAAATGCTACACTTACCAACGCTGGTGCGACCGTCGTCACTATTACGTCGAATATTTTCAACTCCACTGCCATTAGCAACGCCTTTGATACCCAGAGATTCGAGTACCGTCAAGAGATGGATACGTACCTATCACGGGCTTCCCTCCAGGGTACACATCCATCAACATTAGCCGGATTGTACTCCAGTGGCAAATACCTCGTGATACCAAGTCAATATTCCTACGTCGACACTTCTCTCGTGTCATCGACCGACAACATTACTTACGCAGGCATTAAACTTGGAATCCAAAATCTCACAGTCGCCCTCGAGAATACGTTCAAGGCCCACTCGCTCGACGCTCTAATCTACCCCGAGCAAGCCAACCTCGTCGTCAAAACCGGATCGCCTTCTCAATCCGGCCGCAACGGCATCCTAGCCGCGGTCACCGGCTTTCCAGTCGTGACCGTTCCGGCCGGCTTCTCGCCAAGTACCGCGGATGCGCCGGTAGGGATCCCGATCGGTATGGAGATCTTGGGCATGCCGTGGACGGAGGCGAGGCTGTTGAACACGGCGAAATTGATCGCAGAGGTGATGAGAGTGAGGCGGATGCCGAAAGGTACGGAAGCCGCCGTCGAGAGCGTGCGGTTGGGAGAAGTGCCGAAGATCGTGCCAGATACGAGGGATATACCTAGGGCTTATCCGGTTGGGATCCTGTAGGCGAGGCACTGTCTTTAATCATACTTCTGATGAGTTGTGAAACTTGGCATGCGAATTTATCACGAAGTTCGATGTTAACAAGGGTCGACGTCGAAAGGAAACAATGATGTGATCCGTCCCATGAGGTCCCAAGACAACGGTGCCCAAAATCCCATGCTCCCGCTCCGCTGAGCGAGCTCCAAAACTACCGCCCGAAGTAAGATTTTGGCGCCGTGGAGGCCAAATGTGGACTAGCGTCAGACTCGCGTATGCAAACACTCAGCGCGTAGTATGTACAGCCCGCCAAACTTACAACCATCACCCCTCTACTTCCCTTTGTTCCTGATCACCATCATCTGATCACCTATCATCCATAGCAGGATGAGACGGACTTGTGAAGAAATGACATCCCTGTCCTTCTCGATCAGCTTCGCCCCAGGTCTTTCAGGGCCTGATGGCGCTCGTCGCCACATCTGCATACATGACATCGCTCAGATTCGAAACCGTCATGTTTGATGAACGTCTCGGAGAATTCGAGGTACAGTTGATCGCTGAAACCTATCTCCACTCCCCAGGCTGTGACATGCAGGGGCGGGCCGGGATTGGAAGAGGGGGCTTAGGGGCGCAACGGAACGGCGCGGACGTATCACAACAACTGTCGATTAGGGCACCCCAGGATTACAGAATATTTGAATTTCCTATATAACCTCACACAGTCTTAGTCTATGCACATGAAGAGTAATCGCGACACTGGATTATCTTGTAGTGTGGAAGCAGCCGTTGTATCGGAACTTCAAAATTTTACCTCGCTATTTTTTTGCCAGCTATCTCGAGAAAATCTAAGAATTTATTAATTTTTATTTATAATAGAACGAATAATTAAAATTTTATAATTGATTTCTTAATCTCTCGTATAATTATTAAATCTATAAAGTTTTTAGAGCGTTGTAAGTTATCGTTGTGAGGCTATTCAAGAAAGCCTTTTTTTTTTTTTAGATGGGGTCTAAAATCGCGATTCTATTTCCCAATATTAAGAAAATAGGGGTATCAAACTTTCGGGCTGTGAGCCGTTGTGGAACGTACACTGAATTGCAACGAGCGTATTTTTGATGTTCGGTCGGAACCCCTGAGTTTTACCTTGGCCTTGGAGCGTACTGTGTCTGGATCACTCTCATAGTCTAGAGAGGTACAGTATGGGCAGCAATCTGAAGTACGAGGGCGCGTTACATTTACCATGTACTTCTATCATATCGCCTTGATATCCAAAAATGCAATTAGGGGGTTCAAACAGTGGTTCGACAGTAGATCGCCCGTGACGCTAAATTAGTCTCCGTTAGCTTAAAGACGAAACCTATAAGTACCTTAAGGTACGAGTGCCGCCGCCCCACCATAAACTTGAACTTGAGCTTGTCCTGTTGTATCTCTGCTTCTTTCTTACGAATCTCACCTCAATGCTTGCTTTCGTCCTTCCTCTGTGCGGCGCGCGTAGCGTTCTCGTATATTTATTACCTTCTATCATTGCATGTCTCATGCCAACTTTCTTCCAACTTTCTCCCGCCACCCCTTCGCCTCTTCCCGGCGATCGCCCCCCCATGTAACCACCCTAAGGGAACTTTGGGGCCATGTGCTCCTCCGGTGATGAGATCGCGTTGTATCAAATTGTAGGATCCTGCACATGGCAAGGCGTACTTGCGAGCCACCTTCGGCCTATGTTTGACGACGGATTTCGTGGAAATGTGCTCCATTGATGGTGAAACCTCGGTCTATCAATTAGCAGGACGCTGGACAGGCCATGGCACGGTCGGAAGCCACCTTCGGCGTATGTTTGAAGAGCGAGTCTCGTCGACGCGTTCCCCTTCAATGATGAAAAGCCATTTGATCCACTTGCGGGATCTTAGAGGGGCAAAGGAGAAGATACGAGCCACCTCCGACCAGAGTGTGGAAAACCGAGCTTGGTGCACTTGTTGCCCCCTGATGACGAGAGATCAGTACGTTTTCTCGAAGGACCTTGGACGGGTCATTGTGTCAGCTTGCGGGACCTTGGACAGACAAAGGCAAAGCTGTGAGCCATCTCCAACAACTTTTTGAAAACAGGGCATTTTGGAGATGTGCCGCATCGAATATGTTAGATCAGAGTATCGACTTGCAGCATTGTGGAGAGATCGTTGTATCAAGTTGCGGGACCTTGGACCGGTAAGGTAAAGTTGGGAGATGGAAACTTCTGAAGCATAGATCAAAGGTAAGTGGAGAATTAGTTTATGAGAATGGGAGTCTCGTGCGTTTTCAAGCCACAAGAAGAATTGTTGGCAGTGTTATAAAGCTACTTGCTGTGTCTCTATTATTGCACGAAAATCCACTCATTTGCTCACAATTCTCAAGCCTTGTCTACTATTTTTCTGCTAACTCATTGCCACTGCTACGACACATCAACAACCCTGTGCCAGCAGTTATCACACATTCCACCGCCGTCATGATGCGACTTTTTCTCCTCTCTTCCCTGTTCTCTACCGCTCTGAGCATTGTTCTCCCGGCTGAGTGAGTATCCTCAACGCCTTCTGAATCACCTGACTAATGACGGAAAGACGTGACACTGTTGCCTTCGAAGTCGCGGGGCGCGATCTCGTCCCGCGGGCAGATTCGCATTCGACCTCGGTAACCATGGATCCCACGAGGCTCAGCTATGGCAATCTCAAACCGGCCGATGTTATGCAGCACCTTAGCGGTCCCTGCAACGACCAGCTCACAGGGTGTGATTACGAAAACACTGGATCTCTGAACATACCGTCTGAGATGTATGTGGACGCGACAACGATTCCTATAGCTGGAACTCTCAAACTCAATCCAAAGGGAGACTTCTCTCTCGGCAATGGCTCGCAGTTCGTCGACTGCATCGTCAAGAGTGTACCCTACGGTGCCCAGGTGAGTTCTTACATAATCCCTCGCTCGTGTGGTAGCGCAGGTTCTGGGATATTGTCTCAGAACCACCAACCTTGGCCATGCAGTCACCCATCCCCCTTGTCTACAGCTCGAGATTATGCTAGACAAAAACCACCGCTGACAGCTCGGACATGGACAGTGCAAGACTCAATCATGGAACCAACTCACCCTCAACCCAAAACCCCCACGCCCCCAAACTCCGTGGGCACGGCGACATTCTGCACCATGAGCAACTTCGTGGAATGCAGCAGGACAGATACCGCCAACGGCGATTCTGCAGGCTATCTGCAGGTCGGGGTCAGCTTCACGGCGGATGCGGGTTCCACGTTCGATTTCTGCAGTCTACTTTCCCTGTTCTCGGGTCTCACCGGCGTCCTCGGGCCCTTTTTTGGCACCGCGGCCTGGGCCTGTGACACCGGTTCGGGCGGTAAATAATCGCCGGGTGCAATCTTTCCCGCATGGAGGATGCGACAGGTGGACCGTTGGCTGTCGGGAAAGAGCAAGAGTGGAAGTATGGCGGCGGGGGACGGTGGATTGTCTTGGTGCTGTTTGTGACATCACTCGGAGCGCATTGTCATCGATACTTTCGACCGTATGAGTACTGTATGTGACGGCTTTATACCCTCAATAACACAGTGTAGCGGTGGTTCTTGATCTAATTGAAAGCCTGTTACACGCAAGCAATGATTTTGATGCCAGTGATCACCAGACGTCATATGCGTGCAACCCAGATAGTCCTTCACGACCGTGGTGCAATCATCCACCACTCTAAGAAAAAGGGCATCATTTTCCGAACTCATGCCGACCTGCAAACATTTTATGGCGCGCAGCTATCGTTACCGCTGTCGAGCCTATGCTTTTTGCTTGGATCCCGATTCAATCGCGATCCCGTGTTAATTACCGAATGGCCGAGGAAGGATGGGGGAAAGATCCCCTCCAAACGGCTTCAAAACGGCTTCAAATGTTGGTTTCGAGACGGGTATCGGCTACGTATTGAGTGAGCTTGTGCCTGGATCTCTTTGCACCGAGCGTGGTATCTGTTTCTTTGATGTTAGAGCGAACCGTACAGTTTTGGGTTGGTGGAAAGGGGGACGGGTCACAGCAGTCTGTTGATTTTTCTCAGAGGATCTTGTCTTGGTCTTGCCGAAGCACCGAACATGTAGAACGTGTACTCTCGTCAATGATGTGTGTATGTATCAACAAGCGCGAAACCACTCGCTCTCGTCAACATCTCCGAAGCACACCCCCCTCACTCCGCCATTTCCGACTGTCATGCCAGGAACTCCCTAATTCTCCCATCCATCCACTTCGTATCGGCCTCACTCATCCCACCCCCCGCCGCATGCCCCCACACACTCTCAATCACGGCCAGTTCCCCCTTCCTCAGCAACCCAACCTCGACCTCGCTATCCGCGACCGCGAAGTACTGATCCGTCCGACCCGGCATCACCAGCACCCGCGCCTCGATGCCCTCCAGCGCTCTCTCATAACTGCCATCGTCCCGCGTCGTGCCGACATCGCCCGCCTGCCACATGCGCGCGAGGATCAGCACGTCTTCGGCGTCCCATTCCTCAAAGGACTTCTCCATCACGTTGGCGATGTACTCCTCCACGCTCCCGAACCCGAGCGCGTTCTCCCACTGCCGTTCGCGGAACCAGGCGCCGCTGGTCAGCCAGGCGCAGTAGGCTCGTCCGAAGGCTCGGAGGCCGCGCAGGGGCCGGATGCCTTGGGCTCTGTACGCGCCGTCGGCGTAGTCGGCGCTGTTCAGCAGTGCGGTTTTGGGCCCTTCGAGGAAGGCGTAGTTGTGGCCGCTGGTGCGTGCGGAGCCGCAGATCACGACGGCGTTTTTCACGAAGGTGGGATACATGCTGGCCCAGTAGTATGCCTGCTGGCCGCCCATTGAGAAACCGATGACGGCGTCTAACTCGCTTACGCCGAGGTGCTTTGAGAGGAGCTCGTATTGCGCGTGGATGCAGTCGCGGTAATCGAGGGTCTTGGGGAAGTTAGGGGTGTTTGAGGGAGAGGAGGATTCGCCGTTGCCGAGCATGGCTACGACGACGACATGGTGGGAGGAGAGTGCGCCGTTGTCTTCGTTGAAGGTGAGGGTTGTGTTGATTTTGCCGCCATAGCAGGTAGGTATGCAGACTACTTTGGAAGAAGAGGGGTTGTAAGAGCGATAGGCGACTTTGATGGGGATACTTGCGCCAGATACGAAGGTGAAAGAGGGTATTTCATAGTATTCTACGCCCGTGGCATCATAGGTTGAGGAAGGCATTCTGCTCAGTGGAGTTTAATCAATGGAACAAGATTTTGGGGAAGATAACATGAGCGCACGTAGACAGGTGGTGTGGACGTTTCCGCGTTTGTTATTGAGAGTAGAAGGGTGGAATTGGGCAAGCGACTTTAATCTTTCACGATACACCACAAAGATCAAGCTCAAGAGTAGTTAGAACCATACGATGGATGACATCACTACCTTCCTGATCGGTCCAAGGCGTGCCGTCACGTGAGCGGTAATATCTCCGACAAACCCCTTGTCCAGCATGTAAATTTCTTGTTGGTGTTCTTGAATGCTACTCTTTCGCCCTCTTGTACCGGCATGAGCATTTTCAGGCTCGGAGAATCTAGATAAAATTTTACTGATCTGAAATATTAGCCATATGTGAGATGCCCAAGCACTTACGTGCCAAAATTCTTTCCTCTCAGCCTCAAGCACCTGATGTCGACAATGCTTTCGGACACTCGACGTATAGCCGAGGTTGGGAATGAGCCTCGAGGACATGCACACTCTCTTCTTTAGCTGAGGCTCGGGCATTGAAGGAGGTTGCCATGTTACTTTTGAAGGTGATTGGCATTTTACATGTTCGCGGTGCGCGATTGCGGACTCGTGACATTGGTCTGACACAGCCTCTATTCGCGGGGAACCCTCCCTGCAGGATTGGAAAAAGCGTTCCACCAAAAGAAAGAATTGGCAGACTTCCAAGTGTAAGGTCAGGTTATCTAATCCGCCGTCAGGATTCCAAGAGGGTTGTCTTGAGGAACTCTGACTCATGTTCACACTTCATGGTGCGTCAATTTCGACGCATGACCGATGACCTCCTTTAGGTGGTTGACGACCTCCTGCGTCACGGAACTTTGCGAAGGAGGAGTCTCGGTAATTCAGAAAGAACAGGATTGTGGGAATCTCGTAAAAGTATCCAGACAGGGCCAATCACATCCCCATGGCCGTACTAAAGAATGATCAGATGAAGATATATCGATTGATCATGTGTGGCTAGCACTTTGTAAATTTTCCAACAGACTCCATCAAGACTATCTCTGATGGTGCACACTGTGTGGTTGAACAGCGTATCTCCACCAACGTTATGAAATGTTTGAGAGTGGAATAGAAAGTGGGTCGACATGATCGCTGTATATCAACACGAAAAGAAAGGCCTCTGTATCGGCTTCGCCGATAAAAAGCTTCTTGGCTGAACCCCGGACGGTTAGGGTTACGATTTGTGTACTACGGCGGCCAGCCCTAAATCTAACCCAATAAGAATTCCCAACACCAGCAACTTCTAACTGTGAAATTCGAACGTTTGAAGAGACTTGGGCTCTTTATAGATTTCAAAAGAATAGCGAAATCCGTTCAAGTTGTAAGAGTTGACTAAAAATAGGATGCCTTTCACTGATTGGCGTGACCGGAAACTTAAGTGTCCAGCGTAAGCCAAAATCCATCCAGGAGCCAACTTTTTTTCAACTCATTTTATGGCATTTAGATGGGTGCCAAATGTCTTCGGCAGAGGCTGATTGGTCGTGAAGATGCTGATCTTTCATGGGCGCGCAGATGTAGGGGTGAGTAACCTCTTGGCTTTTCGACTGATCTGGCGAATGATTCGGAGTTAGGTGGGGCGGGTTGGGTGAATTGGAATTTAGGTGAGGTGGGATGCCCGCCAATGAATATCAGTTTTGCGTAATCATGAATTCATCGTTATATTTGTGAGTGCATCTCTAAAAGCACATGAAGGGAGAGAAAAAACCATGAGAATCGGGCAGCGCGACGCTGCGCTGGCATTGCCTAAAAGACTAAAATAAGCGAAGAAGAAAAGGTGACGATCTTCGCAGGATTGCGCCTGGTGCGGCTGTCTGGACCCCCGCATTCTTTGACATCACCACCTTCCTTGATCGTCAATAGTGCCGAGTCACGTGAGTGATTTCGGCCCAAGAACTTGGATTAAGTATCGTTAAGGTAGGGGCCACCTTTTCGGCGCGTAAAGGCTGCAGCGATAGCCTGATAGCCTGATACGAGTAGGTACAGTAGTGAACACCGCCCTCAAGGCCTGGACAACACCCATTCTCCTCCAACTTCTTGTCGCTCTATTAGCTGCGTCAACTGTACATTGCATGGTTGTAAAGAATCCAATTAGCTCATCATGCTTGCGATCCCTAGAAAACGCTACAGACTGATTCCGCAGTCGCGGAGCCCAGATCCTAAGACCTTGATCTCATGCATATCATTATTAAATCATTGATTTCAAACTCGTCCTCCGCGGACTGGTCCGAACCGAGCCTTGAGGACTATGCATCTTATCCTCCAAGAGGGGAAGCTAGGGATTGCAGGAAATCTATTCATGATAAGAGTTCGTGGTGCTCGCTTGCTGTGTCGCAAACATTTCCCAAAGTGGCTTGAAGCTGCGGGTACTCGGATCTAAACGATTTCCTTCTTGAAGGGTTGATAGGGCTGGGAAAATGATTCTCATAGCTTCTCCCATCTCGAGAAAATGCATCGCAACAGTCCAGCAGGAAAAGGTGAGTGAGCATCATTTCATAAATCTTTCGAGATTATCTTTGGCTCCACCGGCTCCTTAGATCCTGTCAGTTCTGGCACGCGAGTAGTAACACTTTTCAAGTAGCTAGCGAGCTCCTGACGAGAGACGCCCTCCCAAACCAAAACCTTGCCAAGGCGGAATGAACATGACTTTCGCAGTCTAGAAAAAGGTTGCAGAACGGTCTTTTTGGTCTCCCACTCGGCGACATCGCCGGCATCAGACCAGCAGATTTCCATGTCGCGCTTGACCGGGACTTCCGCGAGCCTCCGACAGATTTCGTCGATGCCACGCTCGACTCGATGGACAGCCTGGAAGAGGGTCTCCCTTCTTGGCTGGCTTTGGACAGGCCTGAATTTACCGAATCCAATATAGACTAGGCCTACCGGACCGCGTTCGTGGGGGAATTCGAAGTTGAATTGAATGTGGGCTGACTGCGCCAAACCATCAGGTAGAACATCTGGTAAAGACAGCTTCGCGTCGATGCTCGCGATCACGTTGATCTTCCACGGACGTTTAGAGGTTGCGGAGAAAGCCATACGAGCCTCTTGACAGACTTGGTGGCTTATCTGAAGAAGTTGAGGTGGATAGTCGTAGGCTGCCAGAGCGGCAAATTGTTTACCCAATGAGATTGGCTCTCGGCGACCTAGTTCGAGTTCACGGTAGATCTGGAATCGTATTTCTATTGGTAGATCAAGAAGAGTGAGCATGGTGGAGGTAGGAGGGCCGGTATCGATTGGTTGAGGCTAAATTGTAGGATGTCGGTGCAGCCGAAGCTATGTGGTGATTACGGAAGGACGCAAAATCGATGGTGTCCAAGTGTAGGAGATACGCGTGTAAGTGTGTGAGTGTGTGTGGTGAAGAGGAGCGTTAGATGTGGGTAAGGATAAACGGATAAGGAAGGTAGGTCCTGATTTTCTCAGCACAATGGACAAGTTGCAGAGGAGGTGATGCAGTAGAGTGTGTTGTATGGTGAGGTGTTTTAATCCCAAGGCAGAATTAGGATCACCAGGATCGTCGGTTAAGACACCCCGGCTGTCTCTTAGGGCTTTAGGAGGGGCCCTTTAAGGCTGACCCGGCAGTCTGTTTCTCACCGTCCCGGTCCCGGAGGGCTAGGCATGCTTAGCGGTACGCGCTACCGCTAAACCTTCCAATGGAGGCTACCTTACTTTACCTTCTAGACCACTTGACATGCTCTTTTTTTGCGTCTTGCGATCCAATCCAAATATAAATCTATTGGATGCCCAGTTATTTTCCAACAAGGACATGACCGTTGTCTCCTCATCCTCCTTCCACTTCTTCCCCTCCATCTCCGCCAACTCCCCGCACTCTCCTGCATACATCCACGACCAGATGAGACCTTCAACATCTCAATTTCACTTTAGACACTCACCGCCGGCGCCTTGCATCACCCCCCAACCTCACAAGGCCATAGCGACAAGAGGAGAAGAAAGGCTTTGAGAGCAGGAACAAACAGACGACTGTCAACGGCGCTCGGGCGTCTGCAGTATGTCGCAAAGGCATGTGCCACCACCTCTTCGCCCTCCGTCAAACGACTGTCGCTGACCTCCATGGCCTAGAAGGGAGTACCACATTGTCGTGCTCGGTGCGGGTGAGAACAACTGTCCTATGTGTCAAGATGCTGGACTGAAACATGCTGTAACAGGAGGTGTGGGCAAGAGCTGTCTTACCGGTACGCGGCGTTCTTGCGCCTCTATACCCGCATTCTGCTCACAGCTACATACAGCACAATTTGTACAGAACGTGTGGATAGAAAGCTATGACCCTACGATAGAGGACTCGTACAGGAAACAGATTGAGGTTGACGTGAGTACCGATCGCTCGGCTTGATTGGGAGATGCTGATGTGCGACAGGGGCGACAATGCATATTAGAGATGTATGGAGACATAGCGCGCTATGCAGACGACCTCGAGACATTATGCTGATAGATACCCAGATTAGATACTGCAGGCACAGAACAATTCAGTGAGCCCTCCATTATCTTATCCCACAAACGCCCAGGCTAACGCAACCGCAGCCGCCATGAGGTACATCTTGCCCACCCAACCTACACTAATATCCCACCCCTAATGTTCCTCCCTCAAACAGAGAACTCTACATGAAATCGGGCCAAGGCTTCCTTCTCGTCTTCAGCATAACCTCCCTGACCTCCCTCACTGAGCTTCACGAACTCCGCGACCAAATCGTCCGCATCAAAGACGACCCCCTCGTCCCTCTCGTCATTGTCGGCAACAAATCCGACCTCGAAGAAGACCGCGCCGTCTCCCGCTCCCGCGCCTTCCAAGTTTCCCAATCCTGGAATGCACCATACTACGAAACATCAGCGCGAGCGAGGCGGAATGTGGATGAATCATTTGTGGATCTCTGCAAGCAGATAATCCGTAAAGACATGGCGACCCGACAGGTTAGGGAGATGGAAAAGTTGGATAGAGGGGACAGACACAGGCCGGGAAGAGGAGGCAGGAAGAGAAAGAAGAAGTTCTTGGACGGCGGGAATTCGAGATGTAACATCTTATAGCAGGCTACCAAAGATGAGGGTGGCTGCCGTAAATATTCGATTGGACGTACATGCATCATATTCTAAGCGAATCAGCGAGGCGTATGTGGAAGGACCGGCTAATGGCCATCATAGACCAACTAATATATGGCGTTCGGTTCAGAGATACTTTTACATCTGCACAATTTGAGTATTCTGCCTTCGTTGATCACGTCTCAACCTTTCCAGACCATTTCATCTATCCTCCCATATCAGGTGCACAGGCGTCGGTTGCCGCATCTTCAACGTAACGCCAAACTCCACCACCCTCTCACCCTCTCCAACTTCCCCTCCACCCTTTCCAACCTCGGTCTCGACCTTCAACCTCCATCACCTTCACCAGCACCGCCACAAAGTCCACCCGATTGAACATCCGCACCGCATACACCCTCGCCTCCCACTCCGCGGAATCAAGTTCCCTTTCCCTCCAACAAACCCCTTCTATCCTGTCGGCGAACTCGCAGTGCTTGCCGCGGGCGTACAAGCGCGGGAAGACGGCCCTCCAGTGATCGAGGAGCCAGAGAAAGGTTGGGGGTGGGGGGGGTGGGTATTTGGAATTCGTGTGGACTAGGCTAGCACAAAAGGAAACTGTTCGAGTCGCTACAACTTACTGCCTTCAAATCAGGACGTTCGATCGACGTTGACGTAGCGGAAGAATGTTGAAGGGGAGAATAAGAAGAAGAAAAGTCGCTGTTGTACTCAAGTTGACTTCCAGCTCTCTGTACAAGGCAATTCACGCACGCTATTCGTCGAGAGGGGGGTCCATGTCTTTGGAATTTGGGCCGTCGTGAAGCCAAAGGCCACCCACCTGCTTGAAGAGAACGATATATCTCGCATCTGTCTATGGCCGCGTGGTCACACGTAAGGAGCTTGGTCATGGGGTTAATCGATAGGGAGATAGCAATGCTCTTGATTATCTTATCAACTGTACGATCAGCACCACGGGGGTTTTGATATCCTATCGTATCATACACATTCACACGCCCTCTCTCTTCCTTCGCCAACCATCTCCTCCCCCCCCCCCCCAAAAGAAAGGAAGAAAGAAAGAAAGAAAGAAAGAAAGAAAGAAGAAAGAAAACCACGATCCTCCAACCCCCCCCCTCCTCACCACCTCCCCCCCTACGCCTCCAACTCCACACTCCTCACCGACGACCGCCGCCCCTGCATCTCGTACACCCCGCCCACATCCGCCGCCGGCGCGTCCCCCCCGCCCCCCTTCCCCGCCGCCCCGTACTCGCTCACCTCGCCCCCGGCCGGCAGCGCGACCAGGTGCTCCGTCTGGCTCAGGCGCGCGTGTTCCCGGTGCTTGACGTGGCCGCGCAGGAGGAGGAGGCCGAGGCCCGCGAGGGCGAGGACGCCGAGGGGGGACGCCGACGCCGAGGCCGGCTTTGGCGCCCGGGGTGAGGGCGGGCGGGGGGTGGGTGGGTGAGGGTGGGGCGGTGGAGGGGGGGGGGGTGGTGGTGGGTGGGGGTGCGGCGGTGGTGGTGGTGGATGGCGCGAGGGTGTCCTGGGGCGGCGGCGGCGGCGGCGGCGGCGAGGCCGGGGGCGGTGAAGATGACGGGGTAGAGGGACGACTCGTGCACGGTGCTTTGCTGGGTGACGATGGTGGAGCTGATGATGGATTTGTCGTCCGCGTCTTCGTTGTTGTAGAGGGTGGTGGTCACGCAGCGGGCCCAGCTGGCCGTGTTGAGGGGGTCGCAGTTGATCGTCACGCTGGGTTTTTTTGGGTGTCAGCGACGTTTCCGGGCCCGCTTTTTGCTTTTTCGGCGGGTTCGAGGGGGGAGAGGGGCTTACTTACGTTTGGTTGAAGGCTTCGAGCCAGGTGGGGACGGGAGTGGTGACGGAGAATGGATCTTGGCCGAGGTTGATGCTGGTTGGGTGAGTGAGTGAGGTTCTTGGAAGGGGAAGGGCATGGAAGGGATGGGGGTTGGGGGTGGAGTCAGCGTCTGGGGTTCTCTTACTTGGGCATGAGATATTGGGTGTTGGCTGAATCTGCGGAAAAGGTGTAGCTGTTGTTGTTGGCGCAGCCACTGGATCCAGGCCAGAATAATGTATCGTTGAAGTTCCCGCAGTCGATCGTGTAGTAGGTCGTCTTGTCGGTGACGGTCATTGCGCCAAGAAACGTCTGCGGCGACGGAGGGGTTACCCAGAAGAGGCCATCCGGTAGAAGGAGGGTGGTCGAGGAGTTTTGAGCTGAGGCATAACAGAGAAGAGCTACGGCTGTGAAAAAGGTAACTGCGGCCATCTTCATGCTGCTGTACTGCGGTGGTGGGGTTGATGGCAGGAGGTGACAAAGGTGAAGATCAATGTGAAGAAAGGATTTTTATCCTTGGTGAGAGTCAGTGGTGGTGTTGTGTAGCACAAGAAAACCCCTGTCCAAGATATTACCGAAGAGCCGATTGGCCGCCACTGAAGTTGCCACAGAGGTCAACACATGTAGAAGAACGGACTTGAGTTGGGTGGACGTGAATGTGTCATTACCTACGATTCCATCTTTTAGAAACAGCTAGTAGAGCAGTCTCACTTACCGGTCCAAGCAAGTCCTTTCAAAAGTCCTGACGGAAGTTGGTAGAAGAAATAGGTAGTTGAAGGCCAGTGGTTTAAGTGCTATCTCTATACCTATGTATGACATTGGCGACGATGTTCGTGAATGCCCAGGCTCTCCGGGTAACCCCAAACGTCGCGCGGAAAAAAATAGGATCATGTATAGAGTGTCAAACTGCTTCACGATTCTCCCATCGCTCTGAGCCTCTCAGGATTTCGCCCCTTTCCCAGAAAGATACGAGACCCCGTTTCATCTCTACGGCCCTCCTCCCGGATACAGCTTTTCGTAAGCAGCGATATTCCACACGTAGTAGCTCTGCCACGAAGTCCCACTCGGACTATCGTAGCAGCTGCTCTGGAACAGCCAGTCGCCACTTATGAGTGGATCTGAGGAGTCGACGGGGCCCCAGAAACTTTGCGCTGTGCCGCTGCAATCTGGTTCTGTAAAGGCAGTCATGTTGTAATCGGTGTAGAAACCCTACATTTTGGAAATCAAAGTCAGCCATAGGTACGAAGACCAGTTTCCAATCATTCGAGAGTCGAACCAACTTCGAAGAGTTGTGTTTAGGACTGGAAAAGCTGGAAAGTAGAAGAAACGGCACGACGAACCTGTGTGGCATTGCTGACATATAGCATCATCTCAACCGCAGTCGTGCCTTGCGGTAACAGCCAGCAATCGGCCACATTCACACCGTTCATGCCGCCAGTATTAGGGATACCGCAGCCGCCTGGGCCACCTGATGTCTTGCTATTCGAAGCGACCCCTGGAGCACTGCAGGAACCACCAGAGGACATGATCCACTGATTAACGGGGCCTGGAAGACAGCCAGCCGCATCACCGTCGATACCGCCATAGACACCCTCGTCAGGATCTTCTGGCTCGATATCCTTCCCACATTTGTCCGACCAATAAGCGCCGAGGGTCACGAACATCCAGTTATCGGCGTTGATGATCGCCTGAGCGGCAGTGTTGGGGTTACTGGCTAGACTAACGCAATTCGCTGACCCATACGTATAATCGTTGAATGGAGGGTCCGGGGAAGTTGTAAGCGAGAAGTAGGCGGGGTTCAAATGACTGAACTCGTGGAGGAGTGTCATTGCGCCCGTCTCGTATTCGTCCAGATAGGTATTGTCACAAGTCATGGCACTGGTCGCTGGTTGCGCGAAGAAAGCGTCGCACATGGTAATTGTGGTACCTTCAGTATATGCATATGGCATGTAGCCTGGTTGGGAGGACTCTTGGCATTTGGGGTCATCGGAAGTGCCAATGTAGTCGATGGTGACCGTATAGTCTTGATCGTCGCCGAGGGCGATGAACTTGGTAAGGAAGTTGTTGTTATATTCTTTGGCATGATCTGCGCTCTGGTATCTGCTCGGGATGAAGAGCTCATAAAAGTAGTTGTCTTCGTCTATGATAGTCTTGGCTTTGGTGGCAATGGTTTGTCCAGCAGCATACTCTGTCAGAACAGTTTGGTAGTGAGACGTGTCTATATGAGAACCCTGAGCGAATTTACGGGCAACCAAAGCTCCAGAAGAGGTATCGCTCGGGGGTGCTAAGAGTGGGTTGGCGGATGTAAGCCCGACAAAGAAGCTGCCTATCGCAGCATACTGGGCAGTGGAAAGCATGCTAAGCGTACAGTAGCACTGAGGGTGAGAATCAAAAAATGAGGTCGAACAGCGGAGGTATTCGTTCGGTGTATGTTCAGTAAAGAAGTTTCTCACCACGTTTGAGCAATTCGTCTTGGTGATACAGTAGTGACAAGCGTGGTAAGAAAAGCGAGATGAAGATTAAAAGTGTAATGCGACCTTCAAAAAGATATATGAATGATGAAGTTTATCCAGTTCCTTAATCCCACCTACCTTCGACTACCTCCGAATAGCAACACATAACCTTTCCAACATCCACCATAGGCACGGCTCCGACGAACATCGTGAACGAATGTTATATTTATCATAGCGCATGCACGGGCCCGCCGTATCCATTTTCTACTTCAGCACACTAGATTTGAGCCGCAGCTTGTAAATTTCCCATGTCATATGAAGTGATGACGTTGCTGTCAGAATTAGACGCCGCTATCGGTCTGGGTAGGGTATCGTTGGTTGAGTCCACTGGAGCCTGCAGAACGTCGTTTCGTTTTGCTTTGCCGCCCGTGATTCCACTACGAGCATCATTCCGACGGTAGATGCACTGCGGTGAAGTTGGTATGCTATACGCTAAGCTTCAGCGGCAGGGTTTGCGAAAGTTCCAAGACGAGCTCCTTCGGAAACTTTTGAACACTAGGTCGTATGGGAGCAAACTGATATGACAGGTCATGGTCTCAAAAAGTGATACGATACGTGGCTGCGGCGCGGCGTCAGACAGTATCGGCTGCGCCTCGTCCTTCCAACGATGCAGGTAGTACTCAGAGAACATTCGCAAGGAGTGCAAGTAAAACGCCCAAGCAATGAATACGAGTGTTTGTAGTTGACAAATCAGATACTGGCTATGTTGCCGAGAGGCACAGTGCTTACATCGTTACATGGACCTCGCCACATGCGAAAGTTAATACCACGGATGTATTCGATATAGGTACAGATATGGGTTTGTTGGACACATGGCGCTAATGTTTGACGGACACCAAGCTTATCTGGACCTCAGCAAGACAAACGACCGCGACATAGTCGAACGTGGGTCAGGCAAAGCAAGAGTCAGAGGTGCTCACCCTATGCTGATTACCAACGAGGAGCGTCATTAGAACCCTGACGAAAAGATCGTTGATGAAGGGACTGAAGTTGAAAGTAGGTCAGTTACTTCCCAGAGCGCTCAGAACAAGGTAGCATTACTCGATTTCACGTATGATAATCGACTGGCGAATTACTAATTCATACCCCAAAAGTATAGATCCTTACATACCCCTACACCAATTTTCACCCAAATATAGGATATAATTCGATAATTTGTTATTGCTTAGGGTATAATTTAACGAAGGCCTTCAATAATAGCTTTCTGATATAAGAGAGTTTAATAAAAGTAATAATAGCGATAAGCTTACTGAGCGTCTAATAATAGTCGTCGACTTGATTATTAATAACGGTGGTATTTACGCTGCGCAACGGGGCGGGGTTCGAGGCGAGGTTTTTAACCCCCGAAGCTTACTCCGCCCCGCCCCGCCCCGTCACGCAGCGTAGTGATATTGTTAGAAATTATTCCTTCGGGGGCCTTACGGGGTTTACGAGACCCGGAAAGGGTGTCTGCGTAGTATGTTCAAGTGGTATAGTAGCGGTAACTCGACTCCGTTTTTATCTGATAGAATTCTCATCAAATGCGGTCGGAGAAACTCTCTTATTCCTATAATCGAATAAGCTAGATCGCGGATTATCCCCTTCGTAGTTTGAGGCCACTTAATAATAATTTATCAAATCATACCCTAAGCAATGGCAAATTACCGAATCATACCCCATATTTGGGTGTGATTTGGTGTAGGGGGTGAGTATGATACAATTTTGCTGAGATGCCGACATTTTGGGGGCCGGACTTATCGGACATTGCATATCCCAGTCGAGCGCAACTTTTAGGTGAAACCCAGTACGAGTACTAAAGTAGTAATATCAAACCGTTAAGTGTTAACGTTGGTTTGTTGGTTTCAGAATGCTTTCGTGTTCCCTGCATAAAACCTCGTATCGGGCCAGCAATCAGTAAATAGGAGTCGCAAAAATCTCGGAGATGGGGCGAGCCGTCGGTACTCAGCAGTAAGCGCCACTACGTATCTAAGGGCGCAGCGAGATCTCTGGGAAGGGAGAGCGTTCCGACTTTCGAGTCGAGGGGCTCGCAGTCATCATGCCAGCAGGCACTTGGACACTGACCAACATTGATCAATCAACATACGCCTTTCTACTTAGGCAGCAGACTGCATCACTACACATAGTTCCTTGCTCTCTGACAGTACAGTTTCTAAGTTGACAGATACAAGCTGTGAATCTCTCACCACAGCCACCATTCTCCACCTAATCCCAAAATCCAGCAGCACTCGCCAGCAGATGGCTGAGACCAGCACCGATCCAGCACCAGATCATGCTGGGGCCGCATACCCCAAACCGGCAGGCTGGGAGTACATGACCCATGAGGAACGATACGCCGCCCTAAGATCCGAGCCCAAGCCCGACTCCGAATATCTTCAAAAAGCTCTCGCCCAGGCCAAACAAGATGTCCTGCGCGACGAGCGCGACGAAAGGAAAGCAATCACAGAAGCACGCCAAATTACGGTCCTCGCCGATGCGCCCCACTTCACAATCTCCCTTACCGCCCCACCCACCCTTTCTCTGGCACAAGGCATCTACCCAATTGCAGCAATCCTAACATACACTTCCGATCCCGCCTCCACTACTTTCACTACTCAAGCCGCTCGTCCTGTCCTTTTCCGTCCTTGCTACGGTCCACTCTCCCCATCCGCCCCGAATGAAAACTTATATTCCGTTTACACCACCCCCACCTGCACGCCCGAATGTCGAATCCCGCACGTCCGACCTAACGCCTCCATACGCCCGCCCCGCGAAGCCGATGGCAGCTTTACCAAAGAGCTGGAAGTCACAAGCTGGGATGGATGGGAGGAAGCACACCTTGGAGACACTGTGAGGAAGGAGGTGGCAATGGGCTTGGACGAGAGGAGTGGGTGGAGCGAACACTTGGAGACGGGGAAGAGCTACTGGTTGCGGTGTGATGACGCGGGATTGTTGGGAGTGGGGAGGTTGGGTTTGGATAGGTATTGGCGGTATGGGGATAAGGACAGTGTGGAATTGCCGATGAAAATCAAACTAAGGGATCCGGAAGCAGTGAGCATACCCTTAGAGCCGAGCAATGTGGTAGAGTTCCAGGTGGTGCAATGAGCAGCTGCATGACTGGATGACGGCAAGGTTGCGAGCGCGGCCTCACTGTGTTGTTCGCGGCGAGATGCACCATCGTAAAGGCAATGGCAGCGAAGTCCTTACGAACACGTAACGGTGAGAAGCAACTTGGACGCAGCAGGCTACCGCTCTCTACCTTACCCAGGGACGAGAAAACCAAGGGAAAAAGATGCCGAAGATGACCAAAATTCATCTCGATCCGTCAAACACCACTTATTTGAGCGACCGGAAAACCGTGGCAAAAGGAAATCCTGGGAGATGAACATCACTCACTCAGGATCAGAAAGTATAGTGACCATCTTTCATGGCCCTGTAATCCAGTCAGGCTGAAGTAAGACATCAAGCTTCATGGCTGAATCCAGGCATTTGCAAGGATATTATTTTCATTGTGGGGAGAGAAAAGCCACTGCAGAAACCAGCTTGTCCATATCATGTTCGGTGTATCCCAAATTCCCAGCCCTCGTCTCCAATGCCTACTCCTTCTGCAGGGTGAGTCAATGAATCATATTAAGACTACCGTAGAGGCTATCATCCTCTACTAGTCGCTTTATTACGTGTATCATGGATGTGAACTATCAGCATTCTTCAAGTAGAGATCATAAAATTTACATCATATTCATGGCGACAAGATCGTGAAATTGAACTCTCTTGGCACATCATGTAACATCACATCATCCACTTTTGTATTCTGCCAAACGACTCATACGCGCTCATTACCATATGCATTCTCCCACTCCCTATTCCCCATCGACCAACTTTTCCCGTCCTCATCACCACTCGGCGACCAATACGGTACGGCTTTCATCATCATCATCATCATCATCATCCCTGCGGCGCAGAGCACAACAGACCCTGACCCAACTACACCATCCCATCAGCCAACCATCAACACACCGAACCTCTCCCCGACAAAAACCAGCCGCAACGTAGGATAGACAAGAACTCACAAGATCAAGCGTGCAGCACTGCGCCTCCTGTCCGACATCCGCGCAGATCTGCGTGAAGTTGGCCACGTCGGTCGGCAACGTGGGAGCTGCGTGCGCGGTCAGAATGTTTTCCCCGGCGGTCAGAGGAGGAGTAGACGAGTGGTGATTTGGGGTGGCTTACGGTCGGCGCACTGCAGGTCCGCGAGGCTGAGGACGTTGACGGCGCAGCAGTTTGGGGTGGCGGAGGCGCCGCTGCAGGGGAGGGGGGCTTGGCGTTTGGCGTTGCCGGTGGAGGTGGAGGTGGGGATGGCGGTGGTGAGGGAGGTGGTGGTGAGGAGGGTGAAGGCGAGGATGGCGGTGGCGGTGAAGTGCATGGTGGATTGTGGGGATGGCTGGGAGGCTGGTTGGTGATTGTTGTTGGGCTTGAGGATTGGTTGAGACGATGGTGCTGGATGTGTGGAAAGAATGTGGCATTTCCGCTGTTCTTTATAGTCGTTCGCTCAGGAAAATCTGCCTTGGTCTAGCGGTGGCATCAGTCACCGGAGACGCCATGACGATGGTAAAAATGCTCATCCTCCTCTAGCACGGCCGCTACGAATGTGCTCGGGGCTTTTTGGCTCTGGTCATGCTTTCTTCCAAGTTTTGATGCTGGCGTCTCTGCGGAGATGAGAAACGGTCGTTGGATGGTGGTGATCTAGCCTAACGTCCTCAGCTGGACTAGGTTTCTTAACGGTCATCACTGCCGATGTTTGGTGCTTGGACAGGGTCTCTGTGACGGACTTGGATCGAGTGGGGAGACAGAGCCGCTTTTCCACAAAAGTCTTGGTGAACGACATCAAGGATGATGACGCGGGTCCGTCTTCGGTGCGACTGCACACTGACGCGGGTCCATGATCGTGCGTATTGGTTGCATGCATGCTGTCAGATACTATCTGGGTGCTTGAGCCTCAGCGCTTGCCGTACATCATGTGAAACCAATGACAAGCGATTGCAATCCAAAACGATAAATGTTTTGGACAGGGCATGTGGCAGGAGCTTCTGTCTCTAGACCTTCGTTTCCGGAGTAACATCCTGGTCAAGGCCTTGCTTCTTAGTGTCTCCAGAAGATCATCGAGCGCTAAGACACATACAGTAGGCAAACAGGCACCCCGGGAACAAGGAATATCGCATTCTAGATGAGCTCGAACTGTTCAATCCTTCCACTGTCAAAATGGTATCAACAAATCAACATAGCAGAGCTCCAGCAGAGGGTGGATATCTCAGATCCAATCCTTCCGCGTGTTGAGTGCCTAGGTACACTTGAGAACACGTGCACTTCGACCCTCAAGCGTTCGATCGATGTCAGGTCACACAGTGTGTGAGAGCTAGATAGAGATATGTATTGCTATCCTAGCCAGACAAGGAAAGACGTTCCCATAAAAGGAGCTCTGTGGAAGAGCTGCTGTGCAGCGTTTCCAGGATGTCTCAATAGCTGTTAAATGACAGTACGAAGACACATCGCCAGACGACATGCAGAGAAACTCCGGACATGAATTCCAAGTTCAAGTCATGACCAATAGCAAATAAGTTTTCTTCACGACTGGGGCTAGGAGGTCGTGTTTGTACCAAGAATAGTCAGGGGAAAGATATTAGGGCAGGCTTTGCCGAACGTTTGTCCGTGAGCCAAAACAGAAGGTCAAAACGTTGACCCCCGAAGCCGCTAACAAAATCTCATCAAGATGAGCGTCCATAGAAGCGAACAAGCTTCTGAGAGGACCTTTGTTTATGGTCGAAAGGCATTCATAGATAAAACATGGTCTACAGCATATTTTCCCAAGAAGACACTCAACTGTCTGCAAAAGCTCCATAGGATTACAATGGCCGTTTAAATAAGGTACAAAGGTACCTTTCAAGCCACCAGTGTGGAGGCATTCCAAGCGGACAAGGATCAAGAACCTTTGAGGCATGTCTTCCCGAGGAGATCGAGATGCTAATTTGACGCCAAAGCCTCTTCTGATCTGACCTCAGGGCAACGAGCCGGACTAGTACTTGTTCGACAACGTCTTATGGTTGCAAAGAGATAATGTCTCTCTACCTGGTCGTCACCTCATATGTTTCTGGAGTAAAGTCAGATGGCAGTCTCCAAAGATCTTGAGCTTTCACAAGACCAAGCGCAAGAGACCGTCGACGATCTCGGGAAGTTGAGTATTCGGAGTCCCATCGTCAAGCATGTTTCTCAATTGGCCTCAGCTTTGGTATGATCGAAGGAAATGTTGCATAGCCGTTGCAAGGTCTTGATGATGGTCGGTTTTAGGGACTAGCCGCGGGCGCAGCCGCCCAGAAACGGGGCGGAGGACCACTTGAACTCTCATGGCTGAGGGTAAGGATGGTCATCCAGAAGATTTACGTCTGCCTGCTGCTCGATCCTTGCGAGCTGCAGGTTGACTGACGGTAGCTCGGTGGCTAAAAATGATCGGCCATGATAATAGCGTCTGTCGATCACGCCGTGTTGCCTTACGCTCGAATTGCCCCACATGATGTTGTACCAGTATCAGGAGTTCTTTCGTGAAAGCCATACAACCGTTTTTTGACCTTTCATCAGAAACCTCGTCTAATTGATGACGACTTCCAGTGACTGAGGAACAATTGAGGAACAGACTAGAGGTCACTCACTGGATGTGGGATTGTCTTCAGTGAAAATCCCTGCATCCTTCCCTGCACCGAAGGGCTTCCTCCGATACTGGCATTTCCTGGCGACGACCTTCCTTCCTTACGCATCGTGCGCCGGCGAGACAAATCCAGTTCCTCCTCCCTAGCCGCCATGTCGGGAACTTCAGCACAACAGGCTTCCGACCTTGCCTCTCTGTCTCAACCTTCAACGCGCTCCCGCGCAACCAGCTCTCGCCTTCGGCTTCTGTGCCTAACCACTGGCACGTATCCCTCCGCCAAGTGCCCCTCCAGCCCCCCGGCCAAGTTCTCTTCCTTATCAGTCCTGCCGCTCGCTACGTCCATGTCGAAGGACCTTTACCACCCAGTTACACCAGCGCCACTACAGAGGTGAAAGCAACAATATGGAGTATGCTGTTGCTGAAGGCATTCAACCAGGGCTTGGGTGCGACTGAAGAGCATAAGAGAGCGGGTGCGATCGTGGGTCGGCCGTGGAGTTGGGTGTGCAACGATGCGGAGATGGCTGGGGCAGTTGGAGAGATGCTGAGGAGCATTGGAGTGCTGGCGCCGGAGGGGGTAGGATTGGCTGGGGATGAGGAGAATGGGATTGCCGATGAGGAGTGGAGCCGGTTCTTTGGAGAACTGCATAATACTATACGGATGGGCGATTGAGGTCGAGTCGCAAACGATATGCGATAAAGCCCTGTAGGCTCATATTTGGTTCTTCGGATGGTAGACTGAGCTCAAGCAGTCGAAGTCCTTGTTGGAGGACGTTCTTTGCTTGCAGATGGCATATCAAAGTACCACGAGTAGATAGCGGCTGTTGACTGAAAATGTCTGGTAGCTGATTCAGCCCCAGAGACGATGTCGAAAAGCCTCCGGTCTGCGCCCATCTAAGAGGATGAGTGGTTTGTAGATAGTAGAGAAGTTGGTCAGATTCCACCTTTTCTTACAAGGAGGGACATGACTTTGAGGATCTTCTCATTCACGCAGCACAGGGGGGGCCATTCGGATCTCATACGGCTTATGATTGAGAAGTGCCAAGTGGAGCCTTCGCAAAGGCTTCAGAGCCGAATTATGAAGCACGCTGCTCATCATGGCCACCAAGAACTTATCCTCACGGCCTTGGATAATCAAGCTCAAGTGGACTATACTGGTTATGGAGAACATCTAGAATATCAAGTGGTGACCCCTCTGGAGCTAGCCGCTTCGCATGGCCATGAAAAGATTGTCAGACTACTTCTAGAATGGGGTACAAATCATCTTCGCGGAAGGAGAAGAGGGATAGCATTGTTCGAAGCTATGAGACGTGGATACCGATGCACTGTGCAGGCTTTTCTCGACCACGGTGCTGACTTGAATGTCCTAACCTGTCGGCGCGGAATTCGGAATCCTTTGGTTGCCGCATCTATCTATGGGCATGCAGATGTGGTACAAGTCTTGCTTGAGAGAACGGACATGCTTCAATGCAGCAAATTTGTCGGTCGGCTGGCAATTTGCTGCGCTGCTCGGTTGGGGTATATTGCCATCGTACGCATACTCGTTGAGCAAGGTATCGATCCAGACTGGCTTTGGGCAACGAAACCCCAATGTATCAAGCACTGACGCATGGGCAAGGTGATGTTGTCAAAGCACTAACCGAGTTGGGAGCTGAGAAGATAGAACTGTCAAACTTCAAGTATGCCAACAAGCGTGACTACGCTATTCGACGCCAGAAGCACCCTTTGCGCGTAATACCAGGTTTTGCCGGCTTCGAGACGCATCGGGCTCACAGGCTTCGAGCCCGTCTGACACATCCACACTTTACAATTCCGTGGTGATTTTTGGTGCCCATCATGCTCAGACATCGGGATCCTGCTTGAAAGTCAATTCATTTCGTGGTTTTGATCCGATCAAACGAGTGCAACCTACACTATCCTCTCGAGCCAATGGTCCTACCGCATCGCAAATATTCTGTCTCAAAACTTCTACCAAGAACTCCGTCCTCTCCGACCCACTTCCAAGTACAACCTTAATCCTGCACCGCTTCTCTACCTCGGATATCGTGCATTTAGTGGTGCTTTCCGGGACCCAAATACCCCATCGGCGTGCTCTTGGCGTTGGGTAGCCGAAGTCGTCTTCGTTGGAGTCGCTGACGGACTCGCAGTGTTGCCGGATGAAGTACTCTTTCGCTAGTGCGTTGGCAAAATTGCGGGAGAAAGTGACCTCCTCGATATGCGTGGTCTTGTGGAGGGGGACAAAGGTTTCTTCGTCGTCGGGATCACGGTAGAAGCGAGAGGATTCCGTGACGACGACAGGGTAGCAGTTTTGGGGTCGCGAATCCATGATAGCGGATCAGTTCAGTGAAATCGTGTCCTTTGATTTTCTGTGAAGGAAATGAGAGAAAAGGCTATTGGGAAAGAATTTAATCGTGGGCCCACTTTTGTTGAGAATGTTAGAGTTGGATTTGATGGAGGATGAAGGATTGATTGATTGCTATGGTAAGTAGGCACCCGGGTGACAGAAAAGCCTGGACACTAACCTGAATTAAGCTAGGAGATCAAGGGCCGTCCCACATACAATTTCACACCCAAATTTCACCCTCTTAGGTCATGAATGAGTGTGTAATTAGTATGCCTGAAAGGATCCAGGCTATTCTAGACGGTGATGGACAAGTGACAGGCTATTAATGGAGAAACATGGTATTTGCGCAGAGAAATTTGGTGGGGGAAGGCCGTAATTCCCATTTGCTTAGTGTCCAGGCTTTTCTGTCACCCGGGTGGTAGGCTACTTATATACCATGTGAAGCCTATGCCAATTTGCCACTATGAGGGATAGCACACAGTGCTGTAGCATTCCAACAGTTAGACTATGCTTTGTTTAGAAAAGATTTTCTATTCTGTGAAGACCATTAAAGACTATAAGGAAATAGCACACAGCGGGCATACTCTTATTATACACACGAAAATACCCGGAGATCGGTTCTATGACTCAACCCATTCTACTAGAAGATTCCACCCGAATTAGTTCAATCCGTGGGTGCCTTTTCCAATTCGATTTCCGAATAAGCGAAGCAATTACCAAACACCGACACTTTTCGCTCAAGCTCTTTAAGCGAATAGTGGCGCCACAGCTTGATATACACTACAACTCTCGATATCTACCCGTTTTCGCTGTCTCCGGCAGGTGGTTGCTTCACAGTGCTCGGCAACCGCATTTGGGCCAATCAATTCGGCTAAGTGAGCTCATAGAGCATTAGCAGAGATGCTATGGCGGAGAAGGCTTGGAGGCATTCATGGTCTCTGGCACGTGATCAGCCTGCATTCCAGTGGCCAACAATCAACAAGGTCCCGACAACAGAATGCGTAACATTCGATACTGGAAGACGAGCCGCATCTCCTACGGTTAATCGAGAAAAGCTGGGAACGGATCAAGTATACCTTGCGCACTGCGAGTGACACCTTCGGGTTTTTGAGTTTGGAATTGGGTGGCTTCAGTGATACCTGTCTCCACGCTCCCTAAGCACACTTTTCCAGCAGGTGCAAATGTCCCTTTGCGCGGAAAATCACGACCTTGATCTTTGTCAATTCTAAACTCCATTACGACCGGATCTACTTCTTGCCAATAGTCTTCCGCACCATGGGCATTATAGTCTCAATTCCTCAAATCGAGGGGCTCAGGACTGTTTTGCCCCTGTCCTCTACGACTTGTTCTACCTCGTACGCTTTCGATTCTGCCCAAACCAGTGATTTCGCTGTCTCTACCAGGAACTTCGATAATTCTAGTAAGTCACTGCACGGTCCTTGGTTGTAATCTAGCTGACATAAGCCTAAGATATCGAAAGTACCCTTGTCGTTACCGTTGCCGCCGCCCAGACGGGTGAGGTTCCGTCTGCAGATGGGACTGATGTTATATGGGTCAGGCCTTCGGACTTTACGGAAACAGTCACGACGTATCTAAGTACGGCGACCGTGACGAGCACGATCAGCTCGACCAAACTGATTACTGCTACGGCTAAAGTTGTAGCGAGTAATTGCCCTACCACCACAGCCACAACTTCGGATACGGTTAAATTAACGGCCTTGACTAAGGTCTACACTTCAGGAACTGTGGGGATGCCAGCACACTCAAGTCCGCCACCAGTTTCGTCTGACTACGGCATTCCTTCATCGAGCGGGTTACCTGAAAATGGAGCACATGTCATTGAAACCTACATCTCGATTCTCTCAAATCCACGAGCAGATATTTCTTCTGGGTACGGCACATCCTCATACAGCAGGCTACCAGGAAGTGGAGCACTCTCTCCTCAAAGCTCGCTCTCTAGATTTGTCACACGATCAACCAAAAGTCGCTCCTCAACTTCTGTCTCTGGAAGCGAAGCATCCACACTTCGCAGCGTAATCGCTGCCATTTCAAACAAACATCCACCTGTGAGCAAAAAACCCCCTGTCGCTACCGTGCGATATACGCATCCTACTCGCGCGACCTCAGTGTCCCAGCTCGACCGAGGAAGTCTTACCGTTAGAGGACACGGTGTTGCTTACGGCGAAGCGGACTACACACTGTCATCCAAGGGGCCCATCGGTAGACGTGACATACCATGCAACAGTGACCGGGACCAAAAAACCCTCGTGCGTCTCCTCAACAAGAAAATTGTGTCGTGCTCAATGCCTCTTTTTGAGCTAATACGCTTGATACAGAACTATCCCAGGTCCAATTGACTGGCACCATACGACAACTTTGACGAAGACCGAAGATGTCACGACTACCACTGTTTACACAAGCGCAATCACGAATCACACGAGTACTACCACCATTACAACGTTGCCAACCCGCTGCCTTACCAGCAGAACATCAAGTTCGAGCCCAACTTTTTCTACATCTTGCACATCAGCAATCCCCAATCCAGATCCTCCCGCAAATGATACTTGCGCAGAAGACGGCCTACTGGAATACAGTAATACCTTACAGCCGCCTGATACCCTCGAAGACTGCGCAGCTGCATGTCTCGCAGACCCCAGCTGCCTTTCTTTTACGTTCATACCCAGTGAAAGCACATGCTATACATCGCTTTACCCCCTTGCGGACTCTGCATATGCTGGAGTGCAGCAGTATCACATTTACAACTACGATAGGGATTGTTATTCGTGTTCGTCGTTATGAGCCTGAACACTCTCAGCAGTATCGGCGTTGGCATTAGCGGCTGTAGCAAGCAGGCTGCCAAAAAGAAAACGGCAGTCTGGACCGCCAAATCTCTTGTGCTCACGTCAGTCTTTGGGTATGAACATTAATTCTAATTTTTTTTCACGGTCGAAAATACCACACAACAAGCGTTGGATGGCTTAAAAATTCTTTGTTGATGCTATTTTGGTCGAAGTCTTGAGTATTTGTACCCGTTTCAGCTGCCGCTTTTTTTGACCCCTTGTCTGTTAGCCAGCAGAAGCCGGGCACCTACGCTTTCGATGGCCCAGCAAGGGTCAAATGAACGCGCTTAACTCCGATGTTGTCGTTTTGATGAGCGACTATTAGTCCCAATGCGGAAAAGAGACAGGCAATTGCCTTTTCGGACCTTTCTCGTGTCTCGATAGATTAATGTATGACATTCATTATGAGGCACGCTATCACATTAATAGAAGTGGCAGTCTGCGGAGTTGAAGTCCTTCCGATTCCGCATCAAACTTGGGCGTCAACCCGGAAGAAAGTGTCGTCTGTAAACAATTCATCTCAACAATGGCGTTAAGAGCAAGAAGCTCCCGTATTGAGTGCCACTTGCCTACTATCAATGTTGATGTTCCAGCGGCCAGACGGCAATGAGACTCGCTTACTGGACATGCTACTGCATCAGATGTGGGCTGGGACTGTGCACTCAGCTAGCAATTCATCAGCTCTTCGGCGGTAGAGTGAATCGTCTGACTGATACTTCTGCATCTTCTAGAACATACTGTTGTAGATTGTGAGGGCGGCCACCCGAATCACTCCTCGGCTAAATGCGGTCCTAAGGCTAAGGCGGGCTAAAAGCGGCAGACTGCCACTTCAACAGACGCGACTGACATCTCCCACGTCTCTCGTAGAGTACACCACAGTCGCTAGACAGCGAGCTGACGCAAGTGCGATAGGGCGGCGCTCTGAGAGAGCCAGTGTAATAATGCTTGAGTCATGAGACCACCAACGTACCTTGGGTCTTCTCTTTCCAGATGTGGTCTCCGCAATTGCCAGTTGCGAAGGCAGAGGAGAGCAATAGCAACCCACACCTACAAACATCATGCCACCGCTATCTCAATCCTCCCTACCAACGTTGACAAGTCTTCCGCCCAATATCAGAAAAATGACCAACACATGGGCGAAGTCATGGCGCGGATGCAGGAGCTACACAAGAAGATCGAGGGAGGAGGCTCGGCGAAGGCCAGGGAGAAACATATAGCCAGGGGCAAGATGCTGCCGCGGGAGTATGTACTCAGGGCTGCAAAGTTCTCAGGCTGACTTGGCCAGTCGAGTCACCGCCCTGACCGATGTTGGAAGCTCTTTCTTGGAGCTCTCTGCTCTTGCTGGACATGAAGTCTACCCTGGGGACGACGTGCCCGCTGGCGGTATCATTACGGGTGTGGGGAGTGTACAGGGTGTACAGTGCATGATTGTGGCCAACGATAGCACGTATGCCAATCATTGCCGCCGAGTTCAAGGTCAACGTCTGAATCTATTGCAGAGTCAAAGGAGGCACCTATTACCCAATTACCGTGAAGAAACATCTTAGAGCACAAGCAATCGCCCAGGAAAATCGTATGCCCCATAAACGGGGGCCATGTGATCTCCGCCAGATATACTGAGACATGCCAGGCCTCCCATGTATCTATCTCGTCGACTCGGGCGGCGCAAACCTCCCTCACCAAGCGGACGTTTTCCCTGACCGAGACCACTTCGGTCGCATCTTCTACAACCAAGCTCGAAGTACTTCCTCCCCTTCCCCTCCCTCGCACCCATCCTTCCTCGCTAAAAGCTCCCAGTGTCGTCAATGAACATACCCCAAATCTCCGTCGTAATGGGCCCATGCACCGCCGGCGGCGCCTACGTCCCCGCGATGTCCGATGAATCCATCATCGTTGAAAACCAAGGCACGATATTTCTCGCCGGACCTCCCCTTGTCAAAGCAGCAACTGGCGAGATAGTTACGGCGGAAGAGCTGGGTGGTGGGAAACTGCATAGCGAGGTTTCTGGCGTGACGGACTATCTCGCTGTGGATGATGCTCATGCTTTGGTGCTCGCAAGGAGGTCTGTTGGGAATTTGAACTGCCCGCGTCCCAAGAACAAGGTTGTGGTGTTCAAGGAACCGCTATATGATCCGGAGGAGCTGGCTGGTATTGTTGGCACGAACTTGAAAACTCAAATTCCGGCCCACGAGATCATCGCTCGCATCGTCGATGGTAGCGAATTTGCCGAATTTAAACGCGACTATGGCACCACGCTCGTCACTGGCTTCGCACGCATCTATGGCCAACAAGTCGGCATTATTGCAAACAACGGCATCTTGTTCTCCGAATCCTCCCTCAAAGGCGCGCACTTCATACAGCTCTGCTGTCAAAGAAACATCCCTCTTGTCTTTCTGCAGAACATCTCAGGTTTCATGGTGGGCAAGGATGCAGAGGCAGGTGGCATCGCGAAGAATGGAGCCAAACTCGTGACTGCGGTTGCTTGCGCAGATGTGCCGAAATTTACGGTGGTCGTTGGGAGTAGTGCTGGGGCGGGGAATTATGGCATGTGGTAAGTCCCTTACCCCTTCTACTCATGTCTTACTCCCAACCCGGATATATGTGCTAGGTAGGCCGTGCTGATGAGTAGATGAAGCGGCCGAGCCTACTCCCCTCGCTTCCTCTGGATGTGGCCCAACGCCAAAATCGGCGTCATGGGTCCGCAGCAATTGTCCTCGGTGATGGAGGCGGTGGGCAAGACGGTGGATCCGGAGTTGAAAGATCGCATCGAGCGAGAAAGTGATGCCGTATTCTCGTCCGCAAGGCTGTGGGATGATGGTGTCATTCCGCCTGCGCACACAAGGAGGGTACTAGGGCTCGGCTTGAGGGCTGCGATGGGTGCTGAGGGGGTAGGATGGGAGGGTCAGAGGGAGGGGAGCAGGTTTGGAGTTTTTAGGATGTGAGCGCCCTAGCTGTCACAGATATGGATATGACCGAATGGTTGGAAAATATGCCATGTGAGATCTGATTCATGACTGGGCAACCATCTGTTCATGTCGTTGAACCATCCCTAGACCGCCAGCGTCTCCTATTGTGGTCTCCAGCGAAACGTTTGGCTCTTGAGCTTGTCCACAGTCGCTGCGTTTATGCTTCTAGAGCGGCTGTGTCGTTGATGATTGAGGATGTCGGAGCCTATGGTGTCTGCTACCAACACTTGCAACGTGTCGATAACATCATTGGAATTGGTCGTGTCAACAGCTATCCTACCCTCATTATGCAAAGATACTGAATGTTTCATCAACCGATTTCCGGTTCGATTCTACCCCACATAAGCAAGTCATGAGGACATCGAACGAACCCCTTCCAATTAGCCATCTCACACCATATCACTACAAATACAAGTTTCTTCCAGCTCCCGCTTATCTAGCGTGGCCTCCTCCAACCACGCCCCTTCACTTCAATGGCAGGACTCACGCTCACAAATGGCCAATTCCCATAGCTTTGAGCAGCCTGATACCACCCAGCCCCTTGATCTGATACCTCATTTCCCGTCTCATCGCAAGAAGCTGCTTGTCTTTGTACGCTTCCTTGGTCACCAGTTTCAACCCCTCGCACAGTTCCTCCACTGCCTGTGGGTGTCTGCCCAAACGCGCGCTCGCCGTTGCCTTCAGATAAACTAGCTTTGCGTAGGAGTTCTCGCGTCGCATCGCCCTCCCGTTTGGGTCAAACCGTGTGGCATCGCAAGCCCACAAATGGACATCTTCAAATGCGTCGAGTCTGTAACTTGTGAAGGCGAGGCGAACTACGAGGGTTAGATACGTATCGACAATGGCACCCGGCAGTTCAGGATGGAGTGCTAGCCATTCGGTTCCCGCAAGCCTGCATCGTAGGCACGTGGTTATGAGCTGTGAGAAGGCCAGTTCGTAGACTTTCACTGCGCCCTTGAGATCATTCTGAAGGACATATTCATGACCTTTATCCCTCAACTCGATCGCTGAACTGAAACACTCCTCCACAGCAGGTGCCATACGGGACACTTGTTCGATAATACTAGCGCAGTATTCCGTGTTCGCAGGACCAGTGATCGCGAAATGAGAGACGCCGTGGAGTACGGTGAAAGGTTCCAGCAAGCGGCGTTGAGATGAGGTTTGAGCCGGGGTTTTGCTAAGCATGTCATCACACATACGGTGGATGGTGACTCTGAATTCGTAGTGCTTAAAAACACTGCCAATGACGGTGTGTTGGATTAACAAGCTCTGACAGAGGAGCTGAAGATCAGTTGACGCAATGACGAAACATGGCTCATATTCTTGACTCTTAATTCTGAGTGCGGTATTAAGACGATCAAAGTCCACTGACATAGCACAGTGTTTGAAGGTCTCTGCTTTGCGACCTTTTAGAAAGACATGTATGCCTTTTAAGTTCATCAGACGTCCGAGGTTCTTTTTGGTGCTGCGGACTCGAACGAACAAATTTTCGTGATACAACACTGTAGAGGCTTCGTTGTGGACCTGGCGGCTTGTTTGAAGGATGGCGGGCTCCAAATGATAGGCATGGCCAGGCCAGAGCTTCGCATGTATTGGCAACTGAAGTCGTGTCAGCAGTTGAATGTTGAGCTCGGCCAAAAAGCGACAGAGTCAATTAACACAGACGGTTATAGGCCATGAAACTTACTTGTCGGGAGACCGAAAGATGTTTCGTGTATTGAGTGGAGAGTAGGTTTCGATAGACCTCGGTTCGGATCTCTATTGGCAGCTGCTTCAGGAAAGGCGCTGTTTGGATGTTGCAGTTCTCCATGCTTGACGCTTTAGGGTCCATGTTGCGGACAATTCGAAGTAGACATGAAAAATGCCATTTTTTTTAAGTAGTGGATTCTGCTCTAGGTGTTAAGCAAATGTGTCGTAGGACTGCTTGATGTTTTGAGAAATGAGTCTTAGTCCGACCGATTTTCGACTAAGGTTTTAGCATCTCATGCGAGAACTCATCACTTTGGAGTGTGTTATTCCCAGTGGTGACATTTTATAGATCTCTTGCCATTATGAGTCTGAACTCACAGAGTATTGTGCGCCAGGATGTGTTGTACTCTTCAAACTGAGTGGCTTCACTGGTGATTGGTCTCCCTTCTTATTCATCCTCACACGATCGGACTGTTCGGTTGCTCAGCTTCGTTGCTATGACCCTCGACGATAGGCCTAGGTTCAGTAGCAGCGTTTTGATCTTCGTCATCTTCAGGAGTGCCATCTCTGCAAGCCCAAGCATCGACAAATCTTAAGGTCTCTCTGCACCATAGCTTTCTCATCAACAGCAGCCTGGCCGGTACCAAAGCAATGATGATGACGGGAAATGCAGGAGCACCTTTTGTCAAAGTCACAATAAAAATTACTACAGTTAATACGATCTGTACGACTGTATAGACATGTACGCCAAGATGGCCATGGACAGCTTTAGGCAATGCTGGTAGCTCGGAGGGTGGGGTGAGAAGGTAGAAAGACCGGTGGAGTATTGGGCTGGCGGTCAAGTCAATAAGGCACCAGTCGCTTCCCAAAGGGTGGTGTGCCTACTTCACTGCAAGGCTCTGCTCACCCATGAACATGAACAGTCCTGCCAAGACACTTGTCGGAGTCAGACCGAGAACCAGCTGAAGAGGCGGGCTGATGAAGCATAAGATCACTCCAGCGTGCAGAAAAGCGCTCCACCTTTGCTCATACACCCTTCGCACTTCTTGATCCTCCGTCTTCTCCTCTGTCTCCTCCTTGCCTGTTGTAGAGATAGAAGCGGGCTCTTTCTCAGGGTGCAGAAGGCTCTCAGAATGAAGAGGTGCTTGAGGTAGAAGCCCATTCGCAGGCGGTATTCCCAAGATCCCACAGAGTGCTGTTGTCGTTCCGAGCAATACAATGTCCCAGGCGAAGCCACCAGGCTTCTTGGTGCCATATCTGTCGATAGTGCAGATGATGCTACTAACCTCGTGATCAAAGAAAAAAAGGATGGTTATGATGAACCCTGGAATTATGGCAGCAAAGATCCAGGTTACTGGCAAATGCCAGAATTGGACAAAGAAAACAGAGCGATCAGGACTACTTGGCCGAAAGGCGTGGCTACTGACTGGCAGGGTTTGCTTGTCCAATGACGCTAGCTCTCCAACATGCGGCATCCCAATGAAGATTATGATACTGATAGCGGCCGCATACTCAGCGAGTCCCATCCGAAGGTATCTATGAAAGAGCGGTCTCCAGGACTCGGCGGTCGAGAGAAATATGGCCACCAGCATAGTACCAACTGCGCCAATGATAGCGTAGAGGAATGCGGCGAAAGACAGGGCACTATGAGCACGTTGCAGCTCTTGTACAGCTTTGTGGAAATAGATGATACTGTTCAGAAGGGAGAAGACCTCAGTAGAAAAGGTGGTTACGTATCGCATGGTCCAGTCGTGGGCGTTGAGAACAGCAAGAAGGTAGTGCATCCATCCTGCATGGATGAGTGACCACGCCATGAAGGGAAGAAATGGTATCTAAAGCATCCGCGATTAAGATATGTGCCCGGAGACCTAGGGTTCTACTCGACCTACATTTAAAGAGCCGATACATAACGAATAAATATTCTCAGCGAGTACCGAGAATGGCCCAGTCACGCCTAGGATTGTGAGGGGCTGAATCGACAGTCTGTAGGGCTCTCATGAGCCTTGCTTTCTTTTTCTAAGGCTGATCCTTACAGGCAGACGAGAATGTTTCCGCGAAGGTAAGAGATTTATCTAGACTCACAGGCTGAATATGACGCCGCAGAGCCCCGTACTAAATACCACTTCAATTGTTCCCCATGACTTCCCAGTCAGCACATACAGGTCACTCGCGAAGGTGATACCGGGGAGCAAGTTAGTAAAAAAGACGTAGACGGCGGAAGCTACTACGAGCTGGTTGAACACTGTCCAGTCGGATACATAGCGAACTCGAAGGTTGTGCAAATCTTGTCGGATAAGGCGGAAGGGGCGAAGGCTGCGAGGTAATCGCATCTTTCCGCGAATTACAGAGTGGAAAGTTGGGGGATGTCTTTGACACTTTTATTCTACACCCTGCTGAGGCCACCATCTTTTATACATCCTCGCAGGCATATTTTGAAGACAAGCTGTGCCTGGAAACTTTCACCAATTCCGGTCTTAGCCGCCAATTGAATTGCCGATTCCCGCCCGATGCCTCGCTTGGCACGGAGCGGAGGCATCTTAAGATTAATCCAATCTGATAAGATAAGAATTTTTCATAAAAAAAGTGCTAGGTAGTTTCATCCCACTTCATCAACATATCGCATTTCTTTTGGAGCTGTTTCGCTGCTAGTCTCAGACATAATCATGAAAGGCCAAGTTCCAGAGTTCCATGACATCCACAGAATATGTTCACGGCCGCATCCCTAGCATAAGCCGTCCCAAGATATTGATCATCTAGACATCCATTCCGATTATTATTGTTAAAATGTCCTATATCACTTGCCTAGGCTCCAGTGCCCTGTCCGACTTCCGGAGAAGAGCTCTTGCTAGCCAGCTTCATGTCAATGATGTCCGCGCTCGATGGGTTCACTTCGTGGCACTACACGGCGGTGACGTTACTAAAGACTACAATCAAAATGATCTCATCGAAATGCTCACTTATGGCGATGAGTATCTCGAAGAAGACGAGGACGGGGTTGATACTACTACATGGTTTGTACATCCGAGAAAGGGCACTATATCTCCATGGTCCTCCAAAGCGACATCTATCGCCGAAGTCTGCGGTTTCGGGAGCGTCGTCAAGCGGATCGAGAGGGGGACGATTTTCAAGATCTCATCGGACGTAGAATTTGATGTTTCAAAAGCTAAGAAAGAGTTGCATGACACGATGACGCAAGATCTGAGCACAAATATGCCAGATCTCGAAACAATGTTTGGAGAACATACTCCTGCTCCCGCCGTACGTAACTTCCGGAGCACCTCTTGAGCTGTGTCTTGCAAATCTACCTCCATCCCCAAATCCATCCAGTTGCTTACTTTACTCAAATAAATGCAGAAGGTCATTGATCTCTTCGTTGAAGGCCGCGATCCTCACGGAACTCTCCGGGAGGTCAACAGGACTATGGGGCTGGCGCTTGACGACTCAGAAATTGAATATCTGGTCTCCAAATTCACAGGCGACGGCGGATTAGGGAGGTCTCCCTTTGATGTGGAGCTCTATATGTTTGCTCAGATCAATTCAGGTATTCCTGGAATATGCTGTAATTGGAAAAGCATGCTGAATCCTCAGAACATTGTAGGCACAAGCAGTTCAACGCTTCATGGACGATTGATGGCGTTAAGAAGGATTTCTCTCTCTTCTCTATGATTCGTAATACCAACCAAAAATCCCCTACATACGTGGTCAGTGCCTATAGTGATAACGCAGTAAGTCGTCCTTTCTGAAATATCCTCCCCTTTCAGTCCTTAAGGCCGATTCTCAAGATGTATTGTGGGAACAAACGCCCCCTAGACGTCTGATACAACCCAGAGATATCTTGAAGAAGACTTGCTAACTCCGAAATACTTGAAGGCCGTACTCGAGGCGCAGGAAGACCAGAATGCGACCTTTTTTGCCCCGCTAAACGAGTCGAAGGAGTGGACACAGATAAACGAGCGTGTGTACTATGTTATAAAGGCCGAGACCCACAATCATCCAAGTGCAATATCACCATTTGCTGGGGCCGCAACAGGCGCGGGTGGGGAAATCCGCGATGAAGGAGCCGTGGGTAGGGGTTCCCGCCCAAAGGCTGGACTGACTGGCTACAATGTATCAAACCTCCTAATCCCAGGTTTCCAACAGCCTTGGGAGTTAGAAGACGTCTCAAGACCTGGCCATATTGCCAGCGGTCTCGACATAATGCTTGAGGGTACTTCCACCTTCTAGACCTTTATTTGCATTACTGATCACACCAGGTCCGATCGGCGGTGCCTCATTTAATAACGAGTTCGGTCGTCCATGTATCACAGGTTACTTTCGAACGTTTCTTGCCCAAATCCCACTAATCGACGGAAGTGAAGAACTTAGGGGGTGAGTGTGTTCTAGGCGTGAATTTCCTGAGTCGAAAAGAGATAACCGCTGACGCTATAGCTTAGGTATCATAAGCCAGTAATGCTCGCTGGAGGTTTGGGAACGGTACGGCCATTGCATGCTCTCAAAGACGCCTCAATTGTCCAACCGGGGTCATTTATTATCGTGCTAGGGGGACCCGCAATGCTAATAGGCCTTGGAGGTGGGGCCGCAAGCTCTCAGACCTCAGCTGAAGGCTCTGCAGATTTGGACTTCGCCAGTGTGCAACGTGGAAATGCAGAGGTACAGAGGAGGGCACAAGAAGTCATCAATTCCTGTGTAGCCATGGGTTCAGAAAATCCTATACTCTTCATACATGACATAGGAGCTGGAGGGCTATCAAATGGTATTCCAGAGCTGGTGCACGACTCGCGGTTGGGTGCAAAGATGGAACTGAGAGAGGTTGATAATGCGGACCGTGGCTTGAGTCCGCTGGAAATATGGTGATTGTTCAAGGCAGATCATCCCACAAATTGACTCCTGCTTACCACTACTCAACAGGTGCTGCGAAGCTCAAGAACGATATGTAATAGCAATTTCTCCGGCGAGTATCAACGCATTTAAGGCAATTGCCCTCCGTGAAAGATGCAGTGAGTACCTTCAGGATAACCCCTCCCCAGTCCGTACCCAAGTTCAGACTGCATGACATGTCGCCGGAGTTGTTTGATTCCTTTGAGTCTCGCTCTACTCTCAGAACACCTCTCAATACTGCAACATCTGTTTCGAAAAAACGATGCTAACATCGAAAATCTCGAACAGGCTACTCGGTCGTGGGGAAGACTGACGGCAAAAAAGGAGGAAGAGAGAACAGACTCCTTTTAACTGATCGAGAATCGAGTGAACATAAAGAACCAATCAACCTTCCCATGGAGACACTTTTCGGCAAGCCGCCGAAGCTGTCTCGCGTCGTGGAATCTCGAAAGTCTCTCGCTACCATCGTTCGACAGCAGCCTAGCGACCTACCTACCCAAGATGGAAAGCGGCTTCCTCGAAGTAGCCATTCAGAGAGTGCTAAATTTACCCTCGGTAGGGTCGAAGTCTTTCCTGATTACGATAGGAGACCGGTACGTCTACCTTTCCGAGCAGTCTCTGCCTAGTTCGTATCCCGATGAGAGCCCTGAAATTTGTTCCAAAAGTATCATACTCACGCATCTTGTCTTGGGACTCCATTTCCACCTCGAAGAAGAATGGCTAACTCCGAACACTTGAAGATCTGTATCAGGCCTCGTTGTCCGAGATCAGGTACGTACATTCAGGAGCTGATTCTTTCTGTTTGGTATTCCAATCGAGTCATACAATATATTTTGGGGGCAAAGAAAATATATTCTGCCTCTAATAAGCAGAGCTGATCTCGAAATCTGCCTAGATGGTTGGGCCTTTCCAAGTCCCTGTGGCCGATGTTGGGATAACAGCGACTTCCCTGAAGCTTGGAATGATTACTGGGGAGGCGATGGCGATGGGCGGTACGTAAACACCGCGGCGTCTTTCGTCATCTGGCACCTGGTGCTGAGTCGCGAGACATTGCTGACCTCGAGGTCTTCTTCTCCAGAGAGACCCATACTGGCACTGATATCTCCAGCTGCGTCGGCACGTATGGCAGTAGCAGAAAGTCTTATGAACATCGCTGCAGCAGACGTTCTTCTTGAACGAGTGAGTCTTTCGGCAAATTGGATGGCCGCTGCTAGACATCCCGGTGAAGCTGCCGCTCTTTACGACGCTGTTGAGGCGATTGGCATGCAGCTTTGTCCTGAATTGGGTATTAGTGTGCCTGTCGGCAAAGACTCCACGAGTATGTCGATGTCTTGGAAAGATAAGCACTCGCAAGAGGAAATAAAGGTCACGGCACCCTTATCCTTGGTCATCTCGGCCTTTTCTCCCGTGAAGAACACTCGCCATTGGACGCCAACTCTGCGACGTCCTGAAGAGCAGGATATTGGCGAGACGATCTTGCTTCTGGTCGATCTGGCCGAATCACGACAATGTCTTGGTGGTTCCGCATTGGCACAGGTCTTCGGTCAGGTGGGGAACGAGGCGCCCGATGTCCGTAACGTCCAGTTGCTCAAGGACTACTTCGACGCCATAGAACAGCTTCACGAAGCTGGTGTCGTCCTTGCATACCACGATCGAAGTGATGGCGGTACGTGTATTCGGAGTCCACTATCACCTCTTTCAGCCCAACTCCAAGTCCTCAGACAAGCTCATACCCTGAAGACATATTCCATGACTCCAAACTCGCTTCTTAAATAGGAAATGCTGACTCCGAAATCATTAGGACTCTTCACTACGGTCGTCGAAATGATGTTTGCCGGGCACTGCGGAGTCAGCCTAATGGTTGATGCTGTTTGCCAAAAAACCGACACTGCCCATGTCCTAAGTTCTCTCTTCAATGAAGAGCTGGGAGCCGTCTTTCAAGTCCGCAAGCGTGACGAGATTCATTTCCATAGATGCTTCGCAACATGTGGACCACCATCAAACCTGATTAAGAAGATTGGCCGCGTGGCTCCTGCTTCCCAGCAAGACCTCACCATCTACCACGGTTCTCAACTCGTGTACCGACAGAGTCGCACATTGCTTCAGCAGACATGGTCGGCAACGTCGCATCGAATGCAACGCCTCCGTGACAACCCAGCTTGTGCGGACGAGGAGTTCAACAAAATACTCGACTCATCTAGTGCTGGACTTTCCTACAACCTGACTTTCAACCCCAAGGATAATATCCTACCTTTCACTAGCAAATTGCCCAACATTTTCTCGTTGAACAGCAAGCCAAGAGTCGCTATTCTCCGCGAGCAAGGGACTAACGGGCAATCTGAAATGGCCTTTGCCTTCATGACCGTAGGTCCATCCTTGGGAGCGACTGCTTTCTTACCAACGCCTTGCCTCTTGTACACACAATCCTGACTCTTCTTTTCCCTAGGCTGGCTTCACCGCGATTGACGTGCACATGACCGATCTCATCTCCGGCAAGATCGCGTTATCCAACAATTTTGTGGGCCTGGCTGCATGCGGCGGTTTTTCTTACGGTACTATACGTGTCTCTACTTTTTCTAATTTGCACCCCTTAAGCTCGATCTATGACTCCACGAATACGCCTTAGGATGACTACTGAGACTTCAAAGGCGATGTTTTAGGCGCGGGCCGTGGCTGGGCTTCTACCGTCCTGCTCAACCCCAAGGTCCGCGAAGAATTCCGAGCCTTCTTCGAACGCAAGAATACTTTCACTCTGGGAGTCTGTAACGGATGCCAATTCCTCTCTCGGCTCCAAAGCATCATTCCCGGCGCAGAAGGCTGGCCCACCTTCGAGACGAATATCTCCGAGCAATACGAGGCAAGAGCGTGCATGGTCAAGATCACGGACTCTGACACCGCGCCTAACGTCTTTCTGCACGGCATGCACAACAGCGCGCTTCCCATCGTGGTAGCCCACCGAGAAGGCCGCTCAAGCTTCAAAGCTCCCTCGTCTGCGCAGAAACTGGTGGCTAGTGGGAGGGTGGCAATAAGATACGTAGACAACAACACCCTCGGACCTACGGAGAAATATCCGGAAAACCCGAACGGCAGTCCGTTAGGTATTGCAGGGATCAGCTCTAGCGATGGAAGGTGAGCACACTCATGTCCACTGTGTGGTGCAAGAAGCATTTGTTGACAAGAGTCAGAGTCCTGGCGATCATGCCGCACCCGGAGCGATCGTTCGCAAGCTGGGTCCCGGACGGCAAGAAGGAAGAGTGGGGAGATGTACTCCCTTGGCAGCGACTGTTCTACTCGGCTCGGCGCTGGGTGTCCATATAGGAAAGCGTGTTGGCTGTCACTCTGTCCTTGCAAGGCTCCTTTTGATGATGTCGGATATGATACCGCACATTGTTCGACGAGGACTCTGGCTTTAGGGAAGATACATAGATGGATACTTTGAGGGAGAGAGATGGAGTGGCGCCGATATCTACATCCTGGACAAGTCAGAGGCGTGGGACATGAAGATTCAGATTTTCAGTGGGTGAATCAAGGATGCGAAAACGATAGACTCTTGATGATGAGGCAACCGTGCCGCCTTGGAGTAAACTCAAGTGCAGTCCTTGCGTACAACGCCCAATAAATATGTAAGAGATTGAATCAAAAGCCATGAGGTGAGGAGCCAATCATTTCCCTTGAACCTCGTTCTCCGGCCAATGCATTTCGTACCGTCGCTTGAATGGGATCTCGTGACAAAGCGTCTCGCCCAAGGCTAGCCCATTGCCAACCAGAACTCCCTCCTTTCGACTCCTCACCCATCCCGCAGCACTTCTTGTACTCCCTTCGGGAGACCCACAGGGGCAAGCTCCGTCCCGCGCGATCGAGCCTTCATCCTGCGATTCCCCATCATGCGGTCCTTGCTCCGGATCCACCAACACTGGGCTCTGAGCATCCGCCGGACCGTTCCCCCATCTTCCTCCTCCTCCCTATCTGGATGATCTTGCTCCTGTCTCCCCAACCCGGTTCCATCCCGGATCACAGGGCGGCCCTGTGGGATTCTGACTACCCTCTTCGACAACTACCTTGGGAAGTGTCAAGAGGTAGATGGATAGCCAGGCCGTTTTCCCACCCTTCCCCCCTCAAAGTACCCCCAAAAGATACCCACTCCCTTTTCCCACTCTTGCCATCACAAATCAACCCACCGCATCATCTCCGCAACGCTGAACCCATCTCTGCTACCCATCGTCCCCGGTTCAAATCTCCTTACTGCCGTAGTTACGAACCCACGTTTGAGATAGTACGATTCGTTGATCTCGAGCATCGTTGAGAGCATCAGCATGACTTTGCCTTTCCCTACAGCCTCTTCGCGAGTGTTTTCGGTTTCTGGGTCGCCGTCGCCGTTGACGCTATTCCGGTGATGCTGTGCGGGAGGCGTGGATGATGTGGAGGAAGACGCGCGTGATTTGATCTCCCCTATTACCTGTTCCAGCAGTGCGGAGGCTAGACCGCGACCTTGCAAGCTCGGATGCACCGCGTTGGCTAGGATCTCCCATTTGGGCCATCTCTCCTCATCATCGTCGCCGCTCTTCCCCCTTTGGCTGTTCGTTTCAGGCTTGCTGGCATCGGGAGGCGGTCGCTTGAAAAGCAAATGGGCCCTTTGCCCCATTCCTTCCGGCTTCGTAGGTACGTACGGTTTTGCGCTCACGGTCGCTATTAGTGTCATCCCATTCGCGCGGTTGGTCATGAGACCTTCAATATCCTCGTTCCTGCGAAATTTGCGAAGAGAACATGAGGAGAGTAAAACCATCGGGCTCTAGTTCGGAAGAGAGTTGGGTCAGAGATTGTAAGCGCGTCGTTGGATCCGGAGGGAGGAGACGGCTGTTGTGGCCATTGATGTGGGATTGATTGTAGGAGTAGTTTAAGAGTTTGACCACAGCGGGAAGACTGGGCGATTGAGCGAGGATGGCTGGGGAGAGAATGGACGTCTTCGTTTTCAGGGATGAAAAGGATGAGGCCATGGGACTGGAGAGCGATGGGTGAGTGTAGTATGGGATGGATTGGTCAGTGAAAGAATTATAATATGATGGGTGATTGTGTTGTAAGGGTGCCTCAGGTGTCAGTAGAAAGGATGTCAGATGCCAAGGGTATTATTATCAGTATTTGTGTCACTATCTTGTGTCGAAAACAGTGAGGGACTATTAATACTTTAGTGCTTCAAGGAAAAGAAAAAGGAGTGACGAATGTTCGGAATTGATTGCTAATATCTGACTCGAGATCATACTTGTACTTTGAAGTAGATACAGTAATCTTGTACAATGGAGACGGTGAGAGTGAGACGGTGATTATCAATCACCGAGGCCTTGGGATGTCGTCTTTCGTGATGCATATGATGTTGCCATCATTCTGCTGGATTGTGTCGGTCGCGCGCATTTCGAATAGCGAATCTCTGATTGTACTTGTAGGTAGAGTATGACGGTGAGAATGTTGAACATATTTCGGACCATCAACGTCTATGTGGCATCGATGCCCGATCAAAAAGAAGTCCCGTTCTGATTCATCCGTAAGCTCTGGTCCCTGGCGTTGATTTCGTGTATAGTCCGCCACTCCACCGTCATGACACCCCAAAGCAAAGACCACACCCAGCAAGCCCCAGCTTACAACTTCGACCTCCCATCCGAATTTCTTCGTTCCCAATCTTCAACCCTCCTCTTCTCCTCTTCCTGCCGTCTTGAATAGTCCTCCATCTCCCTTTCTCCTCTCCTCTCCCCCTCTTCGACATTATCCAACAACCCCACCGTCTCACCCCACATCTCCATTTTTAACCTCCCATACACCCCCGTCTTCCCCCTATCAAGCAACCCCATCTCCCTCACAAACACCACCACTTCTTCCATTGCCCCAAGACCATCCACCAACCCCTCTTTCAGTCCCTCCAACGCCCCATACCTCTTCGACTCCAGAATCATGGTTCGAAACGTATTCGGACTGGGCACCTTCTGTCTGAAGATGGACGCCATGGGCGATTTCAACGGCGCACCGAAATCGAGCTCATTGAGACACAGAAAGCCCCGGTGCGGATTCATGAGCCGGTAGTCGTGCATCATCGCTGTCATGAAGCCGGCTGCGAAAGCGTGGCCAGGGAGGAGGGCTAGGGTTGGCATTGGGTATCTATCCCATACCAACGGCGAACAAAGGTTAGTCGCGTGGCTCTCGTACACAGATACTGCTTCTGCTCGGTATGGAAAATGGACGTACGTCAACAGCCGCCTCCAAAGCGGATACAAACTCCCACCCCAGAACCTCGCCCCTTCCTTCACCGCACTCTCATAATCCAACCCATTGCTATAAAATTTCTGTATGCCCGACGTCGTCACTACCACCCCTTTCGGAAAGCGGTGGTCCAGTATATCGAGCGCGAGCAGAAATGAGCTGCAGAAGGAGGGGGTTAGGCGGTTGTCGGGGGGGGATTCGAAGGTTAGGAGATAGATGCGGGGGGAGGGTTGCGTGCTGTGGTTATCGATAGAAAGTCAGCCTCGCCTTTCTTGCGCTTCGGGCTGAGCTAGGTGAGGTATTCTGAGGGCGGAGTGGCAGCTGGAAGAATGTTTCGCTCCCAGACTGACCTCGGCATTCATGACTTTGGATGAAAGAAATGGATGAGGAAGTGCATACCATGTTATCCGCCCATTGGGCTGGATTGGAAGTGTGAAGAGTGGGGGAATTGGTGGCATGGCTGTCCTAGGTGGCTAGAAAGATGTCAGAGCTGCCGGCGGCATATGGATATTGTTGATGTGGGGGGGTCTCCGCTGCGGAGTGGCGGGGAACAAAAGCTGGAATCTCAAGCCCTAACGCTAGGCCTAAGGAAGTCTAAATGTCAGGTTGGGTCAAAGTGGGCCAACTAGTCAAGGTTTTTACCGGCGACGTTGTTTAATACCTTGCGACAGTTTTTAAAGCATGAACAGCTTTCGTTCTTTCTATTTTAATTCTGTTGTGGGGGGAATAAGCGAAGTTTAAGCGAAGGCTTTGCAATCATGACATGTTGGAGTTGGAACTGAGCCGCTGAGATTCGTGTTCAATAATGTATTTATATCCAAGAAGCGAAAAGGTGCATGAATTGTATGAACAATCACTGTTAGTGCAATATACATTCAATAAATAGCGAGCTCCTATAAGAGGTGGTATAGTGGTATAGATGTATAGATGCATCATGATGAGCCGCTCCCCAACAATATGCCCAATACGCCTCCCTCTTTTCCAAAATGTTAGACGCAGACCAAGCATTACCCAAGTAGAGCAGCAGAAAGCCGACCAAGACGCCTAGTATCGTATGCAAAATGGCGGAAGCCTCCAAAAAGGTATCGAACATCATGTCAGCGCCACTCCCAGCGTCGTCTCCAATAGCATCTCCAACATATCCTCAAAATCATGCTCAAACCATCCACGAACTCATCAATTAGCAGTTACCATCCTGCCAGCACTCTCTTTCCTGCCAAACATCCTTCCCAACCTCCCCTTCGCACCGCCCTTTCTTTCCCACTCCCCTCCCTCTTCCATCTTCTTTCCTTTGTTCGGACTTTCCAGGACCGTCACACCAGGCGTGTTCAAAACATTCGCATACATATTGGCATCCCTGTTCACCTCCATAGGCCTCGGATAGATACCCGTTTCAACTTCTTTTTGGTAGCTTGGACCGCGAATCATAGGCGGCGGCTGCTTCTGCAACTTGCTCCTCGACGAGCCGGTCTGATTGGAGCCTGCACGAGGTCTGGCGGCCTTCTTCATGGTTTCCTCACAGCTTTCATAGCGAACGTCGTCGTATGGGGACTGTCCCTGTTGTCGACTTTGAGAGCGCGAGTAGGGGTCGTCTGGTCTTGTGGGGTTCCTTTGGAGAGGTGAATCTGGCCGTTTAAGGTAAGAGGGGCTAGGATCTTCGTGCCGTGTATAAGACCGAGAAGGGGGAGATTCTGGTCGGCCGAAAGGGTTCTCCTGCCGTGTCTGGGACAGGGAGCTCATGTAAGGAGATCCTGATCGCATATTATTGATAGAAGGCTGCTGGGAGAGGTTCCCAGGGCCACGTAGATGTTCGACGGACGCGCCACGGTAGCGGTGTAAAGTGCGCTCTATGCCATCATTGGAGACGATTGGCGCGGAGATCGAATCTTTCTTCACATGGCCACGCGTTTGGTCCCGAGCGTATGGGTTCGCCCCTGACACCTCTTGCTCTCTCTTCGCCTTGCGCCCACGGCCGCCGGACTTCATAAGCTGTCCAATGTGCGTCTTAGCCTCTTTGTATTGATCCAGACCAGGCAACGCAGGCAACGGTCTGTTGAGATTGGGTCCGCCGTTCTTCTTAAGCTTCCTTGGCTCTTCTTCCTCAGGCCTTGCGCTACGAAAGGAGCTCCAGCTGCCCTTCCTTCGCAGGCCACTTCCTTTCCACCAACTGCCGCGTCGGCCAACGCTGCTACTTCGGCTACCCGATCGCGACAGACCGGAAGCATTGGAAAACCCAGAACGCATACTGTCTTGGCTTGCGCGAGGTCTGATGTAGTTGCTGATTCCGGAGGCTATACTGCTCCCTATGCTGCTGGCCCTGCTCAAAGGCCGTTCGTATTCCGAGTCGCTGTCTTCCCTCATAGAAAGTTTGGACCTTGACCTCTTGGATGCGCGGCTGCCTGGTCTGGCTGCACGTCCGCTGTTGTTGTACCTGTCCTCGGCCTGCTGAATCAGAAGCTTCTTTCGTCTCCAGAGCTTAGCTTGTTCGCTTTCTTCGCTCTGGTGAGATTCGTCGGACGGTCGTCTATGATGAGACGAACCATACGATGGACGCCTGTTGTAGTCGAATGAGGGGGCTTTTTTATCGTCGCCAGGTGTGAGGGCCGCTGAAGTCGCTGCAGTCGAAGTTGGGCGTGGAAATTTGTTGTCGTAGTCTGTATACGAGCGGGAGGTCGACTTGCTTGATTCGCCTGATGCACCACTGTAGTCTATACAAGCAGCAGCCGAGGTTTTGGGCCGGAAGTGGAGACTATCACGGATGTGGTTGAGTGCAGGGTCTTCCACCTCTTTCTGTTTTCTTCGAGGATTGCTGGTTGTTAAGATTTGGGGTGGTTTTGGATCAATTCGATCCATTAAAGATTCAATTTCCTTCTGCTTTGAATTGGTACTGTTCGACATTGTGCGCGTTGGCTGGACGGGTCGCTCCATCTTTTTCAGCGTGGCCTTGAGGCCTTCGGAGATTGCTGTATGTGTTGGCCCGTTCGACCCATCCAACTCCTTTTGCTTGCCTTTGAAGTTGCTAGTTGTGGCTACCGGTGATAGTTCGATGAGATCAGACTCTCTTTGCTTGCCCTTGACGTTGTTAGATATTGCGGTGTTGACTGGCTCGGGCGGCTCGACAGCCTCTCGCGGTTTGGGTCGACTGTTGTTGACTATGGTGGCATGTACTGGTGGGAGGAACTCGATTCTTGCGGCACTTCCAGTCTCCGAAGGTCTCCGCTGTCCGTGCAGAGCCTCGTAGCTTGCAGTCTTGGGAATCGCACTGGTATAAGAAGCCGCGCCTTCCGGTCCGAACAACGGGATATCCTCACGAGGACGGCGGGTTTCATATTTTGTAGCTTTTTCCTGTCGGGGATGCTCCTCTCGATTTTCTGGTTGCCGAATTTGAGACTGCTCCTTTCGACCCATAGCCATTCGAGATTCCACTTTCCTCGCAAGCTCCTTCCTAGCCTCCGTCTCCACCTTGCGGGCATATGCCTTCTGCGCTTTCTCGTTCAGACGTTGCTCAGCACGATTTGCCGATGCCTGTTGTGACTTGACATCAATCTTTTGTGGTTTCGCGAGACGAGCTTGAGCAGCATGTCTGGCCTTGCGCTCCTCTTCGTGTTTCCTCAATGTTTCTCGGTGATCTGGCTCCTCATCTGGATCTGGAGGATTGGTCTCGTTTACTATGATGGCACATGCATGACGCAAGTCAATCAGCATGTGTGGTTGTACGCTCGGCCGCTCCATCTCGGACTCTGTTGGGCTGTAGGGTGGGGATGTATCTATGTCATAATCTGTGGGTGCTTCTGCCGCTTGCGTAGAAGTCTTCTGTGGGTCTGTTAGCTACTGTTCTTGTTCGGGAATGTGGTGAAATGCAGCAGATGACGCGATAAAGTGGCTGCAGCATACACGCAGGTACGACTGCGGGGTTGGGTTTGGTCTTCCTGCGGACTTTGGGGCTGAAAATTGCTTACAATGCGCAGCGAAGAGAAGGAAAACTTCCGACTCGTGAGCCCCATGATGATGGCTGTGATCTGTGACTATGCAGAAAAGCGTCGAAAGGATTCAGACTCGAACCGCCCGAAATATTGTTGAGTGGCCACTGTGCCTCCAATGCCCAGCAGTTGGAAGTGGGAAAGGCGGGCGAAGCTGCAACGAATAGATTGCGGCGTCAGTTTGATCGTTCAACGGTTCGCGAATGATTTAGTAAGACAATTATATATATGGATTGTATGTATTATCATGTGAAGGAGTAGAAGTCGTGATATTTTCGTGAAGTCGTTGATGAGAAGGACGATTGATGGACGACTTTCTCATCTCGTAAAAAACCCTGTGCCTCCGCAGTTGTTGCAAAATGCAATTTGGACTTCCAACAACATACTACAGAGGGACTAAGCACTACTAAAGAGGTAGTACTGGTGCTCTAAGGACCAACCACTACCAATCGCATATTAGAAGGCGCAAAAGAAGGCTCAACCCGTCGTTGGATCGCTTCTATCGCTTGCTCTTTCCGTCGCCCGTGCTTTTGTCGAACTCACTACTAATTGGTCGAAACCAATCCAGTGGCCCAGGAGCAAAAGTCTCGAACTGAAGATCCAGGATCTACCTACATCGTACTCTACACGCGTCGTGAATCTCTCTTCGATACGAACAGTTGATGGTGTGGAAGCGGAGATAGTGCCACGATGCTTTCTCTACTTGCTCATATTCTCGCGAGCTCAAGATCATATGCATGATTGCTGTTCTTATGATCCATCAGATCTGTAGGAATAGATACGGTAGGCAGGCTCGCACGCACGCAAACCAGCCTGATCCTTGACTCGAAACGCCTTGCGCTCTGACGATCAACATCGCTCCAAACTCCGCCAAACGCTACTCCCAAATTTTTACATCTAGAAACTCTGCTCCATCCCGAGCATTTGGTAAGACGTGCAGCCAAGTCACTTGCAGAACCCTCTACCGCGGCACTAATGAACCAAGGCAATGGCTTTCCGAGACGGTCCAAGTGTCGAAATGAAGAATAAAATCCCCTCGCTGTCGATGATGCTCTGATGTTACATGGTTGCGAATACTCCGCTGCTCCAGCAGATCATCTTCGAGGCCTTTTGTTATCTGCAAAGCCTCGGTCCCCTTGGCCTTCATCGCCGCCTCTTCCGCGCTTTCTTCCGCTCCCACCGCCGTCTCTTCTATCCCTCCCATCTCTCCGGTCACCTCCATCTCTCTGATCAAGCTCTCCTCTCCGATCTCGATACTGCCCTTCGTCCCGGCCAGATCTTCTCGTATCCCTCGGAGGTTCATCGGCACGCGAGTCTCTCCTCTCAGGGCCAGCACCACCGCGGACGTTCTTCTCAGCTTGTCCAACGCCTCCTCTCAAGTCTCTATCAGGTTGTGCGTCACCCGGCCTAGATCGCTCTCCTGTTCCGTCTCTACCATACATTGTTTCCTCCTCGCGAGAGCGTACTGATGCTCCAGGTACTCTGTCCTTGGGGGAACGGCTCCGATGTCTGCCAGATCGACGGTCTCCATCGTCCCGCCCACCTCCCCGCCTGCCTCCACGTTCGTAGCCTGCATCTCCCTCACTTTGCTGTAGGTTCGGCATGCCATTTGGTCTTCCAGCAAAGAGGTCGACACGAGGAGCAGGACCATCCTGTCTTGGCAGATTTTGGATAGGCGGACCAGGCGTGATTGGAGATGGCATGCTGACATTATTGGCGCGACCACCTCTACCACGGATGGTCGCTCCTTGACCAGACCTCTCGGGTACCGCTGGTGATCCCACTTGCTGGAGAACGTTTTGCAGACCCGCAAAACGTTTGTCTCTGTTTCTATCATTCGGGAATGATGGGCCTGTGGGTGGACCACGGTTAGTCGGAGATTGTGCAATAGGACTGGCAAGATGATTATTTGGGCCTCTTGGTGGGCCCGACGCCGGCATTGCCATTGGCGGCGGAGCTTGCCTTGGCCCTCGGTTTGCCGGTGCACTCTCTGTAGTAGCGGCGCCCGAACCTTGGATAGCCTTTAGACGGTCGGGGTGAATGCCAGCTGTCTCTGGGCTCTGAGCCACTGGTGTTGGAGGCGCTGATGATGTTGAGATAGGTTGGGTAAACGGAGCTGGCTTACGTGGTGACCCTCTCATCGAAGGTCCACTTGGCGTCTGCCGGTCCTGTGCTGGAGCGGCGGGAGTAGAGCTTTGTGAGACAAGTAAGGGTTGCTGAGTGTTGAGGTGCGGTTGTGGCGCACTGACATTTCGACCACCCCGATTTGGAGGCGGATGATTTCCATTTGCCAACCTTGGACCAGATGGTATGTCGGTGCTTGAATTGAGCCTTCCATATTGTGACTCAGACTGTCTACCGTTGTGGTTTGAATCATGGCTTAAACGTCCATGAGTCGGGTCTATTGCTGGTAGCGGAGTGGACGCCTTCAATGAGTCTCTGAATCGGTCAGTTGGATTCACAGGTAAAGCACTTGGTGGACGGCCTGTCCGTGGCCCTGTTGGAGCGTGGGGTTCCTCATATCGCGGTTGAGCAAGGCGCGAAGGGTCATCGATTGGACGGCGCCCATCCACTGGTGGTCGCTCTTCGCGGAGACCGTCATCTCTAGGGGTACGACGATCATCGTCTCGCTTTGGCGATGGTCCTCGGGAGCTTCGTCCAGGATGAGAGTGGCTGTCGTGTCTCGGTGTCTCAGAGCGGCGGTCCTGAGGGTTGCTGGTGGGTAATCCCCGGCTAGAATTCTGGTTGCCCTGAATAAGAGCAGCTCTGTCGGGATGTTGAGGAATGTTCGACCGTGGTGGTGGCATCGCCGTGTCTCTTATGTTTTGTGTAGGGATCTCCGCGTCTCGACGATTATGTTGCTGTTCGTTGAATAACCGGTCGTTGGAAGGTCGGTCCAGTCTATCATCGCGAGGTAGCTGTCTCGTATCCCTCGCATGCGATCCATTGTGTCGGTCGTCAATAGCAGCTCGAGCAGGGGGCGCCTTTTCGTTGCCATGACGTAGGTCCACACGGTCCCTGTCAGGTAGCGGTGCCCGCTCATTTGCTCTCTCGTGATTTTGGGTGTAGGATCCTGAAGCAGTTCGCTCCGGTCCTCGGTCACGCAGTATGTCTCTAGACCTGTCGGCTCCTCCCCGCTCAGGGAAGCGAGATTCTCGTGCATGGTCATGAAGCCCAAGCCCACGCCCGTCGGACCGTGGCAGCATGCGATTGTCTCCAGACCTTGACACGTTTGCCTCGGGCTTGTTGGGAAGACCATGCTGAAGGGGCCCATTAGTGGCATTGGAAGATGCATTGCGACTCAAATCTGGCCGATTAGGGACCGGAGATTGGGCAGAAGGTGCCATTGGTCTAATCCCCGGTCTTGTAGATGCTGACGACGTACTGGCAGATGATCGTAAGGCTTGATTTGCACTCGGGGCTGGAGAATCCTTCCGTGAGACATCTAAGTGCTTCGATGTCTCGGCAGGAGGCGCTGAAATGGCTGACGCTTTGGGGATTTCCCCTGGCGCTGGCTTCGGTAGCTGCTGGGCATCTGAACTTTCACCCTCGTTGATTGGATTGTCTGTCATCTTCGCGTCTTCGATCTCACCGTCTTCGACTTCAAGCTTCCCAGAAGCTGTCCTGACCATCTTCGGCCCGCCGTTCACACTAGATCTTTATATTAGCAATCTGTGATAATATTTAACAGCAGAGTCGAGACTTACACCGGGCGTGGACTTGGCTGGAAATCCGGAGCCTTGGGATTCAATGTCCGAGCCGTATCGCTCTCAGGATGCGGCGTAGATGGTTTCGCTGATGTAGATCTGACACCGTTGGTGGTTGCAGAGCCGCCTTCGGTCTTCGCCTGGTCAGGGTCCACTCGTGTAGGTTCAAGAGAGCTAGTACGTACCAAGTTGAAAGCTTGCGGGAGCACCCAATCTTTCTCACGTCTCTTTAGGGCACCAATCAACGATGTAGCCGCGACTTTCAAGTCTTCGCGAGTTTCTGACTTGCTCAACTCCCCAATACTGGTGAGCTGACTTTGGCCCATCCAGTTTACAGCTGGGAAGTATTGATGAACGTTGTTGAGAATGTTGATCGCATTCCGAATGTGCATGTACTCACCACTGCCTATGCAGGTCTTCAAAGCGCCGTTAAGATTTCGGTGCCACTTCAGGAGTACCCTGCGGAATTCTTCGTATTCATAGAAAGACACGATCCCCTTATCGTTTGTCATCTTTTTCGAAAATCCTGGAAGATTCTTGTTCGGGCCAAAAGCCTCTCTCTCAAAGGTTGACTTTTCCGCGTGCCATCGACTGAGATCTCGTAGGATCTCATTGAAAAAGCGACCCACACACTCGGCCTCCTTGGCTGTACATAAGAACATCATAGACGTCAGCCTCTTCTCTTTGAAGAACTGATCGTATACACCCATTGTCCTGAAGTTGGTTGTTCCTGAAGAATGCAGGTATTTCAACATCTTGAAGGTATACATGGCGTCGACTGGTGAGAGCACGATTCGTGGGAAGAAGCAGTGTTCAATCAATGCAACATTGAGTGCGTCCCACTGGCCCCAAAGCCCAGCGAACCAGTGTTCCTTTTCTTTTTGGAGGCGCATTCTCATTTGCTGATATACTTGTACACAGGTGCCGGATTCATCTCGCAGGCGGTCTTGCAATTCCCCCAAAGCTTTCTTTTCTTTATCCTTTCTCTGGGTGCCGAGTATGCTGATGTCTGATCGGTCGCTGCTGATGGCTAACACCTTCTTTTTCAGCCGGTTGATTTCATCATTGTAGCTGGGCAACGGAACATGCATGTCTGGAAGCGATAGCTGCCAGAATGTCACATAGAATGGCAGACTCAAGGTTTCCCAGGTCTTTTCGGGCAAGGTCGGACGGATGGCTTCTATGAGTTCTTGGAGGATCGGATGCCAAGGCCGTTGAATCGGGTTCACTTTGGCCAAACGTGAAGAGACAACTGCTGGTGTGCTGTCATTCCCATCTTTCGTCTCAAGATCAGTATTTTCTTTGTCCGAATCTCCATTCACGGTTGCTGCGGACACCTCCATTTGATCTTCTACGGCAACCTTGGTTGCGTCAGAGACTGTTTCTTCTCCTAGAGCTCCATCGTCTGCCTTGGCCACATCTTCCTTTATTTCTTTCATGGATGGCTTTTTAGCATCTGAGTTTCGCTTTCCGTGCTTGGCATCGTAGTCAGCGATTGCTGCAGCAATGCTTGGTCGGCTGATCCAGAAAGCGACGCTGGGCTCAATACCGAACGCAGTCACAAGCTCGGAGACTCCGGGCACGTAATTGTCGAACTCTTTGACGGACATATTGCTTCTCAAAAGCTCTATGTATTGAGTAATTATTCGATGAAGCTGGTCGAAAAGGTTGCCTAGCAGTTTAGGATGGGCATTTTGCTCTTCAATCTTGAATATACCTGTCTGCCGTTCCTGGGCTAAGGAGACTATGATCTGGCCAGCCATTCTCGAGTCCGTTAGTGATTTCATCAGTCGCTTCGCGGTAGTCTTCGACTCGTGCCGCCGATCATGCAGCTGCAATATGGTCTGCGCTTGCAGAAGGTCCCGGCCGGCCATTGCCCAGACCTGTGCGTCATTGAGATTGGCGTCGGACAAAATGCCAGCCATGGACTTGGTAATCTCTTCAAGGATAATGAGGTCTGTCGAGTTGCCTTTCCGGAGTTGATCGGCGACGTATTGAACGATCGGTGTAGGATTCATGACAGAATAGCGCTTGAAGACCTTGCCCGCAAATAAGGACAATGCTGCCAACCATTTGCTGGTGAGCATGCCATCAGCCTGGACCCTGTTCCTTCCAGTACCTCCAAGAGCGCTCATGAGAGACCACGTGAGCACATCGTATGCCAGATATGTAAAGTATCGTGCGCATTCAACCACAGCATCAACGATGTTCTCGTAGGACTCAAGTTGAGCAATGGCAACAGAAAAGACGATCCCAGGTGACGCATACGCCACCTTGGCTAGAGCTCGCGCCATGGGTTTGATTGTGGTCTTGCTGATGCGCTTGAGAACGTCTTTCGTCTCGGCTTTTGCCTGGTCGAAGGCGGACTTGATGTCCGGCGATCGTGACGTCTGTCCTTGGTACCATTCTGCATATATGCTGTATCGAGTGGGTGTCGAGAAGTTTTTAATGAGCTCGAAGACTTCGTTGACTATCCCAGGATTGCATTTCGTGAAAGACAGAGCCGGCACTAACAGTCGTTTCGACAAATCAACCCAACGTGCCGTGTTCGATTCTGAGGTGTCAGTGGCCAATGAATGACTACCAATCCGAGCTAGCTTAATTAGAAGCGAGCTATCTTGACCGATCTTTACTCCAGTATAATTGAGTAGGGTGGAACAAAGAACGAAGACATCATCGACTGTCTGACATACGGGGACGTTGTCGGCCCAGTCGTCCCAATAGAACTTGTAATCAATTGCATCGTTCGTATCCTCTTTGTCCAATTGCGCCCAGCGCATGGTTTTGCGCGCAGGAGCGTCAATGAGCTTAACTTCACCTTTTGCTACTCCGGCTTGATCAGGGTCTGGTGTTTTCTGCTGCTCTCGCAGGCCCGCTTGGTCTTTGAGGGGCCGTAAAGGCTCGTAGACTTTGCTGAGAGAGTGATGGAGTATGCGGTGGATGTGTTCGGGAAGTTCTGGAAAAGCGTCTGGAAGCCATGGAAAGCGGCCAAGCATGTAGAGAGCTTCGGGCAGAGCACCAATACAGAGTAAGCTCTTCAACAATTGGACTTTTTGCTCAGAAGGCTCTGGAAGTTCTTCGACTTTTTCTTCTGGCTGCGCAGCTGGTGTTGACCTCTCATCTGTAAGGTCAATTTTTGCGGTGTTTCTTCGAGCTACTTCAACTTCACGGAGTCTTGCAGCCTCTTTCATCTTGCCGTCCACGGAGTCGTCTGGGAGTGGTGCAGCGGCCATCAGCGCGTTGGTAGCGCCGCCCCCAGGGCGATTCGTTTTCTCCTTCTCGGCCTTTTCCTTCATCTTCTCTTCCTTAACATCTTCCATTGCTGGGTCTGCTGGCCAGATGTGAGGATATAGATCTCGTAGTGAGATAAAGCCGACCTTGATCAGCAAGGCGGCCAGGTAGATGAGGTTGACTGGGAGTACGTCGTTGGGATCACGTGCAGTAGAGCTGTAGAAACGCAGTTTGAATCCGAGCACCTGAGCGGCGACCTGATTACCTGGAGGAGGTAAAGTATTTGTGATTTCGATCCACTTGCGATCTTCATCGTCTTGAGACGAGTCCTCGGAGCTGCTGTTGGTGGCCGCGGCTGCAAGGGCTGATCCTTCTGCTCTTCGACCACCAATTTCGAAGTAGGCACCCATCCCAACCTCCTTACTTCTCTGCCAGAAAGCTTTGTCTCGCTCGATCTTTGCCGTAGTCACATCTTCTTTCTCTTCGTCACTCAATCCCCACCCAGATGCACCTGGTAACGCCCACTTCGGCAGAGGACTCAGGAAATGCCCGGTAGGATGTGACTTGAAGATATTTTCTTGCGGCCACCATGAGCTTGCTCGGAGATACTTGACAAAGAATCGGTATTGCTTGACCAGGACCGCTGCAAAAACATCGAGTGTGATGTCGAGAACTCTTCCCACATCAAGATCAAAAGCTCCAATCATTCCCTTGACTCGCTCGAAAGTTTCCTCGACGACCTCGCTAGTTGGTAGCTCGTTGCTACTGGTTGTGAAAAGCTCAGTCATTAGCTTTGAGTAACCCTCCGTCTCCTCTCGAAGTAGATTGTAATTTGACTGGCGGTAGAGAAGGTTGGTTGTATTCCGAATGCCGACTCTGACAAAAGTGTTGCGTATCATACCAAAGTTCTCCAAAAGCGTGCTATCCAATTCACGACGCATCTGTTGGGCCGGTATTCCAGTAGCAAGTACAAGTGCTTTTAATGATGGTGTCGCGATAGAAGGCGATGCCTCTGTCAAGATCGAAAGACAATCAAGGAAGAGCGAGCTTGCGTCGAAAGGATATTCGTCGGCCATGGTATCAGAGGTGTCAGTGTTATCGTCCTTCTTAATGATATCTTTGATCGTGGAGCCAGCTTCCGCTGCATCTATCCGTCCGTCGAGAGCAGATCTGACCAATTCCTGGTAGAGGATGCCAAGAGTCATGGCATCCTGTGCGGTACGAGCTGTAATACCCCTATCCAGAACCTCTTTCTTCCCGTGATCTGCCCATGCTCTTATTCTTTCTTCGGTAGCATATTCGTAATAGTAAATTGCAGGTTTGCTTTGCTGCTGTTCTGGGACCTGCGTCACTAAAGGCTGCGGTGCTGGTTCCTCTTTTGGCTCCGCTGGGGGCTGTGGCGGTGGAAGAGAAGGTGACATAGGCCTTGGGGATGTGCCGTTCGCACGTGACTGTAGCGGTATGGCGTTCGGACTGTTCATGGGACTGCGCTGAGGTCCGCCTCCACGCCCTCCTCTGCTTCCTCTTCTCCTGCCTCCACCACGTTGGTCATATTGATCTCTGCCATAATTTTGCGACTGCTGACCTTGCTGCTGGTTGCTTTGTTGTCCTAGCGTCAAGTTGCCGGGTCGATGAGGTGAAGGTCTCGAACCTTCTTCTCTACCCTCGTTCGAGTAAGTCCTGTCCCCCCTCTTCCTCTTCCCTCCACCTCCAGGAGCCATCCGGCCTAGACCCACACGGGCTGTTCAGCGTAACACTGTTTTGTGGCAGTCAGCATGAGCGGGCTATTTTTTGACAGTGACTCTATTGGTATGTTGCAAACGAGTAAGTTAAAAGCTGGAGATGAAGCTCCTTTGAAAGGTACAGCTTCGTGGATGAAAACAACTGTAATTAGAGATGCTTCAAGATGTTGTTTCCTCAATGTTCCAAGTGGTCTGCATTTGCAGGATGTGTTCAGTGGTGGGTGTTAGCCTGGTCAATAAGTCATTGTGAACTGGCATTCATTGCTCGGATCGTCGTCTCTCGGGCTTAGCCGCTAGCGCGTAAAGAGGCCTCACTGCCCGCTGCCCGCATACCGGTAACGTCCTCCCTTCGCTCTTGGGACATGAGCGCAAGGTGCATAACTACGTCACAGCAATCTGGGAAAGAATCCTCGCTTTATACCTTGGGTTTCTCTCTTCCGGATTTGAGGTATTTTAAGAGCTTCGGTGGAAACCTCGTGTGACAACGCCAAAGGAGGGCTGTGACTGTTCTGGCCCGATAGCATGTGAAGAACAATAGCAATGGCACCCAAGATCTTCTTGTAAGCTCTAATCTTTGGTATAGCCTACGTTGTCCTGCCACTGATGCTCAGACAGACTTGGTGCGACAGGATACATTGGTGGGGATGCTCTTTACGCTCTCGTTCAGACCCATCCCGAGTACGAAATAGCATGCCTGGTCCGCAATTCCGACAAAGGTGCCCAGGTGGCGAGCCAATACGTAAAAGCCAGGCTTGTCTATGGAACCTTGGATGACGGAGATATACTAGGGCAGGAGGCAAAGAAAGCGGACATTGTGCTCAGTGCGTCAGTATACTAGTATTACCCTCGGAGCTGGATCATTTTTTGATAGTTTCTCATTGCCTAGATTGCGCCAATGCAGATAACGAGAACGCCGTAAACGCTCTCACCAAAGGACTTGCAGCCCGTGCAGCAGAAACCCCGGGCTTCTACATCCACACGTCCGGCAATGCGATCCTCTTCGTCGCCGATATCGACCGTAAGATCTACGGAGAAACGTCTAGCAAGATCTACAATGATTGGGAAGGCATTGGGGAAGTTACCTCTCTGCCTGACCATGCCCCCCATCGGAAGAATGACAAGAACGTCATCAGTGCAGAGGGTCCCAAGGTCAAGACCGCGATCATCTGTCCGCCTACAATATATGGGCCTGGAAGAGGACCCGGAAATCAAAGAAGCCACCAAATTCCGGAGCTGGCGAGGTCCATGCTCGAGAAAAAGAAGGGTCTTCAAGTTGGAGTTGGGGAGAATCTAGGACCGAACGTCCATGTTCATGACCTGAGCGATTGTTATGTCAAGCTTGTTGAAGCTGCGGTTGAAGGAGGCGGAAATGCTACATGGGGGAAGGAAGGGTACTATTTCGCGGAGAATGGGGAGCACATCTGGGGGCACATCTCCAAGGCCGTGGCGAAAGCTGCACACAAGCAAGGCTTCCTTCCCTCCGATGAAGTTGTTTCGATCTCCGAGAAAGAGGCGGATGATTTGGCTTGGTGGGGCTCGGCACTGTGGGGAGCAAATTCAAGGTTTCGTGCCATTCGGGCTCGCAAATTGCTAGGATGGTTGCCAAAGAAAGCGGCAAAGGACCTTGATGGTGACATCCTGGAGGTTGTCAGCGCTGAGGCGAAAAGCCTTGGGCTTGTGCCAGGTCATGCGGCAAAGGTTGCTGGTTGAGTGAGTGTGCGTTTCATAGACTTTGCAGATCTCCTTCGCAACCGCTTGAACATTGCATAGCCAAACGACACTGCAGAGTCTTGGGCTACTTGGGTGTGAACTGTCATGGTCTCCAGGTAGACCCCCCTATGATTGACGATGCATCTAAAGCAAGCAAGGAAAGTGGTGATTCTGGCAACCGTACGGCTGTCTTCCGGAGACCCTGGGTATCGATTAATCTCAAGCATATATCCCTCAAGATATTGGGTTGTCTGGGGATAACACCCTTGACTGAATACAAGTGCCAGTGGACTGAGTACAGCCTGTGATAGTGATGTACTCGGCTAGAGAGACGGCGCTAACGCGTTAATGCTTTGACGCCGGAGTGAAGTTGATGTCTATGCTTTGACGCCGGAGTGAAGTTGATATCCATGCTTTGACGCCGGAGTGAAGTTGATATCTATGCTTTGACGCCGGGGTGAAGTCGATATCAATATCTATATCTTAACACTCCGTTATTCAAACACCGCTCTTAAATATCCACTCCGTTTATGCTAAAGGTTTCCATCCGCATCGCGTTGAAACAAGGCCCTTTAAGCTTGGAACACTGCACAGTAAGTTATTTCACTGTTCCAGATCGCAGCGTGCAGAGTTGTTATTAGGCATGAAGTTTAAAGCTCACCTCACCTTCACTGTCTTATACCGTCACAGCTACGAGCAAGCCGGGATCGAACCAATATATATAGATAAATACTAATAGCAATTATAGTATACTATCATAACTCAAAATGGCTTGGAATCCTGTATCAGCAAGTCGACTTCCGGCAGACGATCCTTATTGCAATAAAGGTCTGGGCAATCTTCCGGTCGAATCTGGAGCCTCACAGCTAGACGGTCGTTATAAGACCCACAGATCTGGCTATGCAAAGGGATATGCCCGCAATACGGCCGCAGGTGGCTACGACCCTCAGACTCAATACGCCAAAAGACCTGGTTATATGACAAGGCACTTCCTCAATACGGCTACAGGTGGATTGGGACCTGAAGCTCATCCAGCACTTTGTTCCGGGCAGCTTCCCCAAACACCTAGCCGTACCCATAGTTCACAGGAGATGACAATCGCATCTTCAGTTGGCCACATCCCCTCCTTACCCGACAACCCGCAGCATCAGCCCGGTAAGTCTCCGCCAAATCCGGCGAGCTACTTCCCACAGACACACTAATTAGCAAATTTGGGGCCTTATAGTGTTGCCAACTGCAGGTGGCGACCTCGCACAGACGCCTACCAACCAACAGGAATCCAACCTTGCCAATTCGCCAAGTCCAAGAGGACAAATCAGCGCTTCGCAACCGAAGTCGGTAAAACACCTTACCTGCTGGTACTGGGCAAATAAGGGCTGCAGACTGCCTGATCACGTTTGCCTCTACTCCCACTTTGATACGGGAAGACTTGCAGAGCCACCAGTGCAGATTCAGCGAGGTCGTGAGTTTCCCTCCCATATCCTTCACTTAAGTTCGGGGCTTCTTTCCGAACCTCACTTTGACAAGTTTGAAACCACGCTAAAGCCAAATCAGGTCCAGCAGTAGCCGGCAAGAACGCGACAAATCCTCGGCCGGTTTACAAAGATTGGAAAGGTCACCATCGATCGCAATCAGCTGCTGTCGTCGGTCCTCAAATTCAGAAACAAATCGAACACATCTATGCCAAGGCCGGACATCCTTCAAACCCCACAACTGTCATACCCAAGCAATCAGAAACCGCGAATATGGTCAAGGAGGAGTTGTTCGGCTCTGCTCAGCCTATTGTTAACTACAATCGCGCTCATCCCGACGATTCCGCGTCTCCCGCTCCTGCTGATTCTTACCGTAACATGTCCATCGGCATCGGGGCTTCCAACCAGCCCGTCCAGGAGCACTTTATCCGCTCTCCTCCCCAGATGGGTGGAAACTTCGTGGCTCCTAGCCACGCTGCTCAGTATCCCAGTGGCTCGATTCACTATGACACGGCCAGTAGCTACAGCCCTGGTGGTAATTATGGCGGCACGGGTGTCAACTATGGCGGCACGGGTGTCAACTATGGCGGCACGGGTGGCAACTACGGCGGTATGGATGGCAACTACGGCATGGGTGGCAATGGACCTGACCCTCACCATTTCGGCGTTAACGGTTCCAATAATCCCAACACTTCTATGCCTTCTGGCCAGTATGGTGGCCGCTCAGGCGGCTCTACTCAGGAGATGCAGGAGCAGATGAAGGTTAAGGACAAAGTGATCACTGAGCTCGCCGGCATTGTCGAGATGCTGGAAATCAACTATGGGATTTCCATCGACGACCAGACCACTACGTTCCAAAAGTTCATGGACATTGCCCGCTCTATGGAAGAAGAGGCGCGTGAGGCAGGGAACGTCGCATCTTCCAGCGAGACCAGGGGCAAGTAATCCCTGTCAACGTTCGTCTACAAGAGGCTAACACCCTCGCAGGGCGCGCATCTAATGTTCCAGCTCCCAGCGCCTCGATTCCTTCATACGGCCCCCCCCCGGCAATCACGAACGCATCATGACTGCGATGGAGGGCTATATCAATTTGGTCCAAATGGAGAAGATGGTCTTGGCCAAGTCTAAGGCTCGCAAGCAGGTGGTTGATGGGGATTTGGAGAGTATCGAGGCTGCGAAGCTGTTGCCTCGTAGGTGGATGGAGCGTTAGGATGGGGTCATTCGACAGCTGCTTACCATTGACAAGGGTCAATGATTCATTAGAGATATATAGCAAGCTTGAATGAGGCAGGTAGAAGAGCCCATGATGACATGGCACGGAATAGAAGATGATATCTCGCTGAGACAATCCGCCCCATGCAACACCAACGTGATCAAACAAATGCTTAGCTGCTTCCCTTCTAAATCTGCCAAGTATCCGTCGTAGTTCAGTTCATCCGGTCCTGTACGAGGTGATTTGGCGAACAGCGAGTACCAAGTATTCGACACTGCTTGGGCTTGCCAACTTGGTCTGTTAGATTTCACTGCTCTGTCGGTACATACGAGTATGGAAAAGATGACTTGGCGTTACTTTTTACCCCCTCTAGGTTTTATGTCTTTGTTCAGAAGCCTCCGATCCAAGTCACACTTGTTACATTTGCTAGCATCTGGCTCTCCAACCCAAGGTTACGAAGCCAAGATATTGGACGAATGGTTGGGTGCTCGCCCGTGAAGGCTATCAATGTATATACATAGAATCCAAGGTAATCCATATCCGGCTGTATCTATATAGCCCCAAGTTCCTTCAGCTTCGCTATCATACCGTCCACATCCTCTACTTTTCCTCCTCCTTTCCTCGGTGGTGGCTCTGTACACAGGTTCGTTAGCACCTGTTCCGCACGCTGAAGACTCAATCGAAAGACAGACACTCAAAGCTATCCACCCAGCCAAAAACGACAGAGTACAACGGCAGAGAAGCAGCACTTACCCTCCACTCTAACAGTCTTCAACCTCCTCCCCTCATCCACCCCATAATCACTCAAAGTCTTCTTCTCCAACTTCTTCTTCTTCGCCTTCATGATATTCGGCAAACTCGCATACCTCGGCTCATTCAACCGCAAATCCGTCGTTATGATCCCGGGCAACGGAAACCGCACCGTCTCCACGCCGCCATCCACCTCCCGCGTCACACTGACCCGATCGCCGTCGTCAAACTCAATCTTCGACGCCTGCGTCGCCTGGCCCCACCCCAACAACCCCGCCAGCATCTGCCCCGTCTGGTTCGAATCATCGTCGATGGATTGCTTGCCCAATATCACCAGGTTCGGCCCCTCCTCCGCCACGACTTTTGCCAACAGCTTCGCAACCCCCAACGGCTCGAGTTCCGCCTGCCCTTGGCCGGCGTCGGGGATCTCGACGTGGATCGACCTGTCCGCCCCCATTGCCATGGCTGTGCGGAGCACGTCGACGCATTTGGCGGGGCCGGCGCTGAGGGCGAGTATGTCGTCGACGGGAGGGTTCTTGCGTTCGCGCATCCGGACGGCGGCTTCGATGGAGAGTTCGTCGAAAGGGTTCATGGAGTGTTTGACGCCGGCGGTCTCGACGGCCGTGCGGGCTTTGTTGACGCGGGGTTTGACCTGTGAGGAGGAGGGGGGTCAGTGGACGAGTGTCTGTAGAGGGAGATTGGAAGGGTCGGGGAGGCGGGAAAGGGCTTACAGCGTAGTCGATGACCCGTTTGACAGGCACCAGGATCTTCAATGGGGTAGGCATATTGAGCGGTGTAAAGGACCAATGGTCGAGCAGAGGTGACGTTCTCAAGATGGGAGTCTGGGGAAGCCTCGGCTATTTAGCCGCGCCCATAGTATTCTTTCTCCGCAATCGGTATATGTAGTCAACCTTGTCTTCGATCTTACGTTTCAGTATATGTTCGCGTCGCCTGTCTGAGCTATCATTGTTGCACCCTGCAACGTGCAATCCTACCAGAGCACGCCGCAATGTGATTACGTTGACCCCTGCGCAGCATGCGCTAGCCTCCAGCTCCTCCTTTCGAGTGCACTACACCATCGTCTGAACATCCTCCACTTGCCCCACAGCGTCAGCAACATCCCCCTTCCCCCTCTTCAACAATGCAACCAGGCCGCGCCACGATACAGCATGGCACCTCCTCCAACCCCTCCATCGAACCCACAACCGCCGCCTCCCTCCACGCCTTCGCCGAAGCCTGCGCAAACGGCAACATGGACACCGTAGCCATCCTCGCAACCGGCGACGACCACTACCCCAATACGCAACACTACCTCAACCACGGCCTCCTCGCCTCAATCATCCACAAACAACTGCCAATCGCCCGCTTCCTACTCTCCCACGGCGCAACGATCACCCCATCCATAGCAATGGCGGCCGTCAGAGGCGAATGCACACCGATTTTCGAACTGCTGCTGGAGAACGGGTGGGATGTGAACAGCCCCGTCACGGGCGGACAACCTGCCCTGTCGGCATTCGTGAAGAACGAAGCGCTGCTGAAGTGGTTCCTGGACCACGGCGCAGACCCCAATCTCGGGCCCCCTCCTTCACCGCAACCGGATTCTGCACCCGTCCCGGATTCCGGCTCCACCCTCGACTGCGCCGCCTCCGCCGCCACGCCCGCGATCTTCGACCTCCTGCTCCGACACGGCGCGAAACTGGAGAATAGCCAAGCGCTGCACATGGCGGCGGCGAGCCAGGAGGACGCGGGGAGGATTCCGATGATGGAATACTTGCTGCGCAAGGGCTGCGATATAAACGCCAGTGATGGGGCGAGAGGGTTCCAGGCCGTGGGACCGCCGTTGTTCTATGCGATCAGGCAGGGCCAGGTGCAGAAGGTGCGCTGGTTGTTGGCACACGGGGCTGATGCGAGGGTCGAGGGGAGAGGAGGGGCGACGGCGTTGAGAATGGCGGAGCAGACGGGGGTGGGGGATGTGATTGCCATGGTCAAAGAGACTCTGGAGAGGGTGGGGGACCGAGCTCAGGCGTAGTGACTAGGTAGGGAGTAGATTTGAGCAACCGGATCTTGCTTCCTCCCCGGATTGTATCGTCGCCTTTAACGCACCGGACCGGAAAAATACCTCTCTGTCGTAAGAAGTAAGCTCGAAGCGAATTTTGGGCGGAAGACGTGGGCGAAAAAGCAAAAAGGAGACGGTGACGCTGCCGCTTATGATGGCAACCTAGGCGAGCAGAACGGGAAAAGTTGAAAAGGCCGCTCGGTACGAAGTAGGATATTATAGCTGCGAGAATCTTATTGCCTTCTCCTACGGATATACATCGTCTGACCCTTGCTACATGAAGATGAGACCTCAAATCCGGTAGCCGGCCCACATTATGGATGCACTAACTTCGCTGTCCAATATCGACAATCATCATCATCATCATCATCATCAACCCATCATGACCCACTCACCCCCCCCCGGGAAACACCTCTTCCACCCTCGAACCCCCCGCAAGTGACCCTCCTCAAAACCCCTGCCGCCGATGCCACTTCTCCTCCCAGCCCGGAAACCACGGCGCCTCCTCCAGCGTCCGCACCTCCCAACCCCTCTCCGTCAGCCCATCCGCCTCCTGCTCCCGCGCCCACCCTTCCAACGCCGGCAGCACGACGTGCTCCACGTGCCACGTGCTCTTGTACTCCATGAGCGCCTTCTTCCCGTCCCGGAGGACCTTGGCGAGCAGCGCGGGCACGTACGCTTCGGACCGGAAGTCGTCGAGCGGGGTGAAGAGGGCCTTGAAGTTGAAGACGATGGCGCCGGAGAGGGGGAGGCGGCGGAGGGTCTGCCAGTCGACGCGCAGGTGGACGCGGGAGACGGGGAGGTTGGGCACTTGGCGGGTGCGGAAGGTTTCGTGGGGGTCGCCGGGCGGCATGAAGAGGGGGGTGTCGACCTCGAGACCCCAGGAGCCGCGTTGGATGGGGCGGTTGGGGGGGAGGTGGGAGAAGTAGCTGGCGTGGTCGCACGGTCAGTCGGACAACCGGGTCGGGGATGATGTCAAAGAGGGGACGTACCGGTCCATTGAGAACTCCATCTTGGCTTTGTAGTCGGGGATTGGGTTGTGGATCTCCTTGAGCTGCATACCGAGCTTGGTGTCGACGTTCCAGCCGAGCGAGGAACAGAGGAGACCGGCGCGGAAGTAGTACATGCCATCCTCGGGGTTGCGCAACATGACGGCGAAGTCTTCCGGGACGTTCTCGAGCAGGACATGCAACGGATGCATGTCCTCGATGACGGTCTCCTTGTCCAAGATGGCATTGTGGAAGACATAGCCTTTCGACGTGGACAGTGACAGGGAGAAGTACTGAGGATAGCGGGCGCACAGGAATTGAAGGGCATTCTCCATGATCTCTTTGCAGGCCAATTCGCTGCCGGGGAGATAGTTGAGCACCAGTTTGCCGTGCTTTTCGAAAAGCTCTTTCCGCTCCGCAACTCGTGCGACGTAGTTACTTTCGAGCTCTAGCCACCAGTCGGGTTCCAGTTTGTTGAGCGCTATACCATTTGTGAGCTGTTAGTCAGCTTAACGAAGAGTCAACATACCCATGGTCTGATGATATGCCCATCTAAAGGGTCGATATGGCCGAGGTAGAGCTTTCTCAATCTCAAATTCCTTGTAGGCTTTTGGAAGAGGCACACCGCTAAGCTTGGCGTAGTCGGGAAAGTCACCAAGGGCTTTGATCTCCGCCACCGATATCTCCATCGGCGTGTAAGTTGACGGCCCACATTCCCTGTAGTCAGCTTCAAAAGGGATGACGTTCTTCGTAAATTCTTCTTGGGAAATTTCAAGAGGCCCGATATTCTTCTTTTGCGAAGTTGACAATGATTCTGCAACCTCGAGCAGCACTTCGCGGCTCGAGGGTGGAAAGATGTCCTTGTATTCCGCTGGGGGCGGTGCATTGTTTGGGACCCTCTTTTCCGGAGTCAACGACCGAGGCGGTGTCCTTGCAGAAGAGGAGCGACGGCCTCGAGCCACAACAGGAGCCCAGGAGGATACACGTGCATAGAGAGCCTCTCTTTGGCTTTTGGTCAGGACCAGCAAGGCGATATTGCTCAGGAGCACAGCGATGGCGAGATAAATCAAAGATTGACCGGATGGCAAGTATCCCTCGAGGGACAAGATGGCATTCCGGATGCCGGATTCGTTCAAGGTATCCATCGTCCTTTTCGGGCTAATCCCGAGTAGTCAAGGTATGGCTCTGCCAGTGGGCTCAAACGTTGGCGGAATTGAGGCTTGGAAGCCTTGATCGTTCGAGCGATGATATATATGTATGAGGAGGATACTTGTGGTACTGCACGACTCTTGGGATTGCAACAAGCGTCTCCTTCCTGCTTAAATTGCTACAATAAGGTAGCGTAGCACCTTGGTCCTTTTCTCCGAGCTCCGCGGTAAACGCAGATTCTAAGCTGTTCAGAGGCCGATCATGATCATGCAGCTCTGTCATGGCGTTCCATCTCAATTAATAAATGGGAAGCAATGCAGGTGCAGGTGCAGGCAGATAGATTTTTTTTTTTTTGAAAGACTGAGAATAAGAAAAACCAATGCGATGCAGTGAATAGCCTATTATATGTATCTCTGAATATCTTACATGCCCATATCTCCCCTCAATCACCAATGTTGGCTTTGCCTTCCCCGGACGCAGAACCTATCAGTCGGTTACCTCAAGGTTCCCTATCAGGTGTGTACCAGACGTCTGAGAGTGAAAGGTTGCGATGAAAGGGAAGTGTTCGCCGTTTGGAGGTAAAGTCGTTGAGGAAGGTCAGAGGCGCTAACCGAAGGAGGCAATGAGTTCCCTGCAGGCTGCCAAAAGGCACGGACCCCGAAACCAAGTCTGGTGGGAATCTAAAATCATGAGACATTATTAACTTATGGCGCTGGTTTTACGTACCTATCAATAAGATAGGTATTATCGACAGACTACAGACACAGTACATTATGTATGTTACACTCGGGCGGAAATAAATGGCGTCAAAAAGACGTCGGCATGTCGGCATTCGACTAGGAATTATGAATTCTTCCACTCCGACAGTCTCCCCACGCTTCGCCCTGAAAGCACTGCAGCACAGCATCTGTCACGCTCGATAAGCACCACAACATCATCATCCTCCATACTAACTCGCATTGGCTGCTGAAAATGGTAACTAAATGTGAATGTTGTGAAGTGAAGACGTTTGCCGTCAATAATGCACAATGCTCTCTATATCCATCACTTCTGTGTGTCTGCATCACCATAAGGCGAATCATGGAGCCTTTTCCTTTTGCTCATGCCATCCACCCCCTCTGCCCTTCCTTCCGTCTCCAGGCCGTAAAGCGTAGAAAATGGCCTCAAGACCCAAACAATGTACGAGAACGTACAGCACACATGCGCCAGTCATCAGCTATTGTACAGGGAATTAAAGATGGTATATCACTCCGGACCGGTAATGCTCGGCCTACAACCCAACGCCATTTGATGACCTTCCGAGAGGTACATGCATGCACAACGGATACCGACGAGAAAACGGTGACTGTAATTAATAGAGGTAGGATGTAGTGCGCTAAAATGAACGAGTGAGAGTTTCGATGGAGGACGCGCGCAACGGTTGTCGGATCAATCCACGTCAACCCGATTGGATGCAAATGGTTGCTAACCATCATCGGGGTTTGCAATCTGATGGGCAAATTACTCAGCAATCGTAGACAGATACCTTCGATGGGAGAGGGGACTTACGCGCAACATGCGCCGGGAGTAGTCCTGGTCATCCCTGAAGCTTCTAACGCTAACGTGACTTCCATTGTCATGCAATGGATTCCACAATGCCGTGGGCTCCAGTCTCTGATCGACAACTCGAGGGTAGCTGCTTCGCCGTTCGACCGCTGATAATGTGTCTGCTGGGCTCTTCTCCGAGCCATCGCGATTACTAGGGCCCCAGCCACTCGTTTGTATGACTGGTATCGTCGGTCCGGTCTTCTCACGTTGGGGTCCTCCGGCGCCTACCAACCCCATTTGGCTGAGTCGACTTGGCCGACGTTGAGGAGTGCTGCTACCAGCGACGGAAGAAATAGCGGCGGGCTCAGGTTGCCGCCTTCGGCTGCGACGAAGAAAGAACCAGATGACACCTGCGATTAGGAGAAGGAGGACGATTGACACAGCGACAAAGGTTCCGGCGACCTTTCCTGAACTGGAGAAGAAGCCACCGTTGTTCTCTTTTGCTGCTGTGATAATTGTCGTCGCTGTTGCTGGAGGCGAAGTGGGAGTGATTGTCAAGGTTTTTATTTGGCCAGTCACTGTGGTGACAGACGTGAAAGGTGTAGCTGACCAGGAGCTGCTTGATGTAGTCGTACTGGACTTGGCGATGGTTGTAGGAGTGGAGGAAGTTGTGAGAGTCGTGGGAGTGGAAGTGGTAGTGGGAGTAAGATTAAGTGATACTGGTATTGGTTGAGACGTGGAGCTCGTAGACGTCGTAGATGGCGTCTATAAAGCTTTTGTTAGCCATGATTCTCTATATAGATGGCAAACGTCTAATGTGCGGTAGAAGAGGGCAGGGTGAGTCCGTACTATAGACACAAAAGAAATAGAAACCGATGGTGACTCTGTGACTGTTTCCTGCACAGTCATAGGATCAGGACTCGGATCCGGTGAAGAAGTAATTTGCGAGGAGGAAATTAGAAAATGTGGGATTACAGGGTTGGCTGCCGACGGTATTGCAGTCGGGGGTCCAGTAGTAGGCAAAACGGTTGACAGTACTGAAGGGGTACTGCTGGTAGAAGAAGAGGTTGCCTCAGGGGAAGAGGTGGTGCCAAGAGGGACGCCTGGTAAGGGTTGGGTACTAACCGCCTGAAGAGTATCACTTGTTGTTGGAGTTGGAGCTGGAGTAGGAATAGGAGTAGGAGTTGTCGTGGGAGTTGGGGTCGGCGTCGACGTCGTAGAGGTGCTGGTTGATGCACCAATTGTACCGGATGGTGCATTGCCTAGAGCAACATATCCGAACAGGCCTGATGACGCACTTCCACAGTTCTCGTATGGATACCCTGGACACGCCTCACTACAATTGCCAGTGGACGTTGTATCGGCGGGAGAATAGTTCGAACACCAGCAGTTTTGGTTTTGTACGACCGCGAATGCGAAACCTGAGCAGGCAGTCTGACATGCTCCGTTGGAGTTGAAGTGATTCGACACTAGAAAAGGCCACGGTCAGCATGTTAAGCGGTATGCGTGTGGGGCTTGCAGCATGTTCGTACCAGCATTCGAATCAGAGCCAGTGTTCTGCGAGGAGCACAGTTCTTGGGACAGTTGGACTGAGGGCCTCGGTGCAGCGAAAGCTAGCAAAACTGCAAGCGATTGGATGAAGGGTCGAGCACCAAGTCGCCTCCAGATTGGGGTGGCCATGATGGTGTTCGTTGGGGATCCAAGAACACTGCTGATGCTTGGCGATAGTGGCACGGTGACACTAGACGCGAGGATTGCTAGTTGAGCGAATGTTGATTGAGGATACTGCCAGTGAGAGATGGTGTGTGGTTGGTTTTTGGTCAGACCAAATCAGGTGTCCTGTGATTGTTGTGGGTTGCTTAGTCGGCGACGAGTCATCGATTGCTACTGGATCCCTTTCAAGCTCCGACAAGCAGTTCTCCGGATATAGACTTGGATTATCGACCAATTTCGACTTCTGTCCTCCTCCTTTTTCTTTCTCTTCTTTCTCTTCTTCGGACCCAACAACAAACCCACCAATCTATCCCCTTCACCTGGACCGATAAGGATGATGCATTCGAGATGAGCTGCTCCAACTTGTGGAATCAGCAGGCAGCAGCTGCTGACATTCGATAAAAATGAGAAACTATAGAGACAGCCAAAACAGTCGCAAAAGATGACAAAGTTGAAAGGGTGAGTGGTGGAAGTGGAAGAAGATGAAGAAGTAGAAGAAGAGAAGGACAGCGGAAGGGAGGAATTGAAATTGCAGTCGCGGTTGGGAGCCAGAGAGACGGGAGCACGCTAAGAGATAGCTCCGGTAATTAGCGCCAAGAAAGATGACTTCACCAACTTTTTCCCTACCTGAAGTACCCTACTTTACTCTCTCACGCATCAATTGCAACAAGGCTCTAGTCAACATCATTACGCGTCTATACAAAGTCTGGAGCTGTCTTGTTGACGTGTTTACTTTTTTGTGATGCTGTGCGCAACTGAGATACACGGTCATGGACAGAGCTGGGAATCACATCTTGACAGAAGCCCAGGCCCCGGGCCGACAAACAAAGACCTTGTTGCGGCACTATTCCTTATTCCTTGAAACCAAACAAATGAAGCTCATCGTAAGCATCAGCATAGGTATCACGTTTACTCGAGTCTCAAATATGAAATGTCAAGCTCGATGAGCGCATCTTGAAACGGTTGTCCCTATAATAATAATATGACTCTGACCTATGGTCTTTGAGTAGCACGCGCTTTCTCATACTGCGGTAGTGATCCGGCGCATCTTTTGGTTCGTGTAGAAGTTTGAAGAATAAAAAGGATCCGTACTCTATCCAAGAATAGCATTCATTCCTGTAGCCTGGGATGCGGGCACCGTCTCGTATCTACCTTACTCCGTGAGTCCGTAGCCCGCGCAACTTCCCAACATATCCGCAGGCTCTTTCGCTTTCATTCTGATCCATCCAAAACCTCACGGTGTCAAAAACTGAATGGACAAACGACATGAATTTATTGTTACACTGGTACCTAGGTACATTGGAAATCATCTGGTCCCTGAAACCCGGGCGACTGTGAACTGTACTGTGAACTCTTAACTTAACTACGGTACTGTCGAGCTTCCTCCTGCCTCTCTGGTCCAGCTGTCAGACTGATCTGCGCAAAAGCCGAAAAGTCAATCAAGCTCCAGAGGTTCGGGAAGTTGGTGGGGAGGTGCGGTCTGTGCCGTCATTGGTTCTGCTTTCTGCCACTTTGCATCTTTTTCCACTTTCCCTTTTTCCTCAACAAGGCTTCATGCAAGTCAGCCGCTCCTTCCTTAAGCCCCCTCTCTCCCGGTTCTACATACCTCCGCTTCTCCCACATCATCGCCATCATCGCCATCATCGCACATATTATTCATGCTTTCGCACAGCACCGTGGTCATACCTTTACGGTACCACAATTAACCAAGGGGAGATCGTGTACCTTTCCAGCATCCCCGCGACACCCTTTCTCAACTGGGAACAAAACGTTGTGTGCGAGAAGAACGTAACATGTCTCGATGATATCACCGTTGCCGAAGCATCAACCAGGGTTCGTCAAGTATCTTGCAAATCCCAGGTTGAATATCAATGCCTCGATCCACCGCGATCATCTGCCTGGACGCCTCTTTCTCGGCTGAAGCTGAACCGTTGGAAAGAAGGCGTTCTGTCGTCGGTCCATCCATGCATTGCACTGTACCGCATTTCTCCACGTCGAACTGCGCTTTAACCTCATGGCCCGTGTTAATGGTGAGGGGGGACTGTTCCAAAGAGTCCAGGGCGAACATCTGAAACCTGTGGCCCTGCGGCCGCGGAGAATAGCCCAAGAAGCTGTGAGAAGCCTCTGGGGCGACTGTTTCCTCGTGAATGATCTGATGCAAATACGATGTGGAGCACATGATTTTGGCCAGCTTCAGCGCGATGCGTACTGCTCTGCGGGGTCAAGATCGATCAAAGGGCTCAAGGAGAAGTGCACGCTCTTTCCTTAACATAAATCAAATCGTACGCATGAATCATACGGTAAGTCACACGTTGTCTATGTCGCAGCTCTATATACGATTTACCCTCAGATGATCTGCGGCTTCCCCGTCGGGAGCTTGTTTGTCACCAACCCAGCACAACAATCTCCGGCCTGCGGCTTTGCGTGCGAACGCTTATCATGCCACTTTTCATAATCCAGCTGCAATTCTTCAGTCCACTTATCCTTGGCTGCTCTTCCCTTGGCTAGTACAGACGCGCCTAAAACTGTCTCCCCCACGTCCTTTCTCTCAATGCTGTTCGGATTGTCGCTGTCAGAGGACGAGTCCGAGTCGTTACTATGTTGGCGTTTCCAGTGAGTAAGGTGGAGGAGCTCGCCGGTTTCCATCTTGAAGAAGGCTTTAGTATTCCCGTTGATTTGAAGCTCGATCAGGCCCTTGTGATTCTCGCCCGATGAGCGATTTTTAAGAGAAACTGGTGATTCTCTACGCCCGCTGGTCAACGTGGCGGAGGAGCTGTTGGTCGATTGGAATGGGACGGTGTCTTTCACCAAACTATCCTGGTCTAGAGAAGCTCGGCTGCGCTTGCGGGGTTGGCCGAGGTCGTGATGATCTTCTGGTTTGTGTGTCTCAAGGATCCCTTGGCCGGTAACGGTTTTACGTCCGCTAGTAATCTGGATGTCAGAATGTGCAGGGCTTGTGAAGACTTCCATCGACCTTGCATTTCGCCAAGCCAATATTAACATCAACGCTCCCAATGCGAGTGTCGTAATGATGACGATTGCCGGCGTGGATATACTTCGATAGACGGTGTTGGCTCCTAGGGACTGGCACACGATGTAAGGAAAGCCACAACGCCGCTTGGGTGTCCACTTCATCCATCTCGAAGTTAGAGCGAGCGAAGAACGCAATGTTCGTTTGTCCAAGTGATACGGCGAGCTCAGCGGACCATGCTTCATTGCCAGTTTGCACAGCAGAGTCGAATTCTCAAGAGTCGTGAACCCAGCCTGACTGCTGGTCAGAAGAACCGGTCCAAAAAGATGAAGTCACTTACTTGGATCAAGTCTGTACAACCACTTAGTGTCGAGTTTTCGGTTGATATGACAGCTAGCTTGTATGTTCGCACGCCTATGAATAGCAAGCCAACCAGGGAAGCTACTAGGGTAAATACACCCAGGCCGTGCTCAAGCCAATGTCTTCTGGAAGATATTGGACGGCAGGAAGAGAGCCATGAGGCTGCATTGCTGTGAGGTGAACCTTCTGCGCTCTTAGGAAGTGGTGTGGCTGAAAGATTCCTGCTCCGAGGTGACTGATTTGGTGTTAATGTGGCACTCGGAGGCAGAGGCTCAACATCCGAAGGGGTCTGTGGTCTGAGGTTGGAAGGTTCGTGCGACGGGACTGGTGACGAAGATTCGGATGCCGAGGTAGCACTGCTTCCTCGGGACTGTGGGCGAGACGATTCGAAAGAGTTGGACGAGGAGCTTGTGTTGAGCGATGGGTTGAGAAGACGGGGTGGTGTACCGGAATCGGGCGAGGCTGTCGGTTCAACAATGATTGGGTTCGCGTTATGATTTTCGACTGCCATTGCACAAGACTCGCAACCAAAGACGAAAGATCGGTACACGAAGAAGAAGAAGACGAAGAAGAAATTGGTCCTGCGGGAATTTCCTGATTAAATCTTGTTGACCGTTTCGCAGCCTCGTGCTACTTCTTAGGTTCCCCCCCGTCTCCCCCACTATCCTGCTTGTCATGCTGATTTTATGACCGCATGCAGATGTGGCTGTACCTTTGCTATTGGGCGATCCACTGGATCTTGCGCGGAGTCCCCGTAAACCCGATGCGCGAAAGGAAGCCGTTGAGGCGCATGGCCCAATCGCTGCCGTGGAGGTTCGAAATACTCAGCCACAGCACCTGCATGGTGATGTCTTCCCGCAGCGCTACTCTGCAGGCCGGTGGCCACCGTGCGGGAGACAAGCGCTTGCTGGACACCCTCCTTTTTTTTTAAGGGGCGGGAAAGGAGTCCTCTCTCTGGGGTTTAGTACCGGTGCTGGATTTGGAAATTCGATGCGAGGACTTTCGAGCTGCTCGGTGGTGCGTTGGGAGGGGCACAGGTGAGGGGTTATTGTGAGCTGGGATTCGATACTTCTTTTGAGCTTTTGCGCCGGCATTTATGGATGAGTTGGATAGGTAGGGTAGCTTTTTTTTGGTTTCATGTGTCGTGCTTAAAATGCATAGGTCAGTGGAAATCATAAGGTAGAATGGCGGCTTTGGGGCCTAAAACGCCCACGGGTCATTTTGGCACGATGTTCGGTTGAAATTATATAGGATGGATGAAGTGATTTCTCCTGAGATCTCTGGGACCCTGGTCCTGGTGAATTGAGTGTTTCAGACTACAGACTACACGACGACTGGGATGACTGGGGGCCGGATTTTGACGTGTCTGTCCTTTGTGATATACCTCCAGAAACTACACGGCAGGCTGTAACGACAGCCCCACACCATCGGAACTCCCTCGACTGAGGCAATGATGGTATGAGCGAAGCCGATCCGCATCGTCTACCGATAGCCGCTGACGTTTCGAGATAGACAGAGCAGGGACCGAGTCTAAGGGCCATCGCAAAAGCTGCCATGGTTTCTTCATTTTAGGGATGCTATGGTACGAGTACATCGATCGGGTCAAGAAGACCGTGTGTGATATCATTGAGTGGAAAGTCCCTGTTGTACGTCGCAATCCAACGTCGATACACCCTGCGGTCCCTGTTCGATGGGGCCGTATCCTACCAACACTTTGGTCACCGGCGAACGCCGTTCCGGTGACCGTCCGCCGACATGTTTATTGGGTGAACGTTATCCAAACCAAGGTCCCAAGTCCAACCACAGACAGACCCATCATATTGACAGCAATGCTCGATGTGAGACGTGTGATAGTGAGAGCTTGGAGAGCCGCCTCTCGCTCGTCCTTTGTCCCACTTCGGTTCTGTGCTTTTGGCGTCCGCCTCGAGCAGCTCTTTCATACTCTGCTAGCTCTTGCGCCACTCTCGATGCTGAGCGATGGCATTCCCTCCTCCGCTCTTCAACGCATCGCAAAAGACGAGGTTGGACAGTGAAACGAGCGCTTTCAATCTAGATTCGTCCGAGGCAAGGTCTGCGGCAATTTTGCGGATCTGGCCGACAAGTTCTGGGTCTCTGTGATGGTCGAAGAGTGTTCCTTGGCACCGGGGACCGATGGACAGAGGTCGAGGGTGGACGAAATGTCTTGGCTGCGCGGACGCGGGTGGCCTGATGTATGCGCTCTGGAGGAGAGTTTTGGAAGTCAGGCGTAGTGTTCCGAGCATTCTGAGCAATTTCAAAGGATCTATACTGCAGTGCGATGGAGTAGGTTTCAATTCAGGTCGTCCGGGTCCGTGGTGACAGGAAAGAAGCTGGCTTTGGCTGGTGACAGTGGGGGATTCATGTCGACAGGGGAGCCTTCTGAGACATGCATGCCACTAGTGTCAGCGGCCAATAAGCCATCAGGGATCACAAGCACACTCTCAGGCTGCATATCCACGATCCTACTCTGGCAGGATGGTCTTCCCGATTCACGGTTACCGCTAAGCTCATTCGCCTTCTTCAACAGATCCCATCGTCCATGTCCACAGGCAGGCGAAACCGATTCATGCCTCGAGGATCTCCATTGCCCGCAAGACGCTTACCCCGTATCCTGAGATCTACGCCTCGGCGGCCCATTCTTCTTCTTCGTTGTCCTACGACAAACTACTCAGTCTCTCGTCTTCTACCTCACACGAGCTTTCAGTCCCGCAGGACACTTTTCGAAGATCGCCATGATCCTGAGCGTAAGGGCACACACCAAATGGCACGTATTGGATCGACGCACAGGAATCGATCGTATCAGGTCGTCTCCAGTGATCGCACTACCCCCTTTTTTTTGCCGGTTTCATCCGAACCCGCACGCGAAGAACATAAGTAATCGTCTCTTGGGTCATGTCTAACATGAATTGTCGGCCGGAGGTCCAGGAGAATTGTTAGGGCTTGAGACAGCTCACCCGGACGGCAGTCCACACCCAAGATGGACATCTGAGGAGCGGGAAGCGTTGCAAGAGCTGATACGGATCGGTCTTTTGCGTCACGCAATGACCCAGCGTATCTTTGGTGAGCCGCGAAAAGGTGTTGTCGCTCATACTACGGCATCGAAAAACCATTGCAAAAACCGACTTGTTGCGAGAACGGAGCGGAATGGTGATTGAAGATTGTGGCCAGCAGCGTAAATGGGTACACCGGTCCGCCTCACAGATGAAGTGGAACCTGCTCATCTTACTCGCAGACGGTGGACGCAATGGCGCAGGGGCCAGCGTTTGAGGCGCCAGAGCACACTGTGAACCTCTCTATTTATTCGCCAAAAGAATCGATCTCTGATCGAGCCCGCTAGTGTTTTGCACTTGCGAAAAGCACCATAGATGCCTTGTATACCGAGCTTGCCAAGTATCCCGCTCGAAAAACAATTCTCTGATCCCACGAACATGTGGAACTCGGACAAATGCTGCGTCCCAATCCATCTCATAGACCATCCCCCTTTCGAGGCTATCGGGAAAGGGATCGTTGTTGACGTTGGCGGGTCGCACGGTCAAATCGCCGTCCCAATCGCCCAGCGTTCCCACCAGCCTATGGTCTATCCTGCAAGATCGACCCGAGGCCATCGCTCACGGTCCCCGTCAAATCCCTCAAGAGCTGGCGTCCCGCGTGAACATCGTGGCGCATGATTCCTGCACCGAGCAACCGGCCCGCGCCGCAGACGTGTACCACTTCCGCCGGATCTTCCACGACCGGTCGGGCGAATACGCCGTTGCGGGTTCTGGGGGCCCTGACCCCGGTACTCGAAGCCTGGAGCATGCATCGTCATCGGCGGATACCGCTTGCCCGCGCCGGGTTCGCCGTCTCCGTATCGGGAACTCCCGTCGAGGTCTGTTTTGCGCTGTCTGTTCTAGCGGTTTCTGGTCGTCGTCCCGTCGGTGGTCGACGGCTGATACGGTTTCCGTAGATCGGCCGACCTGACTACGCTCGAGGTTCGGAACTTGGAGGAGCGTGGGGCCGAGGGGTGGGATCGGTTGGTCGCGAAGGCGGAGAAGTCGATTGCGTGTCTGTCTCATTTGAGGGGTTTGAATATTTACAGGAGGATACATGGGATCCTTGACCCATGTGAAGAGATGGAAAATCGAATGTCGGGTTTTAAAGTACCACTGATATCTTGCTCTTCTATTCTTTCCGTTGCTCACAACGGTATTCTTCTCTCTAAAAATGTGATAGAGGAATTTTAAAGTAACTTGACATTTAAAAACTATAGTAGATATCATGTTCCAGATAGATAAAAGACTTGATTAGATGTTTAACCCTCTACTGGTCTAAAAAGTAGAATAATATCTACGCCCGCATGCCAGTGATGTAGATCCTCACTCAAAGCAAAAGCTGCACCAAAAGGCAAGACAACAGTCCATCCCCGATCGAGAACGCCGTTATCATATCTGCGTACAACAAGAATCAGACCCAATCGAGGTGGGATATCGGCTACGAGCAGAGCGAAATGCCACGATTTGGACTCTCCTTGTCTCTTTGCCGACGCGGTCTGGGATGTCGTGTCTGCCCTTGCCCTTCAAGAGGGAAAGACTGGTCAAGTCAAATCCACCAGCGAGGAAAAGCAACTCCGAACATCGACGGCTAAAGCGTACGTGAGCGATCGGATCACACTCCAATGGAGTTCTGCATCATCTCCACAGGAAAAGAGCTGGAGCGCCATGTGGGTTCCGATCGCTTCGAGGTCTTGAAGTCGGAAGATCGTAGAACCTATTCGGGATGTAGACGAAGAGGCACTAAGAGATGATGTAGACTGTAAGGGCGTAGATTGTGATGCCAATGACGCTGACGATCCAGTGGACATTTTTGTTCGCGGACCAGCCTAATAGAAATCTCTGGTGAGCTACTTCCAATCTTGGCGTCCGCAAGAAAGAGTTTACCAAGATGAACAATTCAATCAAGGGACCCCAGACAAAGATCAATGCTAGTCGCAGTCGAGATTCCTGAGCACGGAGACCGTTCTTGGAGGTATCCGGTATGAGCATGTATTGGAGGTAGTAGAAGTATATGCCCATTGCGAGGACGCAGCCCACAACAATGCAAGTAATGACCACACCGGTCTCTCCAATGTTGAAGCCATAAAGCGGACCGTAGACTAAGGGAAACACTTCGAAGAACTAATAGTAGATGCCGTAAATGAGAGCGGTGTAGACGTCGGTGAACAGTACGGCTGGATCCTTAAACATGATCTCGAATGGTTTTGTTCAGGGCATCGAAAGCTATAGCACTAGCCGTCAGGCCTCGACGATCGATTTGGCTCTGCGAGCTGATGTTTGGGTTCTGACTAAGTTTGCGGAGACGCGTCCACCAGCGAAGGAGGATATTGCTGGCTGATGTTTCTGGAAGACAGAAGAACCACAAGACAAAGACCGGGCCTGCCAACCACAAAATCTCCCAGAGTGACCATCGCCAATGCTCCACAACCACTGCGAAGCCTGACAGCATGGGCCCCAAAGCAGTTGCTGCGAAGATAGCAGATACCCAAACAGACACAGAGAAGGGAAGATAGAGCAGACAGTACTGGGAACATATCACCTTAGTGTACGAAATATCGAGAGGAGCCTACCATGTCTTGCATCGTGGCACCACCATTATTGAGACAGGGGCTACCAAAGAAACCTTGCCAAAACCCTGAAAAATAGCAATCCTCTGATGTTGTTGACGAGTGCTGTAGGCACACACAGTATCACAAAAATTGCGAACGTGAAAATGTAAGGTAAGTTTCTGCCGAAATCTCGAATTTCACCTACGTAGATCAGTCGGCCTTTCATTTTCGGTCCCTTTCTATAGGCACTACTAAACTTGTGGAGACCGCCACGCACTCATAGGAGCCCAAATCAGAGGACCCGTTCCATCTGTGCTTCTATTAGAGACCGAACCTCAGTAGTCTGCGTTCTGACTTACACCCGAGTATATAGAGGGCGAGGCCAAGCGTTGCAACAGACTCGTTGAACCCAAACCTAGCCATGACAAGTCTGTCTATCGGTCAGTAACGCAGACCGCAGAGCTGATAAAGAATCTCGCTTCGGCGAAGATGGGTACTCGTCGACTATCCAGCCGTTGATAGATAAACCCTAGTAGCAGTGTGGAAGGAGACCGGAAGGAGAGATCGCTTACAATTCGCTGGATGTATAGATTGCAGACCCCATATAGACAGAAAAAGTATAGATCCTGTTTTACTCATGTCAGCTTGAGCACCTCACAGCCATAGCCTGTCCATGCACTCACGTTATTTGGAAAGCAACAAAAGCCTTCTTTTTCTGCGGACAATTTTGAGGATTCGCTGGGTCATCGGTATTGTACCAATCCACCAAAACAGTGCCATCTGCCGTCCTCGCCGGAAGAATGGGTCTTGACTTGGTCCTCTCTACTTCAAGCTTCTTCCCGATATCTAGTCTCTCGTTTGTATAGGGCAACTTTTGAGTTCTCTGCAGCCCCAGTGCTCTAGCTGGCTCTTGTTCTTGGTCGTCTTCCACGTCAGGATCTGAGCTGGTGGCCGATCTTTCCGAGTCAAGCTTCGTATCAAGTGTCGAAGTTCTAGTTGCCTTGAACGACCCTACATCGTTAATTTCGCTGTTGGAACTCTGCTCGACAATCTTCTCCGAGGGCAGAGAAGCATCCGCATGGTAGCAATGAGGGCAATGGGAGTCTTCTCTCTCTTCAGGGTAACGGAAGAACTTGTTGCCAGAAGGAATGCGAACGAGCTGCCCAAAAGGGGCTTCTCTAAAAGAGATCAGCCATGACGGAGGGTCAATATTCTGAAAAGTGCAGCCGGTGAAATAATATCAGGGAAAAGCCAAGCATTCTCAACGCTCGATGAAGAATTTAGCATCTTCTGACTCAACCTCACTATCAATAAAACATGACAATGAATGAGCATGAGCATGCAGCGTCCAATGGTTGGTTTCAACGTGGATAGGCCTACCAGTCAAAAGAGTTGCGAAGCTTTCTAGCGTTTGATTTGTGGTTCAGTATCCACGATTAGTAAACATTGTTGCGATAGTGTCCTGATATGGCAGTTGCTGTTGGACAGGGCCGTACGAGTCGTGTCAGAGTCCTGCACATGCGATAGTTCAGTCGGTGAGAATCCCTACCTCGACAGTCAAAACTGTGGGATAGGTGGCCATCGTGCTGCTCGAAGGCTCGGTCGACGAAAGAAGTCGAGGAATCAGTAGACGTCTGTTAGCCTTACCGCCAAACCATGAAAGATACTAGAACCTTGAAGAACCGCAAGTAGACTTTGGCCTAGGGTTCTGGTCTCATAACATCTATATGTAACAGGGGTAGTCAATTGTATGTAGTAGCTGTAGAGCAGTGATTTTGCTGGGGGTGGTGATGTTCGACGCTAGGGGACTAGCTCCGTTATCTCTTGGCATATCCTTCGGACCCTCAGCTTGCCTGAAGCCATACTTTACTATGGCACCAGAACCAGAACAGCTCTCGTCTCTGTCAAACCCGTTGGCTACGGTCGACCAGCTCTCGACCTCCAGCTCCCAACTTGATGGCGTACCTGCGGATCTCGAAGGTTCTCTTCGCTTCGCCGGCGCCAAACTCACCCAAGCTGCCGGCATATTGCTCCGGCTGCCGCAGGAGATCATTGCGCAAGCCATTGTCATCTTTTACAGATTCTATCTTGGGTCGGAGGGAGGAAGCTTCCGGATCAATGCGGTGAAGGTGCGGCACCAACATGTAGTCTAATCTGCGCATCGAAGCTTGTGCTGATCGAGAAATAGGATGTTTCTGCAGCATCACTATACATGACGGCTAAGATCTCATTCCTGCCTCAGTCGACTCGCTCGGTATTGAACGTCTACGCCTATCTTCTCTCCCCCACCTCTCCTCTACGAAAGCCGTCAGAGGGCATTACAGGAAAAGAAAAGCCTGATGCTGAATCCTACTATCTTTCGGAAGGATCCTACCATTCCGCAAGGGCTACCCTCCTCCAAACAGAGTCCATCCTCCTGCGGTCAATCTCATTCATCACGCAGGTCACACTGCCCCACCACCTCGCCCTCACATATCTCCAAACCCTCGGTGTGCTTCCTCCCAGCCCCACAACCAAGTCGAGTGCCCTGGCAGCCCGCACGCTTGCACATCTCAACACGGCCTTGTTCTCTCCGCAGCTGCTGTACCTGACACATCAACCCCCCCATCTGGCTGTGTCGGCGATATACCTTGCGGCGAGGGAGGTGGGAGTCAAGCTACCGAGTATGGAGTGGTGGGAGGTCTTCGATGTTGACAGGGAGACGTTGGGCTTTTTGGTTGTGGGTTTGGGAAGCTGCGAGGGATGGATTGAGGGTGAGAAGGAAAAATGGACTGAGATAAGCTGTCCGTTGACTTTGGATGAGTTGGAGGAGGAAATCAGGAGGAGAGATGTAGAGAATGGATGAAGATGACGAAGGATCTGTCAATTACCCTCCCCAATATAACTCAGCAGGTAGCCCACTAGTGGATTTACAAGCTGCGTAGAACCGATTTTGGCGGGTAGGAGGCGACGAGGGGCCGAGTGGCTCAAGGTCCGGTGGAGATCAAGTGTTGGGTCAACGCCAAGCTGACTTGATGAGACAAAGATCCATACCGCATCCTGGCATTGATCGGTATGTATAAAAAGATCAATTTCTCACACGATAACGGTCTGTCTAGGGGTTGCTTGGAACCATATCTTGTACGCAGAAACAGTCTCATACGCAGGATCCTCTTCCACGCAGTTGTCACCGAAAACACCCTCACTTCCCGACCGCCGAAAGGAGCAAATTACGGGGTTCTGGCTCTCTATCGCGTACTTTATTTATATCATCGAGTTAGATGTAGGTTCTCCAATTTGTCAAAGCCGCTGCGGTAGTGCACGGATTCTGGCCATTCATACGTAGCCTACGCCATGTTCTTCGACTCCCCCCCTAGGTCTACTTCTTACACGTAAAAACATGTTATTGGCGAGTAGTCTCTTACATCCGTCGTTTCAAACAATCACATCGACACCCTCCATACCTTTCCCATCCTACCCTCACAAAGATCATGAACGATGAGGGTCAACCTTCCTAATCTCCTGTTGACTGGATAAACGCGTCTGAACCAGCTCTTCGCGAAGCCCTCTCCACGGTTCAATCATCCGTCTTTGCATCAACCTCCTCGAAATGCAGCTCTGATATTCCACGCCCCCGCCTCCTGGTTGTGTTCCGGAAGGATTTGAACCGCTTTATATCGTGAGCTGAGTGCACATGCATCGCCCCTGTCGAGGCTTCTGGATATCCGTGCGAGTAGGTGCGAGAGCAGAGTCAATTCAAGTAGTTAGTAGGTATATCAGACTTTGGAGAGCAAAGCATGAAGTGCCTCGGTCGCGCTAGAATCGACCAGGCGGCCCCCGTCGTAGTCTTCGCGGTGAGGTCGGGCAATGGAACCCTGCAGTTTGGAAATTCTGATTTCATCTCGAAAAAAATATATACAGCCTGCTTCGGAGCTAAAGCACTGCTCGAAGGACCAATATCCCTTGTACGTGCTCGTCGCCACCAAATGCTCCTCCAAAATTGGGCCTAACAGGAGCTTTTCCAAAATCCCTTCCTGTAAATCATTTTGCGGATCACATCGCCGCCACTTGAAAGCTCCGGACGCCTGATACGGGTATTTGCAGCAAATATCGACAAAAGGAAAAAGGTTAATCACGATCTCATCGGTTCGCCCGACCAGCTGCCTCCATCTTGACTTTCAGCTTGGCTCTCCTGGTCTTCTCTTTCGCTGCGGCGTAGGTTAGCATGTAGGTCTCAAGGGTAGCTTGGCACGATGTGCGAAATCAAGGGTAGACGTACCTTCGTCATATACTCGCATTTCATGAAGAGCGCAGCCAGCTTCCACCATGGGTAGAACCGGCACCTTCTTATCCGTCACAATTTCCAGCAAAGCAGGGCCATCACTCTCGATCAACCACTTGAGCTTCGCCTCAACATCGTTTGGTGCAATGCAACGCTGCGCTTGCACGCCCATCGCCTCGCCCAATTTGACAAAGTCTGGATTCTTCTGGTGAGTATGCGCGAACCGATCCTCGTAAAAGATAGACTGCCATTGGGTGACCATGCCTTGCTCTTCGTTGTTAAGGATGATGATCTTGACGCCAATTTGGAATTGAGCGGCCGTGCTGAGTTCCGTAAGAGTCATGCCGAAGGATGCGTCCCCATCGATATCTATGACAAGAGCATCCGGACGAGCTACTTTTGCACCGATGGCAGCAGGCAGGCCAAATCCCATTGTTCCGAGGCCGCCAGAGGTGATCATGGTTCTGGGATGGCGCCATCGAAAATGCTGGGCAGTCCACATTTGGTGCTGTCCCACGCCGGTTGTAATTATAGTCCGTTCTTTCATGTCATGAGTGAGGTTGCTGAGTTTCTCAATAACGCTTTGTGGTTTAATAAGGCCGTCTGGAGTCTCCTTTTCATAAGCGAAAGGTAGGCGCTTCTTCCAGTCATTGATCTGACTGAACCATTCAGGACGGGAAGCCTTTTCCTTGACGAATGGAAGAAGAAGGGCCAGGTTCGCGGCGACATCACCTTCTACAGCTTCGGTCGCTTGGACGACCTTGTTGATGTTTTTAGGCATGATCTCAAAATGAACAATTCCACCGCGCTTTTCAGCAGCAGCAGCTTTGGCTTGAGGGGCGAATTTAGCGATATTACCTGCAAAAGTCAGCGACGATAAAACTTTGTAACGTAGGATGCATCACCTGTTACGCGGTCATCAAACCTGGCCCCCAGAGCGATTACAAGATCCGCATCTTGTATAGCCATATTGGCATAAGGTGATCCGTGCATGCCGAGCATGTGTAGCGACTTTTCATCCAGCTCGTCGAAACCTCCGAGGCCTTGTACTGTAGTAGTGACTGGTATGCAAGCTTTGTCTGCCAACTCTTTGAGTAATTTCGGTCCTTCTGGCAGGGCAATCATGCCTTGACCGGCATATATGACGGGCTTCTTAGCAATATTGATTAACCTTGCAACACGCTGAATGACCCCCTGGAGCTGCTTCTGACTCAAATCCCTTGCGACCAAGCTAGCGGCACTAGGATGCGACGGCAGTGTACTGGCCATAGGAATAGGCTTCCGCAAAATAGCAGCCTGAACATCCTTCGGTAAGTCTACCAGCACAGGTCCTGGTCGTCCACTGGTAGCTATCTCAAATGCTTCGTTGATTCTCTTTGGAAGCTCGGCGACCGTTTTGACCATGACGTTCCATTTGGTGCATGCCCTCGATATACCCACAACATCCGCCTCTTGAAAAGCATCTGACCCGATAGCAGTTGTGGGAACCTGACCGCAGAAAACGACCAAAGGCGTACCGTCTGACAAAGCGTCCTGTAAGGGAGTAATCACATTGGTTGCTCCCGGACCAGATGTGACTAGCACAACCCCAGGTTTCCCTGAAGCTCGAGCATAGCCTTCTGCCATATGACCTGCTCCTTGCTCGTGACGGGGTAGGATGAATTCGAAGTTTTTGGAGTTGTAGATGGCGTCAAACACAGGCAGAATCGCTCCTCCTGGATATCCAAAGACATGCTGTACATAGTTCCAGAGGTCAGCATTACCCTCTGTGATATTGAGTAGTAGGAAGGACGTACCTTTACCCCTTGTCGTAACATCATCTCGTGAAATATCGCACCGCCACTGAGTCCAATGAAGCTGTAATTGCAGCCAATCAGCAAAGGCAGGCCAATGCAGACACAGATGCAACTCACGACTCATCCATCTCTTGGCGCTGCGTATTTTGTAGCGGTTGTACATCGTTTCTCCTCGTCTCCTGGTTGAAGGCGGGACTTGGAATAGGCCTGGTTTGGCTGTGTGTAAAAGTCAGTGAATTGAATGCTTAGATCAGGACTCGATAGTTACTCCACTCACGGGGCGGTCGCTGCAGCAGTACTTTGACCTCGTTTTGCAACATCCGTTTTGGCTTTCGACGATGGCAAAGTTTGCCCCGTTCTTCTGGATTCGGAAAATGCTGGTGCAGCAGTGGCGGTGGAAGAAAAATGCTGACGTGGTTGACGCCAGCGCAAAACGCGAGCAGACTTTGTTCGCAGCATTGTATTGTGAGAGAAGAGCAGTGCTCAAAGGGCGGTAATCGTTGTGTCTTTTCTTGGTTGCAACGTGTGAGTCAATCCAATTCAAGACGGAAAGTGGCTTAAAATTTACGAAACTCAGACCGGTATCGGTATCGGCTAATGTCTTGGCACTGTGCGGGGAAACGTGTGGAGAATGGAGAATGACATTGCCATAACGCTGCATCTTCAACAAACGAGGAAGTGAGTATGCCGTTCACGTACAAAACAACCATAGATGAAAGACACCATTGACAGAAACTTGTCGCTGGGGCCGTTGGGGCAAATTTTTTGCAATCAGATCATGTCGATATAGCTTCGAATGACTGTTTTTTGTACATCATGTCGTTAAACAGCATCATTAAATACCGTATAATTATATCAAGGATATCTCATTCAGTATTGTTCATACTGGCGCTGCTTCAGAAACTCACGAAGGAGCCCACTATATCTGGACCTCATCTTGAGATTCGGCCGCGGCTGGCTCCGCCGTGCGTCTTTCCTACACATTTTCAGCATGCCCAGCATCCGAAATAAACAGCCATGTCGGTGTCCATCGCACCAAGTATTCAGATTCCCCCTTCTTCTCCTATGACTCGCTTTCCTTGATTTTTTTGGTTGCCTCACTTCCACTTCCCATAACCTATCTTGGACATCCACCGCGTGGGATGCAAGATATTCGATACCCTCCGTCTCTGTGGCCCCGTAGAATTGCAGGGGGAGTTGGCAGTCCATTAGGCAAAGGGTAGGAGAAGGCTAACGTATTAGTCGCCCCACGTTCCGTACTGGGGGGAAGGCGAAGAACGAGTGAGAGGACTTGATGATAATGCCAAAACCTCGCTGATGGAATATATATAGTTCAGGATAGATAGCCAGTATAGCTGTGCAAATCAGGGTCAATACGTAGGCTCCTTAATTCATCCCGCTTGTCCAGGCTTTCTTCTATCCGTAGCAACCAAACCACGAAGTTCAAGTGATCATCTTGGCTTTGGGAAGACCGGACTCTTGCTCATGTTGGGATAGTGAGTAAAACACAAGCGACCCAGAGCTGCAAGAGTTTTTATGAGTACTGGGAACCGATCCAGGTTTCATAAGTCGCGAGCCTCGCATCGGCTAGCGAGTCAGCTGAGAAACGCTGAGCGGCCCCAGCTTGAGCGAATCGATCATCGCTTCGACTGGACGGATGCCAGGCGGCCGATGCTACGGCCTATCCAAGGGGCTGTGTCCTGGCGCCAAGAGGAGGCTTGCTTTTTCGTAGAGAGTTGAGACACGCCTGCCTTGATCGATCAAGATCCAGCAGCATCCGCCGCCATACGGTGCTCAGCATGTGCCTGATGAAAGGTAAGAACGGGGCAGAAGCGGACGGTATGCAAGAAATCTGCTATCTTGGCAGTCACGTATTCGGCATTTACATTAATTAGGCAGTGATCTTCAGGTACCGGGGAAGCGGGAAGGATGATGCGCTGTGGTGCGTCATTGGCCGGTACATTTTTCTCATTTCTCCGGCCACTCATTTCTTCTGAACTTGTCTCCACATGTAATTGAAGACGTTAGAAACATGATGATCCACTTCAATTCCTCTTCGCCGGCTTCATAACCCAATTCAATCTTTGTGCATGAAATGTCACTCTAACAGAAGACACGCAGGGCAGGATGCTTCTCCGATGACGTCCATCTTCCAGCAGCATCAAATCGCCACCTTTTGAATCAGCGGTCAACACTGTATTCCAGTCAATTTATTATCGTCGACGGTCTGCCAGACGCTCAGTAAGAATGGAGACCTCCTCGCCATCTGCCGTATCTCCTCGCCGTCGCTCAAATGAAGGATCCAAGTCAGAGAATGCACCTCCTCAAGGTCGTGGGCCCCATCAGCAATCTGTCACCTCTGCCAGCCGATTACCTGCATCACCATTACGAGTACCGATATCGCCACAGGTAGCATCTGCCCGCTATGTCAAACAGTTCCAGGCACTCATGGAACATCAACGGCAAACGTTCGACGAAGAGAGGGCATTGTGGAGCGTTGAGAGGACGGAGCTACATGAGAAGATTGCGCAGCTTGAAGGGTCCCTGTACCGATATCAAACCATCTCCTCCAGCCAAGCGTCATCTCCGATCAACAACAGTAAGCGTGGATCTCAAAGTAATAGCAGCTTTTGGAGCCTCCTGAGCAAAGATGGGTCAAGTCACACAAGCGGGACTACAACAGGAGACGAAATCTGGCGCGGACCGAAACTTGATGTCCAGCCTACACGCACATTTTCTGATCCTACGACTCAATCGACCAAGCCAGGAGATCGAGGTCGATTGCCCAGCATTGCCGAAGACACCACTTGTGGACGTAAAGACTCTTTGGACATGCAACCTGGTCTTCATAAGCCAAGTGTGTCCAGCGCTGAGATAGACAAGAACCTCGACGGCATCAACTTCAAGTCTAGTACTCTGTCTCCGGTACCGATTAAGCAGGTCATGACACCCCAGTCGCCGTCGTCTCGGACATCTTCGCCGTCTCGTCTTTCGCCACGGACGATACAGCTACCTTCCTCCAAGCTTGAAGCACCACTTGACCCTTACACTAAAGACGCAGGGCATACTCCTCTGGTTCGCCGTACCTATTTCAATGCGGACTTTCCCTCCGGTGAGGGTGATGGACCGACTCCTACACAGCCCGAAATAGAGCGACCTCCACTCGAACCCCATGTCTCATCTGCAAAATTACCTTCTGAGCGTTCAGATAGCTATTTCCCCGTAGCCGAGGACGAATCTTGGGATGAAAGAGATAGGTCTCGAGATGGGGAAGACAAGTCTCCCGATGAGGACCCAGAACTGAAAGAGCCTCTTGGGCTGGACAACAGCAAAGGCGAAGACAAGCATTTCCTGGGCGAGCTGGACTCTAAATTGCTGCAAGCTGCTAGATCGGAGGCGTTTAGTCCTAGTGGGACTGGCTCGGGCAGGGAGAGTTCTCTGGATAAGGATGAGAAGGACTTCGAGCAGCCGGAGCATGAGCCTAAGCTCCGGATTAAAAGGAGCACGAACTTTGGGAGTGCGTTTGGAGCAAAGACCTGCGGGAAGGGTTTCTAGGTGGGGACTTCACAATCGGACACAGGTTCAAGGAATGGGAGGGAAAGGAGGTTGCATGGACTGGCGCCTATATACCAATTTGAGCATCTTTGAAAAACGAGAGAACCAATCATAGCGGTCTGCTGCCCGCAAGCTTTCGTAAA